TTTCACAAGATGTGGATGCCTGGGCCCATGCCACATCTACTGAATCGGGTTCCATGGGGAAAACGGGGAGAGGACAGGGTGGGGCCCAGGCATCAGCATTTTGCAAAAGCTCCCCAAGTGATTCTGTTATGTCCTAAGGTTAAGAATGATTGTAGTAAGAAGACGTAATGACAGTTATAAGTCTGATTACGATAATGGAACTTCTTAACTTTAATTTTCCTTAGACTAAGCGTTCTCTGAACTCCTTTCTCAGAAAGTTGCACTGAAATTCCACACATTAGGAAACTAATGTTTCCCAGGCCAATGTACCTTGGAGAAATAAGTGTGCTGTGACCCTCTATGTCATGGATAAATTGATATCTCATTCTTTTGTTTGTCATTTTTATGAAAAGAAGGATTTAAAATAATTGGAGCCTAGTGCCCAAAATTATATCCTTGTGCCTTCCCTGCAGTTTGTGGTTTAGTGACTGGGCGGGAGGGACAAGAATTCATTGTATCACAGAATCTTCTTTCCCTGTAAATGATGCATTTGCTTCAGGGTGAAGTCTGATTACAAATGAAAGTGAAATAATGCTGTAGACCACAGCATTCTGAGCTGCAGAGCTGGGCATGAGCTGAGGATCAGAGGCTGCATACACACGTTGGTCAGAGCCCAAGCCTTGAGGCCAAATCTAATGGGACTGGAGAGCAATCCTTGAGCTAACCACTCAGAATGGGAACACGTAGATGCAGAATTTCCCATGAACCAGCCACACTGGAGTAAGCCAGTTAAAAACAATTAGAATCGCACTTTAATTTTGGAAAGCCTTGGCCTGTTGGCTTAGTTCATGAAGGTCTTATAAGGAAGTGATTGTAGAGCAATTTGCAAATAGAAAGCATTTCTAATACTATATTTTAGTTGCATTAGGAATAGTGATTTACACCGAAGCCAGGAATGAGTCAGACGTTACACAAGCATTGAATTAGGCATACTCCCTGTCTAATCCTGGGACTATCTGAAAAAAAAAAAAAATTAGAGTATGTAAATTTAGCTTAATACCATGTAAGTGCTATGGGAATAATTGTGAATAATTGGATTATTAGTAAGGAATTGAGAGTGTGGGCAGATTCCTTTCTGCGGTTGGAGTATTGGACTAAAAACAGCATAACCTTGGCAATCGAAATGAAGTACAGGACAAAAAGCACATGCCGCCAAATCGGAATGACATTTGAAAACCATGTTAATACAGTATTTACCTTCCAAGAGATTTTTAGATCCAAATTTATTTCATCCAGATTATGCCTCTCCCTCTGCAATTAGCAATTTTTATTTAAAATACAAATCTACAGATATATTTTTATCCACTTTTCTAATCTGTACTGTCAAATAAGCCAGTTCTAATTTGTTTCCAAAATAACTTTGTCTGTAGTGATAAGTATCTCACACAGAAATGTACTAAGTCTGTAGTTTCTATTCTACATACTTAAAGTGTTTGCCAAATATATAGTATTCTTAATAAATTGGATCCCTGTGGACTGTTGGGATGCCTAATGTATGCTGTCAGAATTAACAACTATCATCTCGATGCTATGTATTTCGTATTGAAATAAGAATAAGTTACTGACCCTGGAAAAGTCTTAAGGGATATTTTTTTAAAATGAATATCTATCAATGAGGAATTCACATCTGAAATTATGAATCAATGTCAGACAGAACTGAATCAGATTTGTTTTACCATTTTGTAGTGTGTCTGGATTTTGCTGGTGTCACTCACAAAACACCATATTTGCATCTATCCTGAACCTTTGCAGTCCTCATGTATAAAATAATTCCATAGAGTATTTTGGGAAAAAGAGGTGGAAAAACAAATCTCAGCAGTGTTGAAGAGAGGATTATAAATTAAAATTCATGTTGCATTATGGTTTTTAAAAAGGATTGAAAGTGGCAAGCTAACATGAATCTGTTTGATTAAAGCATTTGCTCTTGTCTCAGTAAATTAACAGAAAAGAAACAAGCCTAAATTCTCTTTCTTTTTTACCTAACATAAAGTTTTATTTATTTTTTAAATAAAAGATTATACTGCTGTGATTTTTCTAGTCTCAGATGTAGGATATATATATATATATATATATATATATATATATATATATATAGTGTCATAAAAATCTTGTTGGCTGTTGAATGAATTAAACATTTTTTATTCTGAAAAGGATTCATTGTAATGTACACTGAATGTTGTGTGTAATAATGAAGAATTAGAGGCAATTTAAATGATAGAAAATTATTGAACACATTCTGTTATAACTTGATAGAAAGTTATGCAGCAATTAAAATCACATTGTGGAACAGTGTTTATTACATGGGAAAAAGCTTTGGCATTGTTAAGTGAAGAAAATCCAGCAAGATTCAATAGTATACTTTTAGTATAATCCTTATTTTATGATTAAAAAATAAAACACACACATGGATACACACAAAAACTTATGTATGATAATATAATCAATATGTTATCACAGGTTTCTTTAGGTATAATTACATTTATTTGCATGCTACTGCCTTTTCCCGACTGTCTAAAGTAATTAATTTTTGAATGAAAATACATGATAAAATGTTGAAATAGAAAGGAAATACCAAATAGCAAAGATGTATTTGTTAAATGCCTATACGTATTATTTGGGAGAATTGAGCCAAAAAAGTGAAGATGACTTCTTGCATTTTAAAGAGATTTTGTTACAAATTACTGCAGTGCTGAGTGACTTTTTCTTCATCAAAAGAACAAAATGAGGGCTTTTATTCAACAGCTTAGTATTTAATATTTGTTTCTATTTTTGTTTGCATTCAATATCTGTGGAAGAAGATAGCAGATTTTGAATAAATCTGACATACAATGTAAACTATTAAAATATACCTAGAATATGACTATAGAAAACAAAAAAGGCACTAGAATAAGAAGTACTTAAACAAAGTTAAAAAAAAAAAAAAAAGAAGAAGTGATAAACACAGAAAGTGTCAGGAGAACGGGCTGGGAAGTTGCAGTTGGGGGCCAGATCATGCAGAGAAGAGGGATGCAAAGGTCTCAGGCTTGTCTTTTGGAAGGGGGAGTCTGGTTGCATGTAGATATCACCCACGCAATTTTTGGCCTGTTTGCATATCACCTGTACTAGTAATTACTTAACTTTTTTTTAAATCAAATTAAAAGATTTTCAATTCATCATCCTCATAACAAACGTATCTGTGAAATCATGAGTCTGATATATTTATGCTTTTCATAATACACATTAAAATTAATATATGACTACTAAAATCTAAAATCACCTCACATTCTGTGAGTAGGACGTACAGCACACTTCTGTAAACACTGGCATGGAGGGAGGGAGTTGGGGAGCTGGGGACTGGGCATTTGGACCATCCTGTCTGTCTCTCCAGTGGTACCATAGCTAGGGTATGGTAATCCTCTTTATATACGTGACTGGCATGGAGTGTGTTTTGTTTTTGGAATTCTTCAGAAGGTTGATCTTACAGCATGGGCATCAGAGCAGTGCTGTTTCCAAAACACCATTGAGCAGAGGTGGTTCATTGCAGATAGCAGAGGAGAGGGAGGAAGAGCACCTAGTGATGGAGTCAGACTTCCAAGGGAGGGGTTGGAGTGGAGATGCAAGAAAAAGAAAGCAAGAGAAAATGCACAGCATAGAGGGATACCAGCAGATGAGATTCAGCTATTGCCAAAACATTGTCACGATCCAGAATGTTCACGCTTGCTGGTACTGTCATGAAAAGTTTTCCCTTTTTCTTTAGCAAATAGCATGTTTGCTGTGACCTGTGAGCTACTTCAGGAAAGAAGAAAATAATGAAAACATCCCAGTAGTTTCATTAGCACAGCCAGTGATTTTCATAAAACTGTTGCATTCTCAGGTGAAAGGAACTTACTGGGGTCACTGAGTCCATTTTTAGACTCACAGGAACCATTCTACCTAAACGCTTCTGAAAATGACCTGGAAGCATGCAAATGTCTGGTAGTGGATAGGAGCCCGTGAGTCCCACCCCACCCCAGCCTCTCAACTGTCAAGGCCATTGTAGATCCACAGAAATGGGTATTATGGCCCTGATTTCTCTCACAACCTGTGAGGACAACCTGGCTTTTGGTCCTCTGTGCTCACCACATCTTCATCTTTCTTGTTTGTTGTTGGCTTTCTCTGTGTAGGGGCGTGGGGGGGTGGGGGGGGAGGGAAGAGGCAGATCTTTTAATTGGCGGTAGGACTGCTCTGATTGGAAATTCTCTTGTGGCCTTAGCTTATCCCTGTTTTGCTTTAAGGTGGTCCTTTTGCCTAGGGGTTACAATGATTTCAGACCAGTGTCCTCACTCTTTATATTAAATACCTAATGTATTTTGCATGGACAAACTTTTAAATTCTTGTTTGTTTGTTTACTTGTTTGTATTTGAAATAAGATGATCCCAACTCACAAAAGGATAAAAAAGTAAAAGATACAACCATTTCTTTTGTTGAAGAAACTCCCAGGAAGAAGGTGCCATGACTTGCCTCACTACAAGCTTCAAAATTCTTTGCTTTCTCAGCCCTAAATAACAATAGACTAGAAGCTCTGTGGTGGCAGGGATTTGGCATCTTTTAGTCACTGAGGCATCTGTATCAGGCATAGGGGCTGATTAAGTGCAGGCACCGATAGGTTTTCTTAAGTAATGAGTGAATAATAATATTACTGTGTTAAATTTGTACAGCAATTCACAGTTGTAAAGAGTTTTCCATGAGCTCATCTAATCTTCACGATGCTGTTTTCAAAGTGGATAAAAACTGATGTTTTCATCTCCATTTTGTAGGTTAGGGAATTGGATTCAGAAGTAGAATGGTCTATCCAAGGCCTTACACAGAGGCAGTGATGCATGATTCTATCCCTGAAATTCATTTCTCAATTTGGAGTCAAGCAAGATGGGGCACAGCTGTTCCTCTGCATGATGGTTTCTGCTTTTCTGGATTTTCATCAGATTTTTATTCTTTATTTTCAGATTACAGGACAGGCCCATGTTTTACTGTGGTCAGCAACCAGATGTGCCAGGGACAACTCAGCGGGATTGTCTGCACAAAAACGCTCTGCTGTGCCACAGTCGGCCGAGCCTGGGGCCACCCCTGTGAGATGTGTCCTGCCCAGCCTCACCCCTGCCGCCGTGGCTTTATTCCAAATATCCGCACAGGAGCTTGTCAAGGTAAACCCAGGCTGATGGAATTATTAATGGATTAATCTTATTTGCTCTGGAGAGCCATTCTCCAATGAAGTTGAAGAGAATGGAAAAGTAGTGTCAGCTACATAACTTGACAATTTCGCTGACTGCATGATATCCAACTAAGGCGTTAGGAACGTGGCTCTCGAGAGGGCAGCTGAAGTCTTAGTGGATGTTTTCCTGCCAACGCTTCTCCCTCTCTGACCCCAGAGGTGTTTGCACGTACCTCTGACTCCCGGGGTGGTGTGATTCTGTTTACAGCAATGCTGTGCATTATGGCAATGCTTTGTAGAAACACAAAGCAAGATTTGTGAACAAGGTAGTTTATGTTTTTCTTCATTTGAAACTGTTAGAGTTCCTCTCTCTCATGGGTTGGCTTAATTGATCTGAAGAAAATTGTTTCTCTCGATATTTTACATGCTACATTATGCATATTTTACAAGTCCGGAATAAATTAGGATTTGTTTCACAGTTTTAAATATCCCCAGATGTCGCCTGCTAGCTGCTTCTCCTGCCTCCCGTAGAAGCCCTTACTCTGTTTTTGGCTTTTACTCCTGTTCTTCCAGCTGTACAAATTCTTTTATTGTCTGGATGTCTGGCAGGAAGCAGGAGGAAGTGAACAGAGGCAGCTCCACACTAAACTGATGGGAATAAAAGCTCTGAGGCTGTATCTGTTTCCTTTAGACAGCCTCGGGGCTTTTTATAGCAAGTTGCAATATTTTCAGAAAATTCAGGATTTGCTTTTCTGAAGCAAATAGATAAAACTTTGCCTTTGTTTTATATGTCAATTCTAAGGGTAATATGTAATAAAACAGAACTTGAGCTTAGTCACACAGTTCTGTGGGTCGCCATTAAATTCCACTTCAGTAAATTCCACTTCTGATATTGTCATTCCTGGCTTCCAGCTCCCATGTACAACATACAGCTCCTTTGGATGCCCTTAAATGTATCCCTCTGAATGTCAGGAGAAGAAATAAGTCACTCTGAAACTCGAGAATTATCAAGAGATGGATTGTAGTATTTTATAAAATTAAAAGTTTAGTTGTTCTTTGGTGCCTTCTTATTTTTCCCATTTTTAGAAAGCCCCAGTGAGTTTTGAAGAATTTGCTGGTCTTGGGATTACAAAGTTAACCAATACCCATGAACCCATTGACAGTGACCAGAGAGCTAGACTTCCTAACTCTGCTGTCTAAAATCCAAGGAAAAAAAAAGTTTTTTACAAGGAAAGTTTTGCAATCCTATAGGATCACAATGACAGTTATATTGCCATGTTGAGAGTGAAATTCTCATGGTTGGTTGTGTTTTTTTTCTAAGCGATTCTGCCACCAGGTTGTGGCTCTCACTCCTTGCTGTCCTTGGGTCAGATGTCGAGGGGCTGTGGGCAAACGGGTTTGTAAAGGAGCTTATTCTGTCTTCAGTCCTGGAGTATCCAGCCAGTGGAGAATTGCCTCATCTGTATTTTCTTTTGGCCAAAAATCGTGATCAACAAGACAGCTAGTTCTACCTACATGTAAAAATCTTGATTTTTGAAAACATTTAATAAATAACATTCAGCATATCAAGAGAATGGAAAATTCTTGTCTAAGGCATAACTGAAATCATCTAGAAGACATAATCTAATGATTTTCCACATCTAATCATTTATTTGTGGGTTATTTTATTTGAAACAGTAAGTGATACTTTTATAATAAACTGAAGCGTTGTTTCTTTAATATCCCTTTTACTGCATGGGGACTTTTCTCAGGAACACAGGTTGAGATCTTATAAACAGCAATTGCTTTTCTTCTTTACCCAATGAAGAGTGAAACTAAAGAGCACACGAGGCTTCCAGGTTTCAAAAAGAATACATCAGACTGTCTTCTTGGGGATTCTTTATTAAATCAGACTTTTCTGTGTTATGAACAAAGAGATGGAGAGAATGTACATGTACTTTTACAGTCTTTATAACAGAACATACTGAGCCTGAGATGACTAATTTTGCTCCTGGAAGGTTAATATTTGGGCTTACACATAAGACCCCAAGTCAGTCTTCAGGTGCTGTTATATAACAGTGAAGGAAATGGACAAAGTCCCTATTTTCTGGAAGCTTATAGTAAAGACAATCAATTTGTTTAACAAAACAAACAGGCACCTATTAGGTGAGTGGATTATTAGTCCTTTAAAAAAAAAAACAAACAGGGAAAGAAGGATGAATAGAGCCAGGGGCCAGGTGTTGCTCTTGGACTATCAAGGGAAGGGCTGGCACCTAAAGTGGCATTGGAACAGAGGCCTGGAGGATCAGACAGCGTGGGCCACGCAGCTCTCTGGAGGAAAAATATTCCAGGCAGAGGGGCAGCCATTACAGAGCTCTGTGGCAGGTGCATCCTTGGCATATTTGAGGAATCCATTGTGGTGGGAGAGGAGTGACAGGGGTAGGAGGGTGGAAAATGGGTAAAAGAGCAGAGGAGTCATATAGAAGATCCTAGGATGTAGCTAGGGAAAGACATGCGTGTTGAGCTAGGGAAAGACATGATCTCACTGACCTTCTCAAAGGTGCCTTCTGGCAGCCACTCTGCCAGCAAGGTAAGTCTGCAGCAGCTGAAACTGCACACTCACCTAACGATCTCTCTCACTTCTTGGCCCAATTTTCTGAGTTGTTTAATTTTTACTGTGCAAGACACTTCTCCAGGATGTGAAGTGAACATTTTCCACTTCATTTGCGTAAAAACATTAGCTGTCTCATGTAGTCTGAGTGACCTTCAATAAATTCCGTTTTAACTAAATCATTCAGTGTAACTCAAAGATAGTTTCATTGTAGAAATGTGTTGCATTTTGATTTGCAAGATTTCTTCGATAACTCTGATCATTACTACCAATCTGGAGATAAAAATGAGGCCGTGAATAGTAGCCTTTTAAATGGATCCTTCTACTTTGCCGCATATGTGATAAAACCCACAAAGTTAGTACGAACACTCTCCTCTGTATTAGGAAACACGGGAGGTGGGAAAACGGAAATACTTGTGACTTCTTATAGAACATCATTAATCAAACTGTGTATTTTACATAATGCGATTGTGAGACATAGTTCCTCTAATCATATTCCAAATATTGTGATGGGCAAATAACTCATCGATATAATTGTGGACAAACGATCACATTTTATTTGCAATGAATTTTACATGAGTTTGTTTTTCTCTCTCTGTCTCCTGCAATCTGACAGATGTGGATGAATGCCAGGCCATCCCCGGGCTCTGTCAAGGAGGAAATTGCATTAATACTGTTGGGTCTTTTGAGTGCAAATGCCCTGCTGGACACAAATTTAATGAAGTGTCACAAAAATGTGAAGGTAAGAAATCTTGTGTTTTGCAGTTGTAGTGGGGGCAGTCACAACTCAACATTAGTAAGAAGCTTGTTTGCAAATTATTCCTAAGTCCTTCTGTCTTTGTCGTCCCTGTAAATGTGTAAATGTAATATTTTTAACAGTAATAATATGCCTTGTGCTATTGGGCCAGAAAAACCCCGCAGCTTTTTCCACTTTTATAGACCCAAAACAAGAGGTCCATCTGAATCAAATTAAATATTAAAAACATGAAATATTTTTGAACCAACGTTTGGTTTAAAATGTTCAAGACACATGTTTTTGCATAGTTCTAGAGACATGAATTTAAATTTGGTCATTAGATATCATTCAGAATAATATATCTTCCGATGGTTTTCTAGTTAAAAGATAAGTTTGATTTTGTGTGTGGGGAGGCAGATTGATCTATTTGTGCTCCTAGTACATGTTCATGATTTTCTTTTCTGGGGGATGATAAATGCATATCAAATGAAAAGCTTTTAATGTTAGTCAAACAGAAAAGTAATTTGAGATGAATTTTTATATTTGCATTAGTTTATAGATGGAACTTCGACAAATATATTTAGAGGATGTGTTTATATTCACCACTACTGCTATTTGCTGAAATGAGGCCTGACTTCCAACTACGGTCATCATTTCTTCGTGAGAGGGGAGCGTCTAGAAAATAAGTGGGCAGCATTGGACTCTCTTTCTTTGATGAGTGCATGTAACTTACATATAGGAATATCTGACAGTAGTGTAGCAGCATCCTCAGGGCTACACCTCTCATCATGATCAGAAGAGAAGACTTTTTCCTTCATTGTCAACTCACCCCACCTTGAGGTTTCATGTAGACGAATGCATTTTTATTGAGAACAGATGCTGTTGTATTTATTCCCCTAGACTCTAGCAGTGAGTTCATTTTAAGTTATTTGTCGGGGCTGGATAATTAACCATGTTGGTTGCCACTGTATATCAGATGAGCAAAAGACAGCTTTACACTTAAGGTGCAGTTCATAATATACATGTAAAGCATTTAATATCTGCTTGCCCCGAAGCTGAATAACCTCTGATAGAACTACCTTTATGAGTTGCAGTTGTTTTTAGGTTATAAATCATCATTGAATTTATAATTGATGTTGCATTCTTGAACACGTTATACATAGTTATTTGGGGTAGTTGTGAAAAAAAAATGGTTCTTTCTAAAGTAAGCCTTCTTAAGAAAACATTTTAAGTTTCAAAGAACAAACGGGTTGACTCTTGATAGGCCAATGTATTTTAGAAGTTGTACTGTAGATGTAAGTTTGAAGCAGAGAATGTTGACACTGAAAGGGGCAAAGAACTCAGCTAGTTCTAGACTCTAACATTATATATTAAGGAATGGTGTCTTGGGTGTGTTAAGTGCCCTGCCTGGGGCCATTCAGACAAGACAGTGCTCAAATTTACCTCTTAAACTCACACTCTGGTGCTCATTGAGCCATATTATGTTGTCTTCTTTCCTAGATGAAACTTATTACCTCTGCTTTAACAACTATATTTCCTAGTGTCTGGAGCTATTTAAAATATTCTGGCATAGATTTTCAGGTTATATATATATATATGACATTAACTTAAACCATTAAAGTTTATCACATGCAAAACCCACATCAGTGATAGGTTATATTTTACCTTTTAGGCTTTTTCAGTTTAATATGTTCAGCTTCAGAATATCTAGTCAGCTTCAAGATTGAGGGGAATACAGTCCTTATGATGTATCCAGTCTGGGTTTTTTTTTTTTTTTTTTTTTTCCCTGAAATTATGATGGCTTCCAGCCTGAACTAGAATTGATTTTTTTTTTTTTTTTTTTTTTTGTCTCTTGCTTTTCACTCAGACAAGTCAATTAACAATTAGGAGTGGTCTGTGGATGTGGACCAGACAAAAGTTTCTGATTTAATGCTCAGACTGAAAGAAAAATGATTCGAATCTTTTTATTTATGCTAAGAAGCCAATTATGGTGGTGTATCCAGTGGACCAAAAATTCAGTCTGAGAATTACTGAATCCTTTTCCACACACACAGAAATTTTCCAGCTACATATTAAAGTCAGTAGCAAGATAAAAACGGACTATTTTGTCTAGATTTTTTTTCCTTTACCATCTACTGTTAGATTAAATTTAGATAATGTTTTTTTTTTTTTCCCTTGTTTTCCTTGTAGTATCAGTGCAAAATTGATACTAGAAAAGAATGTCCTGTTAGTGCTGTACATTCTCTGGCCTGGAGACTGGTGTGAGCAGGGTTGGCCTGTCTTACTCTGGGAGGAAAGCAGTCAGGAAGTCCCCTGAGAACTCTTGGCCAGCTGGGTTCACTTCTTCAGCATCCTCGCTCCTTCCAGTTACAGTGCCTCGCTGTGGAAAGGGCATAACTCTGCGCGTCGGCTGGTGTCTAGATGGTCAATAGAGGGAAACCAGGAAGTCTGACCTATAACCACTGAACAGATAATATGTGCCCTAGAAAGATGATCAGCATAACCATGGGGTTCTGTGCCCTTGTGAAAATGTTCTGGTACCTTTTCCATTGCTTTGAGTGGTTTTTTTAAAGGTATCTTCCTTTTGACTTGGAAGGAAGGGATTGGGTAGTTTTATAGAATTTTTTCAACGAACACCAATTCAATCAAATTGGCTATAGCAAATTCGTAAGATGCTAACACTCACTCTCTCAGATCTGAGAATGGTATTATTCAAGTTGCTTTCCATGAGATCTTTCTTTTGCAGAATTCTCACTTCCTCCCAAAAATGTCCTTTTCCCCAAAACTTAAAAAAAAAAAAAAAAAAAAAAAAAGTCATGGAAAAGTTTTATATAAATACATACAATTGGGTGACATTTCAAATGTAAATTAACAAGCTGAAGGGATTAAATAACAATTACTAAATTTTCATATATTTAAGAAGAAAAAAACAGATTTATAGCTGTGATTTGAGAAAAAAGGAGACCGAGTTCATGCCCACCTTCTTTGTTGATCTTTCCGATGACTGCAGAGTATACACGCTGAAAGAACAGATGAGCCCCTTTCTTTGGAAACCAAGTCTATATTTGCATAGGTTACTATGGGAGGAAATTGAGACATAAAAAGTATAATTAAGGGATTAAGTTTTATTTCTGGAAGAAGTCTGTTGGATTCCTAATTAACCACTAATATTTTGGGATTTAGATTATCGTCAGCCCAGCCTTTAGCAATTATAATAGCACTGCATGATGCACAGGACCTTTTTAAGAATGTAGCCTTTAAATCCATGCACTCCGTAATATGTGAGCCAAAAACCTCAGGACTTCCCTTTTCCAAAATAATGGCATATTTATCTCATGGCTACTTACTGTTAGGGGCTCTTATCCTCTCAGGAGCTAAGGAGAATTCCTGGGGTGGCTTAACCCAATGCCACAAATGGGGCTCCATCCTCTTCATCTGGTTGCAAGCCCTTGACTTTGACTATGCAAGGTAACTGGCTCTCTCTATACAATTAGTTGAAAAAAAAATCTGTGGTGAAGGTGAAAGAGCCCTGGAAATAAGGCAAGCCTGGCCGCCATCTTTGATGCCCCCAGTCAAGTCCCTAATCCTTTGTGTGATCTTACGGATATCTGAGTTACTTACCAACTCTGAGTTACTTCAACTTTCAAATTAGGGGGTTGAACAAGATGATATATGAGGGTTCTTTACAGTTCCAGAAACCAGACTCCATTTTCAAGTTGTGACAGCAGACGCAGCATGAACAAAAGCTGGCATACGTGGTGTGTCTATAAAATAGTATGGCTGATGTTTTTCTCAACATGACTCGAAGAGTCAGCTTGTTTAGTTTTTAGTGATACATTTTACACTAGGTTGAGTTTGTACAATCAAAGTTAAGCTCACAAGCTCAGTGGCATTCATGATAATTAGTGTGTCACATGTTACTTTGAAACAGCTGCCACAGTTTTTAGTTGGTTTCTCTCATCGTATTAGTATCTAGACAGTCAGGATCAGGCTAACTGTCCGGATTGGGTTTCCCTCGTCAAGTCTACAATCTTGGATGGAGCTTCTAGACAGCCAAGTAATAGATGGTGATGCTGGTCCCAAACAGACACCAAGCTCCATGCATCTGCCCTCCACACGTTTTCCTCCCGTTCTGCCAGAGAAGCCCTAGCATAAAGGGGCCCAAGGATGGGAAGAATGCTCTGGGAGAATAGATGAGACCGAAGGATGAGAAAGACCATAAACAAAGGACGGGCGGCGAACAGGAAAGGAAGAGAGCTGCCATTTATGTCTCTTCTTAGGGCGACAGCAAGAAGCCAGTGGGGTCACGGACAGCTGTCATGGGACAGCTACTCCCCAGCAGCTCTGCCTTCTTTCCTGCCTCCAGGAAGCCTGGAGAAGTGTCCAGAGCATGGAAATAGCTCTTCCTGGCCAAGCCCCACTTCCTACCATGCCTCCCACCTGGTTTAGTTTTATGGCTGGCATTTGACACAGCCTGATTTATAGAACCTCTGAGAAAGTCACTGTTCCCAAATTCTCTCATAACTTGGGATGCCTAAAATTCTATTAAAAGGAGATGAACACAGAGGGGTAAGAATTTGGAGGAATAATAAATTCATATGAACAAGTTTCAGAGTGTAAGTGATACCAATTCAGAGTGTGAGTGATTCTTATTCTCACCTTTGCCATCAGGAACTTTCCACCACAGCCTGGTAATAGAACTCTTGCTTTTATTTGCTACGAAGCCATGGCACTGAGAAGCAAGGTGGTTTAGGAAAGTGGAGAGGCACTAGACGCCTGAAGGCAGAAGGGTGTGTCGCTGAGAAGGGGACATATTAAGGGGAATTTGAAGTCACTTAAGCGCCTTCAAATGTAATGATTTGCCCCAGTCCCATTTAATCTTAATCTATGTGAACTCTGGGAGATGTGCACTATGACATATTTCCTGACCTGCTGACTTTTGCAGGTATGTACCTAGGTGGAAACTTCTCACATCCGCCCCAAAAACCTCTGCCACTCGGAGACTTGAGTTTAGCCTCACTTTGTAAATGATGAGTCTCTTTGCTCTTATTTCACTTTTGATTCATGTCAGAAAACCTCAGTGTAATGCAAGAGGTATATCTGGGCACCAGAGGTATAGAATCAGGCCCATGATCCTACCCACATTGTAAGGATTAGGTGATTGGGCACTGCCCTTCTTCTTCTCTAAAAGCATTTCAACTGTGCCTGGCACTCAGCATGTGCAAACTCTCATCATCATTGTTGTTGTTGTTTTTATCTTTGATAAAGGGCTCAAATCTCACCCAGACAGCATGGAAAAAATTTTAATACCACATTATCTCCTCGTGTGATCTTTGGCAGGTGTTATGGGACTCAGATATTAACTTTTAGGGACACTTTGAAAATGGTACATTCTTCTTAACACCTTTGCATTATAATTATACCTTCCTCTATGCTTAAAGGAGGCGTTGAATCCTGTAGGCTCTTTGATATACTTGCTTTTTATTTGTTTGTGTTAAGTAGTAGTTTGGCTACCTTGAGATATTATGTGGGTATCCTTAGGTTTTGTCTCCTTTTGGCAGTTTCTCTACCTGACCCTTTCACAGACTCTCCTGAAATTTATATCTGTCAGAATAGAATATGCACCTTTACCGTTACACAGTTTTGCAATGACAATGCTGTTTATGTTAGCATTGACTCTAATATAAGCAGGGAAATATTGTTTGGTTTAGCCTCTAGCCTAGCATGGAAGAATGGTGATTTTGCTTTTAAAAAGGTTAAACTGCATGTAAACACCGTCATTGCTGCCTTTTTGACTAACAGGGTGAACTTGAGTCAGAAGATACTTGAAGCTGTTTCTTAGAATTCTGTTTTGTTTTATAAATGAAGACTGTGCTTAGCCTGTAGAATAACTGTTCTTATTGGGAGTCCTAAGCCTTTCCCAGTTTTAATGGGGTCAGCCTGGCCATTGCAATACTCCCAGGAGGCCTGGGTCAAATGTCACTTCTCCCAAGGTCAGTGCAGAAAGCTCTATTGGTCTTAGAGATGAGGCCATGCGTATTCCCTGTCCCGTGAGTTTACTTCTAGCCTAAGAAGGAAGCTCTCAATGTTTGTCTCTTCTTCTGTTGGTGCTATATATGTTGACATTTGTCAGTACATGGGTCAGGCTATTGAAAATCTCTCCATGAAGGAAATGGTCAGATATTTGTTTTAAGGGAATTTTACTGCTTCCTTGATGGAGATCAGTGGCATCAGGCCCTGAGGGCTAACCCCAGCTTTGGCCTCCGTAGCATTCAGGTTGTTTATTAGAAGATGTCCTTGGGATCAACACCTGCAGAAGAGAAGGAGAAGAGGCAAGAGCATGCAGAGAAGGCAGGCTGGGGTGCAGCCCACTGACAGCCTCCACTGGCCCCAGAAAGAATTGGGGAATTGGAGTGGCCTTCAGGGTTGTCTCCCATTGGGACAGGATGGACCAGACTTTGATCCTCTACAATAGCTTATTGGGTGTGGGGTGCCTGGGAAGGGTGTGACCTCGGGGGAGGTGGTTCTCTGAGACCCAGGTAATCTTGGAAAGGGCTGAGAGCCAAAGATCACCTGTTGACAGTATTCCCAGCCTCAGGGGCAGCAAGTCCTTCTTTTAAGGGGGTCTGGTTAGAGTACCCAGTGTCCATGACAGTTCATTCACCAACCACAGAAGACCATCATAATGGTAGTTTGGATGCCACTGAGAACACCAAGTTGGCTAAGTTGGGGTCAGCACTCAGACCACAGGGTCTCCTGTGTAGGATTCCGGTGTCTGCTCTGTGGAAAATAGGTTGAAAAGCAATCCAAGAAGTGATGCAAAATACAAAATAATTAGTAGGGGAATTTAACTTAATGCAAAACATGGAAACAAAAGGAAAAAAATTTTAATAAATGCCATTTGTAACATTAGCATGCTAAAGTTACTTGCTGAAACAATAGTACACAGTTTTAGATTTTAAAGGGGGGTGATTTCATTTTCCCCTAATCTGTTGAATTTGGTAAATCTTTTTGGTAAGTCAGTGTTGAGAAAAGCATTATCTACCTTTGAATTGACTGTTCTTGATGCAGCTTTTACTTTTTAAAGGGACACGATTTGACTAGTGTTAACATCTGAATCCTTGTAATGGCGAACAGTTTTATATTGTATTCCACAAATGCTCAGACTCTTTTTTATGTTCCAGATATTGATGAATGCAGCACAATTCCTGGAATCTGTGATGGGGGCGAATGTACAAACACAGTCAGCAGTTACTTTTGCAAATGTCCCCCTGGTTTTTACACCTCTCCAGATGGTACCAGATGCATAGGTAGGTTTAATTACAAACATCATGCATGGTTTGTATAAGCCAGTTCTATAACAAACAACTTGTTAGACAGGCTTGTTAAGGGGCACATATGATTTATCAGTTAAGGTAAAATGTTCACTTTTGGAAAAGTGTTTTAACAGTTGAGTGCCCTCTTAAAGAACAGAGGCACCTTGCAGTCTTTATTGGGGATGTTTTCCCTCCCATAAAAGAGGGATGATCCTGGAGACCTTACAGATATCTTCAGTTTATTAATTAATGTTGCAGTCATGTAGCATGAAACCTTGAAGTCATCCCAGATGTCTCTCTCTTTTTACCCCCACCTTCAGCCATTCCCCGGAACCTATGTTAATTTGGCCTGAAATTTTTCAATAATCTCTTAATTGGTCTCCCTGCTTCTTGGCTTCTCCACAATCCGTCTTGTCAGATTTATCTTCCTAAAACAGTGCTTTGATTAAATAAAACTCTTGCTCAAACCCTCGGTAGTTTTCCATTAGGACTTAGAAATTAGTGGTTTTCAGTCTGTGTTCAGTGGATCCTTCAGGTGTTTCAAAGCCCTCCAGGGCTGCAGGGATTGGGGAGGAGACAGAGAAAAGGGAGAGGGCTGAGTAGAAAGAGCTCTTGTCCCCCCACACCCCTACACACATTCTAGGCATAGCAATTTCACTCTATCTCCTGTGTTAGGTTTTTGTGTCAGATATCAATTAAATAAGGTGTTCTGTTGCTTAAAAAATAGGTTTGACTGGGTGTGGTGGTTCACGCCTGTAATCCCAGCACTTTGGGAGGCCAGGGCAGGTGGATCACAAGGTCAAGAAGATCGAGACCATCCAGGCCAACATGGTGAAACCCCATCTCTAGTAAAAATACAAAAATTAGCCAGGCATGGTGGCAGTTGCCTATAATCCCAGCTACTTGGGAGGCTGAGGCAGGAGAATCGCTTGAACCTGGGAGGTGGAGGTTGCAGTAAGCCAAGTTTTTGCCACTGTACTCTAGCCTGGGTGATAGAATGAGACTTCATCTCAAAAAAAAAAAAAAAAAAAAAAAGATTTGACAGCTGCTGGATTTAGCAATTAAGACTTCCTTCAAAGTATGGTGTTCTATATTAAAATCCAAGTTCCAGAGTGCACAGTCTGATATTAGGGGCTTCAATCTAGGAGAGCCTCAAACTACATGAAAAACATTAAAATATCTTTTTTTTTTTTTTTTTTGAGACGGAGTTTCACTCTTGTTACCCAGGCTGGAGTGCAATGGCGCGATCTCGGCTCACCGCAACCTCCGCCTCCTGGGTTCAAGCAATTCTCCTGCCTCAGCCTCCTGAGTAGCTGGCACTATAGGCGCGCACCACCATGCCCGGCTAATTTTTTGTATTTTTAGTAGAGACGGGGTTTCACCATGTTGACCAGGATGGTCTCGATCTCTCAACCTCGTGATCCACCCGCCTCGGCCTCCCAAAGTGCTGGGATTACAGGCTTGAGCCACCGCGCCCGGCCAAAATATCTTTATATATCAGATGGTTTGCATTTTAAAAGTTCTTTTCTTTTTATCAAATATATCCATACTAACTTTTTACAAAGGAGGAAGGGAAGGGAACTAAGATTTGTGGATCACTTCCTGGGTATGAGGTATTTCATGTAAATTATCTAACATAATGTTCATTTCACAGCAGTCTTGTAGATGGGAAGCAGCTTAGATTGAGAGAGGTTAGATAAACAATGGTACCGTTGTTTAAGTGGGTAGTAAGAAAGGGATCTGGGATTCTCGACCTGAGTGCACAGCCTAGACTACCCTCATTGCCTCCTACCCCACAAACCTGGATGCAGCCCATCCTTTCTTGCCAGACCCCTAGGCAAGACCCGTTTCTTCTTTGGAACTCTGTTGTTCCCATGATTAGCAACTTGTCATACACAGTGATCCAAGTGACGCTTCTGCCTTCCCCAGTGCTCCTTTTCCCCTCAATGGTAAGCAACGGAGACCCTCAAAATTATCCCTAGTGATGAGAAAATGCACATAGTCCCTAACTTATAAGCAGATCCAAGGCTTGTTTACAAGATGGTTGTATGGAATTAGTTAATCTCACCAATAGGAAACCCCCGATGTAGATAGTGGCATGCAGTATCTTCCGCACACATTTCTTCTAACCATAAAATTCCAGCTGTCACCTTCTGCCACCACATTCCGAGACTCTCAGACCTCCAAGCCCCTGAGCTCCCTTTGTGTTCTAAGCTCTCATAGTATTATTTGTTGTTCTGTGATCTTCCTGTGGCATTTGTAATATTTCTGTAGGGTTGTCTTTTTATATTATGGTTTTCTCTGTCTTCAACTCCTAGGAGTCATAAAGATATCCTTTCCCTAGTTCAGGCATCACAACTCCTAGCTCCTGGTTGTGGTTGTGCACAACCATGTTCATGACAGGTTAGGAGAGGGCTAGTGACAGGCTAGGATGACCTGCAAATATCTATTTAACCGATAATATATTTGCTTTGATATAGTGTGATTTCTGGGTCTTGAGAATAGGGACCAAGTGATTCAAAGGGGGAGAAAAGAGTGAGATTTCCTCCTCCTTTTCTGTCACCGGGCAAGGTAGCTCACACCTGTAATCCCAGCACTTTGGGAGGCTGAGGCCCACAGATTACGAGGTCAAGAGATAGAGACCATTCTGGCCAACATGGTGAAACACCTTCTCTACTAAAAACACAAAATTAGCTGGGCCCACATGGTGGTGGTACATGCCTATAGTCTCAGCTACTCAGGGGGCTGAGGCAGGAGAATTGCTTGAACCCAGGAGGCAGAGGTTACAGTGAGCCAAGATCATGCCACTGCACTCCAATATGGCGACAGAGTGAGACTCTGTCCCAAAAAAAGAAAAGGAAGATGTCTGTGGTTCCTTCTGTCTCCCTTTATGTTCTCCAGATCCTGACATTCTTCTCTCCTTTGCTTTTCTCCTGAAGGTCTTCAAATTATTCTACAGCCACTCCTTACCCTCTGTGCAAAGTGACATACCAGGACCACAGTTCCCACCACTTGGTGTGGCGCTGCTGCCTCACACAGTGGAAACCTTCAGGCTGGTGTGCCCTGGGGTCAGTTACTCCAGATGGTTTCTGATTTTCAGTGTTTTCCTTCCTTTACTTATGAGCCTGCAGATTTGCATTAAAATGATGTTATTTAAATGTATATTTTTAACAAAGGTACTTCTTCAGCAAAAAAAAAAAAAAAAAGAAATTTAAAAAATGATTATTATCTGTGCAGGTACCATTTGTAAATCAGGGACTGCCAGTAACCCAAACTTGATGTGTAATATTTTTAGCCCCAACAATCACCCTTTGATCAAGAGTTTGTGACCCATTGATTTAACATCTAAGTCAGCCAGATGGGCAATAACATAATATCATAGTTAATTTGCAAAATAATAGGCATTAGCCCATTAAGCTTTTGTCATTGGCAACGTAGGCCCTAGTTTTGCTCTGAAAGATAGCCCATGCTGAAAATTATATGTACGAATTCCATAATTCGGTCAAGTGTTTACACTGGGTTTTGACCACTGAATTCATTTGAAGCTGGGATATAAGCCAGTTTTGAATATCTCTTCCCATTCTCAACAGTCTTTGGTTTCCATGCCCCAAATATTTACGAATTCCCAAGTATATAAGTATTAGTGGTTTTAAGGCATTACAAATTAGTATGTAGGAAGTTCAATTTCTCTGCCCTCTTGACAGGGAGGTGCCACCTGAGGCTTCACAGAGCATGCTTGTCTACACTCCCTCTCCAGCCGTTTATCCTGAACTGGGCTGGAATAAAACTGGTTCTTCCTCTTTGGTGAAACTATTAGTCTGACCAGAGGTACAGGAATTGGAACCACAAAAAAAAAATTCTGGAAAGCACATTTATACTGGCTGGTGGTTTTAAGTACTTTTCGGAAATAATCTTGTATCCTTTAAAACTGACCCATAATTTTCTTTTATGGTTTGTCTAGGTTTGTTTTAGCCTTCTTTACTTGATGTTGATAATTCAAATGATTATAAATTAGCCTTGTTTTTATTTTATTTTATTTTGTTAATTTATTGAAACCTCGAGACTTGAAGGCTCTGTGTTCTTAAGAATGATGTAGATGATAACAATTACAGGTATGACCCTTTCTGAGCAACCTTGATATTTAATATTCAGACTTACAGGAAACCCAGCGATGGAGTTTTGGCTATGAAGGAGCTTTGCTTTCCAAAAGAATTTAACACTTATATTCCTTTAAATCAGTGGTCCCCAACCTTTTTGGCACAAGGGACTGGTTTTGTGGAAGACAATTTTTCCTTGGACTGGGAGGAGGGAATGGTTTCAGGATGATTCAAGCACGTTACATTTATTGTGCGCTTCACTTCTATTATTATTAAATTGTAATATATAATGAAATAATTATACAACTCACCATAATGGAGAATCAGTGGGAGCCCTGAACTTGTTTTCCTGCAATTAGGTGGTCCCATCTGAGGGTGTTGGAGGACACTGACAGATCATTAGGCATTAGATTCTCATAGGGAACAGGCAACCTAGAACCCTTGCATGGGCAGTTCACAATAGGGTTTAACCTCCTGTGAGAATCTAGTGCTGCCACTGATCTGACAGAGGTGGAGCTCAGGTGGTAATGTGACTGGGGGGTGGCTATAAATACAGATGAAGCTTCACTCATTGGCCCGCTGCTCACCCACTGCTGTGTGGCCCAGTTCCTAACACGCCACACATCAGAACCAGAGGCTGGGATACCTAGAGGTTGAAAAACCCTGCTTTAAATAACAAGCATCTTGTATTATTTGCTTTTTAAAATATAATTTTATGTGACCTCTATAGAGATGTAGTTTACTTGAAAAGAGGTACACCCTCGGCACATGTCAGGCAGGCAAAAGTGTTTTGCATTTTGCTACCTGCCTTCTCTGTTTCATGGTAATGTCTCAAAGGGTTATGGAGCAGTTAGGTTTTCCTGTGTCACAAACTCTTTTGGTGACCCTGAGTTGCACTGCAGCATGTCAAGTGTTGTCATGACAGTCAGACGTGATGTAACCCAGTAAAAGTGATATGGAAACGTGTCTTACTGTGGTGCTTTGAGAAGACACCTTTCTGCCAGAAACAAAAACAAAAAAATCCTTCTAGAGCTATTGTATCCATAGGACTAAGAACTTGGAATCATATGCATTTTGAACTTATAAATATATAGTGCCTTATAAAATCTGTTAGGCCCCAAGACAAAAGGAAATCTTGATTAACAAGCATTGGATCTAAGTGCAAAGTGGCTTATTTTTAAAAGAAAAAAAAAACTTATGTCTGACTCACAGTTGCAGACTGAAAAAATAAGACCTTCTAGAACTATAGACTAAATGCTGTTTTAAAATAGATTTACATAAATATTTTCCTAAAATGGCTCGAATTAAATAGTTTGAAACCAAGGACAACCCAGTCTCTCTTCAGCATACAGGCGTGTCTCTACAAATAATTAACTGTCACTGCCAGTGATTTTCTTAGTCTCTCTTTTCCTATGGCACACATGGTTTTAATCATTCGTTCCCACCTTGGGTATGGAATGTGGGACTTGAGCCAAGTGCACCAGCACACAGGGGTAAAAGGTGTGAGACGAGGGATTTCTGACCCAGCGCTGTTCCTGTGCAGCACTCACAGCCTCCCGTCCTGGGGGCAGAGGTGTGAGTTAATCCTGCTGTAGTCCTAGTGTGAAGTGCGGGGCTGCTGGGGCAGGGGAGTGTCGTACAAGTCTGATCTCAGTGATGTGTGTGTATATGTGTTTCTTTGTCCTCAGATGTTCGCCCAGGATACTGTTACACAGCCCTGGCAAATGGGCACTGCTCTAACCAGCTGCCACAGTCCATAACCAAGATGCAATGCTGCTGTGATGCCGGCAGATGCTGGTCTCCAGGGGTCACTGTCGTCCCTGAGATGTGTCCTATCAGAGCAACTGGTAAGAGCCCTTCCTTCCAGTTATCTGCAGAATATCCCATCCCAGCCCTCACAAGCCCAATGGCAATGTGCATGATGCAGGTATAATGGAAACCTGGGTAAATGAATAGATTCCAGAAAATATAAGAGATGACATTCAGGGAAATTTCCCCAGATAACGAACAGGGGAAAAAACCAAGATCTGTACAAAGAGTACCGTTTCCAGGTACTGATTTTTACTTCTCTGGCTTATTACTACTAAACAGAAACATTTTTGGGAAGTACTTATTCTCATTTTAGTGCTTAATGGCTCTCATGTAGTACTCAAAAGCTCAGTAGGGTAAAACTCAGCTCTCTCAGAATTTTTTAGGTAAGTTATTCAGGAGACACATTTCCTTTTTTCCTGACGTTGGACTCTTTCCTTGCTGTGAAACCCTGCACTTTTTTTTTTCCTCCGCAGTATCTATTTATCTGTCCATTGTTTTGTTTCCGTTAGAAGCTTATTTGCTCTCGTCCGGACTGTTCCAGTAGCCTCCTAACTCGTCTCTGAAATCCGCAGTTGCCATGCACCTTTCCCACAGTTTGAGTCAGTGAAGTTCAGTTTAAAAAGTTGTGTCTAGGGAAGGAAAAGGAGACACCTTTTGACTCATTGAGTGTATTTTAAAGCACCATGCCATACATAATGAATACGTACAATTTTTATTCTTTAGTTAAAAAATATATAACTAAAAATATATAAATACAATACACTTTTGTTAGTCCAGAAAGATGTCCAAAAATTTTCCCCCAGGAGGAACTCAGGCAATATTCAGTGGCCAAGTCACTCCATTTGTTGCAAAGAACATTTGCTAGTTAGCACAGCATTTAGAGTCCCCAAATCTGATCCCAGTTTATCTTTTAATTCTTGTTCTTTGCAGTAGCTTAAATTATATGATTGAGTTTTTGTTGCACTGAGCATTTCTAAATTCAAGTTGACTTTTTTTCTAAAACTTCTTGCCAGTTCAGGTTCTTTCTCCCTACTCCTGCCACTCTTGCCTGTTATATATCCTCTTGTCTTGTTAAGGATCTGCTGAAATATGACCTGACCCATGAATGTCCCTAGGTAGCCACAGCTGGAAATGCTCCCTTCTCCCTTGTGCTCACCTGGCCCTGGCTGGTACTGTCACTGCGGCATGAGTCCCATATGTGTGTTCACATATTCTCTTTTACTGGTTGATAAATCTCAATAGGAAATGTCATTCATCATTGTAGTCCCATATTTCTCATGCTTTTTACACTTCAACAGTATTTAGCAAAACCTTACTTATAGGAGGCATTCAAATAGACAGAGCAACTTATTAGGTAACATCTTTCCCACCACTGAGCAATTTCAAAACATCACTGTGTACACAATGAATATATACAATTTTTCTTTGTCAATTAAAAATGATAAATAAATAAATACATAGATGAAGGTTACCTTCTTTTGTCCAGTAGGGGACCATTTAGTAGATCACTGTTTAAAAGCACATGACTTCCTACTAAGACATGGCTTAGGTACGAGGAGAATGGCTTTTAAAAAGCATATGTTAACTTAGGAATCAGCAGCTTTGATGTGGATTCCTTCCTGTGTTGAGGCTTTGACTAGAGAAGAGAACAAGAGCAGTTTTCGGTGCCTGCAACTTTGGGACAGTTGGAGCAGAAGGCTAGGTTCCTGTGTGTGTGGCTTTGCAGGGAGCTGCTCTCCCAGGTGTACAACGGAGAGACGCACAGCCCTGAGAGGGGAAAGCAGGTGTACAAAGCACAATAATCTGCAGCAGGTTTTTGTTTGTCCAAATGTTCCAGTACCAGTGCTGCAGAGATCTGGGCCCTTACAGAGAGAGAAGCAGGAAGGATTTTAGATTGGTCAGCTTTCTGCTCTTTAAAAAAATAAAACAATCATCATGGGTTAAGTAGAGAAAGTAAAGCTAGATATCAGCTGAACAAAATTAGCCCCACGTTGGTGATCCTAAATGTAAAGGAGCAATGCGAAAATTATGAATCTGTAAAAAAATAAGAAGAAATATAGAATTCAGTCTGATAACACTTTTTTCCTAGAGAGGTTGAGATGAATTTAATGGCATTCTTAAAGTAAAATACTCACCTAATTAGCAGAAATGCTGATAAGCTATCCAATTTCTTTTACACAAATTTAAAAAGTCTTTTAAAAAAAGGCTGAATTGGTACCTACAAATACTTGGAAGCAAAGTGAGTTCCTTAATATAATTGTCATTCAATTAAATCCAACACACAGTTAAAGAATTCCTGTTATGTGCAATTCGCAGGGCAAGGCTGAGAGTGGCAACTAGTCATGAATTAGAGATGATCCCTGACTTCAAACATACACAGTCTTAGTGGTGGGAATTTGGTGAAAGCAGGTTCCCAGGAAATGATTAATATAGCACATACAGATGATAAATCTATAGGAAGAGTCATTATTGGTTGACAAACAGGATTGTGACATCGGTCACAGTCAGGGAAGCATGAACAACTTGGAATTCCTTTACAAATACATTCAAGTATGACAGTATCTCTGTGATTTGAAATTCCAGGTAAGTCATAATTAAATTGCTGTAATGGAATTCTCTGAAAACATAAATTTGACCTGAGCTGGAAATGTCAAATACGATTGAAGAAATTTTAGAAATGGAACAGAAAGTACCAGCAGGGTTCATGGTAGCTAGGCATATTTAACCTCATGTAAATTGGCAGAATATCCCATGAGGTTGAAGCGTGAATGCATTTCAGTAATAACTGCCTTAAAATAAGTTACATTTTAGTCTATAAGGAAAAGAAAAATATTAGTCTAATTTCTATTAATGGCTAAAACTAACACAGAAGATATCCATGAGAAAATCACTGTGCAACTGTGAAAATAAAATTACCAACATCCTAGCAAGAGAGGAAAAAAATGAAATTTAAAAGTCACATAGGTTATTTATAGATGGTAGCTATGATAAAACATAGTTATTTGTAGGCAGCATGAAAATGAATAAAACAAATACACTCTTGGAAACCTGGATAGTGTATACTGTTTAAAAACACCGTTTTGGAAGCCCAAACAGGTGTGTCAGAAACCTAAAGGTGATTTAGTTTGATAAAGACCTGATGCTGTGAAAGATAGTGATCATCCTAAAAATATAGAATCACAGGGAAGCAGATGATGAAGTCAAGATGTCCTCACTTAGAGGGTCACTGTGCAGTATTAATACCAGACCCTCCGCCCCTCAGTATTTCTCCTCCCATGTGGGCCACTTCTCTACTATACTGCTTTCTTTCACGAATCAGTATTCTTCAGGGTCCTGACTTTGTACTCCCTTCTCTTCCCCTTCCGTGTCTCTCTTACATGAGCTAATCCATCCCCATGGCTTTGAATATGCCCTCTCTGTACTGATGACTCTAAAACATACATCTAGTCTTGATTCCTCTAGGCTTCACACTGTCTTTTACAACTGCGATATGATGGCTCCACTTGGATGTCTGATATCTCAAAACTCATATGTTCAAAATGGAACTTGGCTTCTACCCACCAAACCTGCTACCACTATGATTTTTCCCATCCAGGCAAGGGCACTGACATTCACCCAATTGCTCAACCAGAAAACTAGGAGGCATTCTTGACTTCTTGTCCCCTGAGCTCTGACAGTTGTTACTTCACTGAGCACGCTGCGTTTGTGTCTAAAGTGTGCTTTAGATTTGTCCACTACTGTGCAGCTCAGTCACTGCCTCCGTCGTCCAGACATCATCATCTCCCCTCGGTCTTCTGCAACAGCCTTGCCTACCCCCAGTAACGTTCTTCAGATGTTGTAATTGTAGGCGTGACCTTCTGAAAATGGTCATCTGATCATGTCCCACCCCTGTTGAAGACATCCAGTGGTTTTGCACTGTGCATAAAATAAAATCCAATTTTTTTAATGTATTCTGTAGAGCCCTGTGGGATCCACAGGTGGGACTGCATGGAGAAAGTAGTATTCTATGTATTCCATGAGGTGAATTTTGATACAGATAAAGACTCCTAGGTTTTGGGAAGGACCTGGTTTTCAATTATTGTTCCAGAGTGGTTGCTGCTCTAGGTATTAAAAACAGGAATGCAGTCAGTTGGTTCTTTTTCTTTTCTCCAATTGGCCTGTGAGTGCTGAGGATCAATTTTATTCCAAAATATCTTTAAAAAAATAAGGATGACTTCTATGGACCTATGATGATAAGCTACAGCTCAGCTGTTATGTTTTGCTTTGTTGTTGTTGTTGTTGTTTTTTTAGAGGATTTCAACAAGCTGTGCTCTGTTCCTATGGTTATTCCTGGGAGACCAGAATATCCTCCCCCACCCCTTGGCCCCATTCCTCCAGTTCTCCCTGTTCCTCCTGGCTTTCCTTCTGGACCTCAAATTCCGGTCCCTCGACCACCAGTGGAATATCCGTATCCATCTCGGGAACCACCAAGTAAGAATTCAAAAGTCTTTTAGTTATTTTTCTTGCATTGTTCTCTTTAACATTTTTTATTGTTTGTTTATGCTGCTTGAGTCATTAAATAGGTTTATAAATTGTTATATTGATTTTTGGTTTATGTGTTACCTATATCCATATCATCTATATATCTCAATTTTTCTATTGCATAGAGAAAAACGGGAGGCTTCCTATTCTCCAGAGATTAATGTCTTTTTGGTTTTCATTTGTTTGATTGTTGTTGTTGTTGTTTTTTGAGACAGAGTTTTGCTGTTACCCAGGCTGGAAAGCAGTGGCATGGTCTCGGCTCACTGCAACCTCTGCCTCCCAGGTTCAAGCAATTCTCCTGCCTCAGCCTCCTGAGTAGCTGGGACTACAGGCGCCTGCCAACACACCCTGCTAATTTTTTGTATTTTTTTTTTTTTTTTTTTTTTTTTTTTTTTTTTTTTTTTTTTTAGTAGAGACAGAGTTTCACCATGTTGGCCAGGCTAGTCTCAAACTACTGACCTCATGATCCACCTCGGCCTCCCAAAGTGCTGGGATTACAGGTGTGAGCCACTGCACCCAGTCTAACATCCTTTTGTTATCAGTGTTTTCAGGCAACTATGGGAGAGTTATGGACAACAGTTCAATCCAATTCACAGAAAGGATTAATAGTGGAGGTATAAAATTATACTTTAGGTCAGGCGTCCTCAGACTATGGCCCGCAGACCGCATGCAGTCCCCTGAGGCCATTTATCCGGCCCCCCGCTGCACTTTAGGAAGGGGCACCTCTTTCATTGGTGGTCAGTGAGAGGAGCACAGTATGTGGTGGCCCTCCAACAGTCTGAGGGACAGTGAACTGGCCCCTGTGTAAAAAGTTTGGGGACGCCTGCTTTAGGTTATAGAGCTTGCAAGGCAGTTTTATAAGTAGTTCAATACCAGTGTCTCTCTGCCTTTGTTATTTCTGCAAACTAGAGGTTTGAGAATGAGGTGATGAAGGGGGCAGGGAAAAGCAGGCTGCACCTGGGTTGCAAGCCACCCTGTGCACACAGGGCAATGTGATCTCTGTTGGCTGGGTGGAATTATGCTCTGTTGTTGCCAGATGACCTTTGCCCAGAGAGTGCTGTCCTCTTTCCTTTCTGATTCAACATCTTGTTCATTGTTGTCAGATTAAGTACTGATGGACGGTACCATAGTTAAAATAATTTTAATGGGACTTAATGTTCTTCTAGGGGTGCTGCCAGTCAACGTCACTGACTACTGCCAGTTGGTCCGTTATCTCTGTCAAAATGGACGCTGCATTCCAACTCCTGGGAGTTACCGGTGTGAGTGCAACAAAGGGTTCCAGCTGGACCTCCGTGGAGAGTGCATTGGTACGTGATCCATCCTAGGCTGGCACCAAGGGGCTGCTCCAATTCTCTTCCTTGACTCTGCTGGTTCTATTGCTCCTGTAACAAATGGCCCTAAACTTGGTGGCTTAGTACAATACAAACTTGTATTATCTTTCAGCTCTGTAGGCTGGTAGTCCAACACAAGTCTTACTGGGCTAACATCCAGGTGTTGGGAGAGCTGTGCTCATTTTGGAGGCTCTTGGGAGGAATCCATCTCCTTGCCTTTTTCAGCTACTAGCAGCTGCCTGCATTTTAGCTCATAGCCCCTTCCTCCATCTTCAAAGCCAGCAGCTTTGCATCTTCGAATCTCTCTCTCTCTCTCTCTCTCTCTCTCTCTCTCTCTCTCTCTCTCTCTTTCTCTCTCTCTCTTTCTCTCTCTCTCTCTCTCTGGCTCTCTCTTGCAATTCTCTCTTCCACATTTAAAGATATTTGTGACTGCATTTGGCCACCTGTATAATCCAGGAGACTCTCTCCGTCTCAAGGTCACTGATTAGCAACCTTAATTCCATCTACAACTTTAATTCGCCTTTGCCGTATGAACATACCCATAGGTTCTGCTGATTAGGGCATGCACGTATTCAGGAGGTCATTATTCTGCCTATTAAAATTACTTTTAACTTCCGTTGTAAAATACATTCAACTCATTGCTGGTAACTCCAATTTAAGACACCCTACTAAAAGCCTAACCATTCAAATAAAGCATTAAAAATAGCCCCGTATTATGGAATTTTGCACATTATACTAGTCTAAATGGGTAGCTTACCAGTCTCTTAGACTAGTTATTTTAAATGGAAGAAAGAAACTTTAAATTGCTAATAAGGCATTTAAGCTGGTGAAGGGAGGAAGTGTAATACAAGAATAATCAATTTGTTGGATGAGATAAGACTTCAGTTTCTATCAATTTATTTTTAAAAATAAGTTCACCTCTTAGTTCTGTTATGAAATCTAGTTATATAATTATAAATTTATGATTGGTCAAAAATGAATAGTTCTTACTTTCCCAAATGATTTAATTTTCTGGTGATATCAACACCCCTTCTAGAGGTCATTCAGATCCCAGTAGAAGTGGGAACATCTAACTCAGGATTGGGGAATGTGAGGTCAGACTTGTGTCTGCCACTAAGAAGATGTCGTAGGTGGGTTATGTTTGCTAAATTTTAGCTTCCTCCTGTTCACAAGTAGGGGCATATAAACCAGTTTATCTCTAAGTATACTGATAATTCTAAGTGACTGTAACACTAGTGTGAGCCTGTGTATTGAGCACATCAGGAGATGGGGTATACTCTATGGTGATTGAGAACTGCCCTTTAAACAACAGTTACTTTATGTTTTGTTCTAACATTTTAGTGGAACTCAGCAGGGAATGCTTGGATATGGTTAGGCCTTCTTTTTTTTGAGGCGGGGGGTGGGTGGAACAGAGCTTGAAGAGATACTTGGAGTCCCATCCAGAAGCCACTTCTGAAATGTTAGTTTGTTTGGCTCCCTTAGACCAGACTCAAGGAAGAGAAATGGTTATTAGCTCAGAGTGTTGAGTTGCTACATGTTTGGAATTTTTCTCTGCAAAATGACACATGAAAATAATATACTTTAACTGCTCAACCAGACTTCAAGTGGCTAATGACATATTGTAGTGGAAAGAAAAAAGATCCTTTTATTATGTTATTTATTTCTTAAAAGGAAAATGTTTTACAGGTATAAAAGGAAGCAGTCTTAGAATTATGAGGTATTATTGCTATCTAATTTTGCACTTAAATACATTGTGCTTTGCAGATGTCGATGAATGTGAGAAAAACCCCTGCGCTGGTGGCGAGTGTATTAACAACCAGGGTTCGTATACCTGTCAGTGCCGAGCTGGATATCAGAGCACACTCACACGGACAGAATGCCGAGGTATGGTCCTGGCGTCGAGTGTGGGATGTATATGCTAACTGGGGGTTGGTGTCAGAGGAGTTCCATGGAGTTTAAATAACCCATGTCAGAAGAAACTGATATAGTCGCATGGCTTTTTTGAACTTAATTTCACCTATTTTCATTCTGAAAGGCAATGTCATACAATCTGGCAAGCATTGAAATAATTTTAAAAGATGCCTCTATGCCTGCAGGAAAATCTTATTTTTAGTACTGTTGTCTCACCACTGTTATTGCCTCTTAAGTTTTCATCTGAGAAGTAGAGAGTGGGATTGTCCTTTGTGACACAGCATCTGAGGAAACTTTCAGTTGAAATTATGTTCCATTAATTTCTTAATGGAAAGTTCTAAAAATTAAGGATGTCACTCAGAGCCCTTGCTGCTTTTTAGTGTGGTCAGCAGCAGCATCACCTAGAGCTGCTTGGAAATACAGAATCTCGGGCTCCACTACTGATGTGCTGTGGCAGAATCTGTATTTTCACAAGATCCCTTAGTGATCTAGATGTACATTGAAGTTTGAGAAGCACTGCTATAAATGTCCCCTCATAAAAATTTTCCATCAGGTTTGTTTATTAACTAATTTGTTAAGCCACCCAATATGTCTTTTATTAAGTAACTGTTATATACTAAGTTTCTAAAGCAGAAATAAATAAGATACAATGATCACTGTCAGGGAACCCCAACATCTATCTCCATCTCTATCTCTAAATTTAGCACAAAATGAACTGTATCATTAATTCAGTAAAGACAGGAGAAAAAACGGGCGAACACTCTGTTAAAATTAAATAAAAGGGCCCATCAATGATAGACTGGAAAAGGAGAATGTGGTACATGTACAACATGGGATACTATGCAGCCATAAAAGAGAATGAGACCATGTCCTTTGCAGGGACGTGGATGGAGCTGGAGGTTATTATACTTAGTAAACTAACATTGGAACAGAAAACCAGGTACCACATGTTCTCACTTTTAAGTAGGAGCTAAATGATGACACATGGACATATAGAGGGGACCAGGACACACCGGGGCCTGGGAGGGTGGAGGGTTGGAGGAGGGAGAGGATCAGGAAAACTAACTAATGGGCAGTAGGCTTAATACCTGGGTGATGAAATAATGTGTACAACAAACCCCCATGACACAAGTTTACATATGAAACAAACCTGCACATGGATCCCTGACCTTAAAGATTTTTAAAAAGTCAAATATAAGGAAAGATAGGGAAGTTTATATCACTTTAGAAAATTGGTAGCCATTGGCGAGAGTTAATTTTATTTGCCTCTTTTAGCAAAAGCTCTTCCTCAGTTGAAGACGTATAGAAGTTTTAATTCTTATCAGTGAACTGGTTTCAAAAATTTTTGAATCTGGTTGTCACGTAGGGATTTCTTGCCATCAGGGTATTTTAGTGCACTACATATAAATGATCATTTTGAGCAGAAAAACTGGAACAAGGCCTTTGAACTTGCTATCATTTCTATTAATGAATTATAAATATGGATACGTTGAACATTCGAGAACCTTCTGAATATAATGACTATTGTTTAAAATAATTAACATGTACAAATACATACTAGACATTTTGCAATAATAGAAAATAAAATGAAATAAATGTCCAGAGACTGCACTGTTAAATAAGCAAAGAGAAGTAGTTATTGAGAGCACTCAGCTGGGGGCACGGGCCAGCCAGTAGAAATGCGTCTGTGATTATCATCAATCTGAGACTTAGTACTGGAAACGGAGGATGACCTGAATGCTTTAAACACTGACTTACTTTAAGACGTAGCGCTAAGGTTACCCAGAAAATAAGAAGTTGAGAACGTGCTCGCATTATTTTGTGGATAACAGTTGCCACAGAATGGTCCAAAGACTGTGCACATAGCTGGGAAGTATGAGGAGCTAAACAGAAGGGGACAGAAGGATGGGTAGAGGTGAATTTAGAATGGCAAGCTTTAAATTTGTCTTAAAAGGCAGTGGGGAACCCCATGACACTCTGAAATCAATGAGGAGAGAAAAAGATGAACTCTTTATCATGTTTATTTTAACCTTGAGCCTCAAAAAATTATAGGATCCTTTAAAAAAAAAAAGTCTGCTCCTGAATATGTGGTTTTTACCATTTTTTTGGAGTGTGGACCAAGTCTGATTTTTAGCAAGGATTAAGAAATAAATGAGAGAGAAAAAAGATCATAGGTTGTTGGCACAAAGATCAGACAGAAGAAAAGCCCAGACTGCCTCAGCTCGTCCAATGACTTGTGTGGAAACCACACCAGGATCTGCCCAGAAAGAAAGTGCATCTGAGGGCCAACCACAAGACGCCTTGCAGAAGCAGGGTAGACAGTCCGAGTAACTGACGTGCCATGAACGCACGTGCTCGTTGTTCAGGGGATGTTTGGGGCACTTAGGCAAATGTGACCTCAACTCTGCATAGCTAGGAGTGCTTGCATCTGACTCCACGTAGTTTCCTGGTCCCTGTCTTCTGGGAATGGGCCCTGGAAGCTACTGTATGCCTGAGTAGACAAAGCAGTTTGTGTTCATCCTCTTTGATGTTCATCCAGGTTTGTAGCCTCTTTAAACTGAGAGAAACAGATAATCCAGGGTACCAGGCTGTCCATTTTGGGTTTATTATTAATCTTTAAATGAGAAATCAGAAACAGGTTGTTTGAGTTATTGTTATTTTAACACTTCCATGTCAAGCTCTACTGTGTACTTTGGCATAATATTAACCGCAATAGAAAAAAGAGAAAAATGCCCTCACAGAATCAATATTTTATTTGGTGGATAGAATACTCATAAAAATTTTTTTAAAAAAGACTAAGAATCTATCAGCAATAACCCTGCACATAAACCAGAATTGCCATAAGAAAGATGGACATTTTAGAGGTGTGATTGGTGGCTTTCAGGCAGAATTAAGGTGATTGTTGAAAAAAAATAGCATTTGTTGTATTGTTCTGAGATAGCTATAAAATGTCTTTTAAAATTATGTGTTTAAAGACGCCAGCCAAATTTCAGTATAAATAATGATTTATACTGGTTAAATAAATGTGGTTGGAAAATGGTGAAGAAGAAATCTATTTTGTTTACAGACTTCAGATTTTAGGAGTCTTATTAGAAATTAGAGTTAGGTTATATTATACAGGTTTTTTTTAATCATGTCTTTTCAACTCTGATAATTCTAAATACCAATTATTTGATAATCAATTTATGTTGGAGAATATTAGTAAATAATTAAAACCAAAGGCTAAGATCATGAGTTTGTAGATGGAGGAAGGGGGAAATAAAGTAATTTTAACTCCCCTAAATAAAGCTATTTCTTCTTTTTAAACTTGGATTTTAGACATTGATGAATGTTTACAGAATGGCCGGATCTGCAATAATGGGCGCTGCATCAACACAGATGGCAGTTTTCATTGCGTGTGTAATGCAGGCTTTCACGTTACACGAGATGGGAAGAACTGTGAAGGTAATGAGAGCATGCTAATGTTAGTCCTCTTCTTCCATTGCACTTTCAATATCAGGGTGTTTTATGAGACGAAATAATGAGTGAACTGTCAAAGTATCAGATATGTTTTACGTAATTCATCTGGGAGGGAAGCCTAATTTTCCACAATACTCATTTCTTAATTTACGTATGTGTGAATCAAATAATATTTTAGTATGCTAGGAGAGCTTGTCGTTTAAAGATCCCTGGTGATGATGAAACTTTTTGGCACAATATCATACTTCCTAATCTTATACAATCAGAATTAGTACATTTTTTAAAAAAAGGACAAACCTAAGTCCATGTATTACCTATCCATTTATAATCTTTTTCCCTAAAGTGTCTGCCTACTAATAAAGTGCTACTAATCAATATCTGAAATATATATAAAAATATATATATAATGTAAAATACATACTACATATATTTTCTATATGTATATATTATGTATATATGTATTCCTAAATATACATGGAAACTATATGTAATATGTAGAAGATACATATTTAAATATAAGTAATAGATATCTAAAATATATATTGCATATCTCTAAAATAAATACATATTATATATGTCTAAAGTAGATATATATATATGTGAAATATGTATGTATAATAAATTACTTCGATTTTTCTAAAGCCTATAAGTGAAAACACACTGTGTCTAGAAGAGGAAGTGCCTCCCATGACAACTTTACTATGAAATAAAATAACATAGTGATGAATTTAAAGAACCATCTCCAATGATCAAGGGATCTTAAAGGTTCGCTGGCACAGCTATAATCCATATTTGAGTCATGTATTTTAAAAGTCCACTTTTTACCTGACCCTATTTAAAATTGCTTTAAACTACAAGTTATCTTCTAGTTTTTATCTGAAAAAGAATTGAGATATAGCCTAAACACATTTCAAATTCCATTAATCTTAGTTTTGACTTACATTCATTGTCAGAGCATTAGAACATGAATCTGTGAAATAAACATACCCACTAGGCTATTAGCACATTTTTCAGTTTGTAAACTATCGTTCCTGAAAAGGAAGCTGATAACTTTTATGGAGTCAAATTTTATTTATTTTATAAAAAGATAAAACTGTAAATCTAGCCTTATAGTTTGAATGCACATGCCAGAACTCAAGAACTTGAGATACATATTTCATATGTTCCATCTTCTCCTTCCTTAGATGATACTATTTGGATGAAAATGAGCCTTAGGCTGTAATAACAAAAAAGAAAGAAATATGAAGAAACATAATGATTTTCATCCAGATTGGTTTCCTTCATAAACTTACTCTTCTGGTCATAAGATAATGCATGTTTTGTATTTTTCAGATATGGATGAATGCAGCATAAGGAACATGTGCCTTAATGGAATGTGTATCAATGAAGATGGCAGTTTTAAATGTATTTGCAAACCTGGATTCCAGCTGGCATCAGATGGGCGTTATTGCAAAGGTTTGTACCGTAAACCCCTAGATCATGTTCCTCACTTGCCTTTTCTCCTCTTTACGTTGTTTAGAGGTACCACCTTTCTTTCCTGATTTTCCTTATTTAAAGTACCTTGAATTCTGGCTTAGGAAACCTGACTGAAACTCCTTAAATTCAGCCTTCAAAGAGCTACAGTTTATGCCCAGAAGACTGCTGTTATTTCAGAAAGGGTATTTGAGGTCTTCTCAAAGGAGTCAAAAGCTACATAGCAAATAAATAATCCAAACTGCCCGTTGGTCTTCCAACAGATGTACGCATTGTTCTAAAGAAGCTGAGTGCTACCTCTTCTTTCCCATTAGGGAATAATAGTAGTTAAGAGTTCTTGATGCCTGTCATTTGCCACCTCTTACATCTTTACTTGGACAGAATAGTGTAGACTGTTATTTGCTGTGATCTCTTCTTCGTAACTTCCTCCAGGCATCTTAAGACATGGAAAATTTTTTTTAAGGATAATTTATTTAGGCCTTATCAAATTACATAAGCAAGAAGGGAAACAGGATTAAGCAGAATAAATAAACAAACCAAGAACCATTGTTTAGTTTGGTAAATCATTTTGAAATGATCTTATTGCTCCAGGTATTGAAGCAAAAATGAGGATTTTTATTTTTTTTTTGCTGTTGAGAATTGGGGTCCTAAGAAAAGTTACTGGTGAGAAATTTGTGCTTAGTGTTTCCTGTGTTATGTAGGAATCAGTGATTATTGCCCTTGGTCCAGGATCTGAGTTGGAACCAGACTGCTTAATGAACCTCATACTCAAATCAGGTCCAGAAAATCTGCTAAAATGCTGCACTTAGAGAAACTATGCACTTCTGGGCATAGTTTCAGATACAGAAGTGTAGAGGGTCAAGCTGTTGAAGGTAGAGAAAGCAGGATCAAGTCCTAAGGTGCCTCTTCTCTGCGTGCCCCTAGTGGACAGCTTTGGTAAACGTGTTATGGAAGAAAGCCTTGTATTAAATCCTTGGCAAGATGTGCATTTTCTCCAGGCTTAAAAGAACTTCCAGCCCTTGGTTGTTTACCTACATTCTCTATGACCTTCACATCAGTGGCTCTTAATATTGTGCAAATCTGTCTTCCCAGCTAGAGAAAACAGTTGGGTGTTTCAAATTTGAAGTAGGAAGGTGGTTTCTGTACTTTTGAGCCCTGTGCTGGGAGGAACTTACATGAGAAGACAGGATTAACACATAGAAATATTCTACAGTGTAAAATAGCATAAAACAAAGTGCCAAATTGTACAAATTTAGAACTGTACAAGTAAAAAATAAAAGGGAAGAGAACGATTGCTGGAATATTTGGAATTAGGCTTCCAAAAAAAATAATAGAAAGAAATATGAAAGCCCCTTTGTGAGCAGACCTAGGGGAATGCATACTCTTCTTGTTGATACACAGAACACACTCAGATTCACTTTCAGTGTCTCCAGGGTCCTGCTGACCCAGGCAACAGCCTCTCAGCATGAAGTATGGCCAGTAAATAATGCTATGACCTCATAAGTGAAACCAGGTTTGGCAACCATTGGCAACCAGTGAAATAATATCCTATCAATACATTGGTTGTCCTATTAATTTGAAAGTGCTGATGTGATGATTTGGATGGTTTGTTCTGACTTTAGCATTCTGGCTTAAAGATATGAGAGAGAGAGAGAGAGAGAGAGAGAGAGAGACAGAGCTCCATAGCTCTATATTATTACCAATGTCTTCTTTTTTCTAGATTATAGAGTACGCGCACTGTCATAAGACTAAAGGACAAAAAAAGAAAGAAATTCATCACATGCATACGGAATTTCTTCCTTTTTATAATTTTCTCTTTATGTCATGGGCTAAGATTTTCTCTTAGTGCTGAGCACTTAATTCTGAGCCCACAAAGATGTGACTGTTCAAAGCTGAATCAACAGTGCTACTTCAATCTCTACAGTTAATTCATCTGATTAACAACACGGCTTCTCTGTTAACTCTGAAAGTTGAGGCCACTCACTTTGACCAAGGTTACCTCCCTTTGGATCTACTTTACATCTTCATTCTCATTAGAAACCCTTTGTGTTACCGATCAGATTGTAGTCTCCACATTTTACTGTGTGTCACAATTTGAACAAAAAGGTGAGCAGAGTAAACAATTTGAGTTCCCGTATTTAAATATAACTGCGGTTTTAAATACAATCTGTACACAGAACCTTGGACCACCTGAATATATTTTGTGCCAAACAACGCAAGCTAAGTAAAACATGAAGGTGTTTTACTCTCAATTTGCCTTTTTAAGGTCAGGAGAAAGTTAATAGTCACACACTAGTTGTATATTGTGAAAGGAGTTGTTATAAAATCATTTGCTTTTTTCTTTTTGAGACACAGTCTCACTCTGTTTCCCAGGCTGGATGGAGTGCAGTGGTATCATCTCCGCTCACTACAATGTCTGCCTTCTGGGTTCAAGCAATTCTTGTGCCTCAGCCTCCTGAGTAGCTGGGACTGCAGGCATGGGCCATCATGCCCAGCTGATTTTTTATTTTCAGTAGAGATGGGGTTTTGCCATGTTGGCCAGGCTGGTCTTGAACGCCTGGTCTCAAGTGATCTGACCACCTTAGGCTCCCAAAGTGCTGGGATTCCAGGCATGAACCACTGCACCTGGCCTAAAATCATTTGCTTCTAAGTGTTGTGTGTTTTCCAAACCACTATTTTGATACCTTTTATACTTCCCTATATTAAGTGGGAAAAAACCTCTGCAATTATTATTAGTATGTGTCCAATAAAGTCTTTTACCAGACTTCCTTAAGTGTACACATAAAATAACATAAAGTGTTTGTAAAGTTTAAGAAAAAATTCTCTTTGCTGAGTTTCGATTGCTTACAGTGCTGTTACTGGCCGAGAATGGTCATCAGAATCATCTGTATTCATTTTCCGTCCTTTTTTTATGATGTTCCATCAATGCTTTAGTTGTATATCCTTTAATTTTAGGTGAATTGTCTTAGAGAGCTCAGGCATGGGTGATAGTAGAAGGGATGCCAGTCTGGGTGATGAATACCAAAAGGAAAATCTTCCTGTAGTTTATCATTACCCTAGAATTCTGAAAGAGTTACCCTGGTTATGTATTACACAAAACTCTTTGTCTTTCAGCAGCCGTTGTTCTTCTTCCTCCAAGTCTGTTTTTGCTTTTGTGATTATTTTACAAAAATCTCTTGGGAGAATATATTAAAGTTGCTTTTTATGGAAAATAAGCTCTAACAGTTGACTTTCTTTCAAAGGAAAATGAGAATACCATCTCACTGAACTTTCGTTGCTGATGCTGCCTATTAGTTCCTATCTTCCCCATTTTCAAGTATTAAAACATGATTGTCAACATGTTATAATCTTAGATACTTGACACTTCATCTTTAATAAGTGTCTTTCTCTGCCACAGACATTAACGAGTGCGAAACCCCTGGGATCTGCATGAATGGGCGTTGTGTCAACACTGACGGCTCCTACAGATGTGAATGCTTTCCGGGACTGGCTGTGGGTCTGGATGGACGTGTGTGTGTTGGTAAGAAAACATCATGGCTAGACTTATGAGAGAGATTCACCCTCTGTCAATCAATAAAGCCCACTAGTAAACAAATGCTCTCTACTGTAGCAGACAAGATATAAAAAATATTTGCAGAGCAACAAACCAACAGGGTCAGTTCTCTTCTTGTGTAAATTGAACATTAATTTGAAGAATAGAAAGATGAGGTAAGTGAAAAGCAAGGAATCCCCACCTATCCTTCCCTCTTTTCTTCTCTAATCCCATAGCTGTGTTCAGTTTTCTGCATTCCTCCTTTGTTGAGATTGGTCATTTAAATTGGCGTGCATATGCTATTATCTCACAATGAACATTTTAATCGAGAATTAATGTCTATGGTCAGTATAGAATGCAAAGGAGAATATGGATAATCCAGAAACCTGTATGATAATTGTTTCATGAGGCCGCATAAAAAGTATGAGACTTGTTGAAAAATGGATACAAATTTTATCCAGATTATTGCTAAGAAAGGTACTTAGTAAACGATTTGAATCGACATAGCTGGAAATTCTCTTCCTGCTGGTAAAGATAACACTGCTTAGTTGACCAACATCTACAGATTTATATAATGACCCTTTTACGGATTAAACATTCTCCTTTTCGGAAAGCATACCTAATTCAGGCATTCAATAATTGCATGTTTATTTTGGGATAGGCCACCTTTTTAATAAAGGTCTTCTTTAGCAGGAGGTGAGATTCAACATTCATCCATCATTAATTCAGCATTAAGTGCCTGCTCTGCACATGCCTCAGACAGACAAAATAAATGAGATATAATTTCAGCATTGAAGGGCCTCACATTTTGGTAAACTTTGATAGTTCCTAGAAAACTGAAATAATCTGGCCATTGGTTTCCAATGCTTAGAAGCTGAACATGTTTTGTTTTCTGTTTTTGTTTTTCTTCATATGGAACCCTAATATCACAGGCCTTCCCTGTGAGTTCCACCAGGGATGATAGATAAATAAAGCCCTCTTCAACTTTGATTTGGGGGGTTGTCATCTGTTTGAAGTGACAGTGTAATGACAGATGCTTCTTTCTGTTTAGACACACACATGCGGAGCACATGCTATGGTGGATACAAAAGAGGCCAATGTATCAAACCTTTGTTTGGTGCTGTCACTAAATCTGAGTGCTGTTGTGCCAGCACTGAGTATGCCTTTGGGGAACCTTGCCAGCCGTGTCCTGCACAGAATTCAGGTACGTGGTATCGTGGAGATGCCCTTGTACCGCCAGCCTTCTGCCACTATCTGAAGTCTTTGAGTTTGTGGAATTCACAGGGAAAGATGACATTTTGCTCTCCAGGTGGGCCATGTGCCTTCCTGAGGCCTTCGCAGAGGCTAGCCAGTGTCTAGTCACAGGTACTTATCCAGGCCTTACAATCATTTGGAATAGGCATTGCATTTGTGCCTCCCATATAAACTCCCCTACCTCAGTAGTTCTCAAGCCCTTTTCAATACATGCACCTTGCCTTGTTTTCTAAAGTTGTTTCATGATGTTTGCATTTTGTAGAAACTATTATAAAAGCAGAATTTTACACAGCATGAAAGTAAGTGACTGTCATATTACTTGACTATTTCCAATAGTTTTCCAAAAGACCATTTATAAATTTTGTTTACATGTCACATATTTATTTTGGTGTGGTTTTCTTACATGATTCTATTTAACTTTAGAGAAAAAAAGTGTTTTTCTGCAGTTGAGGTGACATGACCTAATGAAAAGAGAACTGGATAGCAAGTCAGAATTCTGTTCCTCTTTCAAAAATCAGAAATAAGCAAAATACACAAATAACTAATTAAGTAATTTGGCAGCCAAATTACTTAATTAGTTATTTGTGTATTTTGCTTATTTCTGATTTTTTTCAACTGCTTTTCAAAAGGATTTGAGGTGGTTTATGTTAATAAACATAATTATAAAATAGAATAATCCAGAAAATGTATCCTTAGACTTCTCATCTACAAAATGAGTTGCCTTAGATAATCCAGAAAGTTCTGTCCAGTTGTAAATTATTTCTATTTATAAAGCAAGAATAGTTTACTGAAATTAAAACAACCTACTGCCAGTTATTTAAACATGATTTTAAGGTAGCTTGGCAGTGGAACCTAATGTCCTGAAGTAAAGTTAGACCTAATATTGAAAATATGTAGCTCTGATTGGTAGTTTACATATAGGATTTAGTCAGTTTATTTCTGCCCTAAATGAAACAAATTAAAGAGTAAATTTATAATTGTAAAAGATTTGTTATTTAAAAAATGATAGTATTTGACATTAACAGTTAGAAATTAAAATATATTATGAAAAGTTAGAGAAAGTTAAATGGAAGACTTTAAAAGAAATGAGAGTTTGAGCATGGTGGCTCACGCCTATAATCCCAGCACTTTGAGAGGCCAAGGCAGGTGGATTACTTGAGATCAGGAGTTCAAGACCAACCTGGCTGACATGGTGAAATCTCATGTCTACTAAAAACAACACACACACACACACGCACACACACATACACACAAATTGCCAAGTGTGGTGGTGCATGCCTGTAATGCCAGCTACTCAGGAGGCTGAGGCAGGAGGATTGCTTGAATCCAGGAGGTGGAGGTTTCAGTGAGCCAAGATAGCACCGCTGCTCTCCAGCCTGGGCGACAGAGTGAGACTTTGTGTTGATAAGAAAGAAAAAAGAAATGAGGGATGCCAACTTAAAGAAAGAAAACTTTGCTCTGGCTAATGACTTCACCCAATAAATAACATAGAAATTACCATTTCATGTATGATCACCAAGCGGGTCAATATGTGTTTATAATACTTTGATTATATACAAATATTCTATCAGACACTTTCCTATAACTTTATAGTTGTATGTTATTAATATCATTCTTTTGTGTGTTACTTTAACTTTTCAAAGTACTTTTCTTACCTAATTTGAATGTACAATACAGACAAGTGTCATGAAAGCTGGCACACAAGAGTACAGGTGACTTGTTCACATGTCAAATGATTGGAGGAGCCAAGACTTAGAATCCAGGAACCTTAGTGCACATAGTTATTTGCCTTTACATTTTCCTCTGGACCAAGTGCATTTCCAAAGAGTTGTTAAGCTCCATAGGTTAATTATGTGGGTTTATAAAAAGGTGATCAAAAGACCAGATTTCTTTAAGCAGTTGTCTTAGTCCAGTTTGTGTTGCAGTAGCAGAATACCATTGACTGAGTAATTTTATAAAGAAAATACATTTATTTCTCACAGTTCTGGAGCCTGGGAAGTCCAATATCAAGGTACCAGCGTCTGAGGAGTGCCTTCTTGCCAAGTTACTTCTTGGCTGACAGTGGAAGGGCAACAGAGCATGCAGGAGTGAGAGAAAGCTAGAGAGGACTGAATTTGTTTTTATAACAAAGTCACTCTCATGATAACTCACTCCCATGATAATGACATTAATCCATTCACGAGGGTAGAGCCCTCCTGACCTAATCACCTCTTATTAGGCCTCACCTCCCAGTACTGTTGCATTGGGGCTTAAGTTTCCAGCACATGATCTTTGGAGGATGCATTCAAACCATAGCAGCAATAACTTAAAGAGAGTTAAATGGGAGACCCAATTCCACTAACTTCCGTTTTATATTTTAAGGAATTTACCCAGAAAAGGTCCACACATGGTAGTAGTTTCATTTATTTGGGTTCTCCACCTCTTTGGTCATGAACCATCTGCATGTAGGATATCCCTCATTTCAAGAATGGGGATGGGTGGCAGTTTAACATACTGAAAATATTCAGTCAGTTGAGTGAGAGACTCCAAATATACAAAATCTAAAGTTCATCTTTGTGGTCTGCAAGTCAGGCAAGCTACATATGAAGCTGTTTCTCACTGGTTGCTGGAGCTGCTTCACATTGCTCAGCAAGCCCTCTTGTGTCCTCAGACTATTGACAATGACATTTCACAGAAATGGATCAGTGAAAGCCACAGGAGTATAATGGGTCAGTTAAACCCACAGGAGTGTAATTGGCCAGTTAAACCCATAGGAGTGTAATTCTGGGGAATTTTCTCACGGATCCCTCATACCACTGTCTCCATGGCACTACACTGAGATATCTCATCAATATCTACCCCTTATTCAGGGCCTGAGCTGTGCACAGTGCATGTGAAATCATTAAACATGTCATGTTAATTCTGTACAGTCACCAGGTGAAATGGGAATTATTCCAAATTTATGGGAGAAGAAAATAAGAGAGGAAAAGGACTGCTTCCCAAACTCCCAGCAGTAAGCATTGTCATCGGTATTAAAAATTCATGCTTATTTGAACTCACTACAGGAAATGGTCTAGTACCAGATCCTGCCCAAATGGAAAACAATGGTGACAATAATTTGCCTCTTCAATAGGCCAAGCATCAGCAAAGTTGTCATGATCTCTAAACGTGCTTTTTATGAAACTGGCGTGATTTTGGATTTTCTTGTTTTATTACTTACAGTATTTCATGAGTGTTTTCATTTTTTGCTGATATAACGGAATAAAAAGGATGAATTTCTTTTTGATCTCAGACCTGGCTTTCAAACATACCTTTCCATTTGTTCCTTTTTTGGCCCCTTCTAAGATGATTTGAAAATTAAATCATCGCTGCTTTCTCAGATTAATGTTTGTTAGAAGACACGGTGATTTTTGTTTGTATAACTCATTTGCGTCCACTGTAATCAGGGATGCAATTCTCTGGCCTGCAGAAGATAGGAACTATTTGCTTCAGCTGTGAGGTGCAGTCAACCTCTACAATAAGCCCCAGCCCTGGTGATTTCTCCCTCCACTTAAGCACAGATGATTTACATTTGATCATGAGACTGTGTTTGCCAGAAACCATTGGCGGCTAAGGGGACGACACTAGTTTCCTTTCCTTGGATAGTGTGATTCCAGTTAGTTCTACATTCACTGTTATGTTAATATTGTTGGAATTCTATGTAAAACATTGTATTAATTTTAAGAAATAGAAATTTGATTCTATCTCAAATTTGGGGACATATTCTTTATACCTCAGTTTCTTCAGAAAGATCTCACAGGTTTAATTTTAAGCAATAATTTCTCTATGAATATATCAGAGAATTAATCCAGTGTCCTGATAAATATTAACTCTAAAACTACACTTAAATGCAAGAGTAGGTATTCTGTTGCTGCTCTTGTGAGGGGAGTCTAGAGAATTTGCAGAGAGAAATGAAAAAATGTTAAGAACTGATTGTACTGGAAAAAAAAAAAAAAGCTAGCACTGAGAAAATTATTCCCAAGATGGTGGGAGAAAGTTTTATTAACAGTTAAGCAACCACATTTTAACAGGCACGTTTCACTGTAAGTGTAAAGTGTTCCCTGGTGAACAAAATCAAGTAATAGGAAAAACACCTTTTCCAAAAGGGCTTTGCGCAAGGAATTGCTGTAACTTGCCTGTATCCTTAAAAGTTGTTTTCCTCGATGATGTGTAGACTTTAAAATGGGAGCCTAGTGTAAAGGTGACTCCCTGGCGAGATACCTCCTTTTCCGTTACCACTTAATTTTGGTTCTACTTACTTTGGAGGAAATGATGTGTGCAAAACCAACAGCAGGATCAACCTGTTGTGCAAACAAGGGAATCATTTACTGTCTGTTAATTTATTGCAGCGGAATATCAGGCACTCTGCAGCAGTGGGCCGGGGATGACGTCTGCAGGCAGTGGTAAGGATTCCTTTCCAAATTTACTACCTTCAGCATGTGCAGAGGCAGCATCAGCTTTCCTGTGGGTTTTCAGTTGATCCCCTTACAGTAGTCTGGCCTGACTCCCTCTCTGGCCATCACTGTGCCCTGTATCTGGGATGCTCAGAAGTTTTCAGTGGCAGAGCAGCCAGGGCACTGCGGGCTCTAGGATTTCTGGGTGTAGCTGTGGGGCTTGGCCCCTGAAGGGATCAGGTGCTCTCCCAGTGTGGTTGATGGGTGCCCGTAGATGAGATATAATGGCTTTCGTTGCTCATGCTTGAAAAGGGGCAGCCTGACTCTCCTTGGATCTTCCACTATCAAGTACGACTCAGGATGAGGGGCTGATTGAAGCATTCTCCATCTGCATTCTGAAGGATTCTTAACTGTTATGTGCTCAGTATTGTAAGACAGCAATAGGGAGCAGTGACAGCAATTAACTGAGTCTGAAGAGAATAAAATACTTAACTAGAGAAATACTGGTGAGAATTGGAACAAGTGTGAAAATAGGTGACAAGAAAGAGGAAGAGATTATTTTATTAATACAAAGCTATGCAGTTTGATTCAGGGAGATCTGAAAGACCATGGACTGGCTGAATTGATTGTCCGTTCATTAAGCGTGATTAGTTTCATCATTGTGTGTGATTGAAAATGGGGAGGGACCATTCAGAGGAGGAAAGGGGAGAGGTAAGAAAACTTATAATAAATAAGGAGTTAGTGGGGAATAAGTAAGTTGTGATAGGGACTTAGAAAAACAAAAAAAGTCAACCTAATTTATACAAGAGTCAGGCACCAGGATTCGAGACTATCCATTCACTGGTTGTCATTCTGCCCCTGCCTTGGTGATGAGATCCCCCCCACCTCCTCAGTTGTGAGAGTGTAGAAAAGGGAGGGCCCCACCTCAGGTTGGCAGAGTAGCAGAGGCTTTTTCAGAGCGTGTGGTGTTGGTGCTGGCTTTTGACCTGTAAATAGGCCTGTTCCAAGCATTCCTGACGGTGAAGAGGGCATTCTATGTTCACAGAAGAGTGAGAAGTTTGGGATAAGTAAACAAGGAATTTATATTTCAGTTTAATCTTAAGGATATTGTTGAGCCTGTGAATATTTGAACCACGAGAATTACATAATCACCTTGTTTTTAGGGTGGTAAGAATGGTTGCAGCGTGGAGAGTAGATGGAAGAAAGAGGAGCTGGCGGCGGGGAGACCAGTTGGGGGGACTTGGGGTCTGCTGTTGATCCTCTTTTCCATCTTGGTGCTTGGACTAGGAGAAGCTCAGGAGGTCTCCAGCAACTTGATTAAGGATTGGTTATCTCAGCTGGTAGTTGGAGAAAATATCTTACAGTGAGAGAAAGGGATCGATTCCCAATGAAATTGATTTTTTTCCCCTTCCAGTAGGTTCTAAGGTCATTACATTTATTGTAGCATTTTAACAGTTTTTATTGTAGTTTTTATTGTAGTGTTTTAACAGTTTCAGTCAATGTTTATTATATAATGTTAATTGATTTGGAACTTTTTTGTGGTGCAGATATAAATGAATGTGCACTAGATCCTGATATCTGCCCAAATGGAATCTGTGAAAACCTTCGTGGAACCTATAAATGTATATGCAATTCAGGATATGAAGTGGATTCAACTGGGAAAAACTGTGTTGGTAAGAAGTTTCACCTGTTTTCGGAAGCATTTCCTGTATAATGCATTCCTTCTTTCATTGCTGGGAGAAAACTGCCTTTGAGTAGTTTCGAGGACTGGGCAAGTGGACACTTTATACTTTGTATGTCAGCACAGCATATGCGTGTCTTTAGTAACAAAAATTTACATCACTGATTCTTGACAATTTATGAATAAGGATGTATCAGATTCACTCCTTGAAATGATTCCCTCCTTAAAATAATGATGTATCAGATTTCACTCCTTTAAAGAGAAGCTCCTCAGATGTATAGAATGCAGAGATTCAGAGCCATTCTCGTGTAACTACAAAGTCAACCTTGTTTTTACTGAGAGAGAAGCAGCTCTTCTCCCAACCATTTATTAGACTTAATCAGCCAAAACATAGCTTGTTTTCAGAAAAAGCTGCTCTCTGTTAAGTTAAACCTTTAAAGTTGGGTTTTGCTTCAGACAGTCATATTATTCAGCTAAAAGCAAGGAGTTTTCCTGAACTCCCTGAATAATGAATCTAAATTCCCCATGACAATTATGAACTATACAGATTACTTTATGCTTTATAATCCTAACTGGAGACAATTTGAATTATTATAAGGAAGAAACACCCATTCTGGAAGTAATACGTATCAAAGATGGACCACATTTTCTAAATATGTATTTAGTTCCTTAAATCAATAAGGTTAATCCTTTTACTTCTGACAAAATGAATTAAATTACATAAACTTATAAATTTAATTGTATAACTGTATAAAGATTAATGATTTCCAGCAAATCTGTATATTCTTCCTGCTAAAGAAATAAGTGAACTAAATAGCCTATTGACTTTGGGCTTTGTAGATACTTAGTTTAGATGACCAGGTCAAGCCTCTGTTTTCCTAAAATGAGATAACTTAGGTAAAAGCAAGTGGTACAGGAGTTTGGCCTTTTTCCTTGAATTGATCTTATCATTATGACTTTAAAGATCTAATGTAAAAGAGCAAAGGAGTTACAGGCAAAGTTTGGGCCTTTTTAAGTGTTTATTTTCATTGACTTTCCAGATATTAATGAATGTGTACTGAACAGTCTCCTTTGTGACAATGGACAGTGTAGAAATACTCCTGGAAGTTTTGTCTGCACCTGCCCCAAGGGATTTATCTACAAACCTGACCTAAAAACATGTGAAGGTAAACCATATTTCTGTTCTTATGCTATGTACTTTGCTATCTTTTGGAATGCCATTAGAAAATCATAAGACTAAATTAGGGTCCCCTGTATTTTAGACAGTTACACCAATTTAGTTGAAATTCTGTGGTTCTAAATGGCACTATGTATTTTCTTAGCCAGTTAGGATATTTATTTGCAATTGGCATTTTAATTGCCATCATTTAATAGATAAATAAAATGTTATGTATCTGCTATTTGAGCTATTAATTCAGAAATCACATATATATTTACAGATTTTCTGAATAAAAAGATTCAGCCAAGTGCTGTATTCTATAGAGATGTACTATTTTACATTATAGAGTTACTGTTTTGGCATTTCATCTAGCATAGGGAAAAATGATTTAGGCCAGCTTTACTATGTGGGATGAAGGATCTCTAGTAGCAATTGAGGCCAAAGTTGAAGTACTCTTTTAGGCCCAAGACTAGATTTTAGCAGTAATGCAGACCTGTTTTCATTTCAGACATTGATGAATGCGAATCAAGTCCTTGCATTAATGGAGTCTGCAAGAACAGCCCAGGCTCTTTTATTTGTGAATGTTCTTCTGAAAGTACTTTGGATCCAACAAAAACCATCTGCATAGGTATTTATCTTTCTGAGAATGATTTTTCTGTGTTTATCAATGTTGTTATACATAATGTCAGCTTGTCCTGCAAAAGAGTTTAAGTATGGATGAACAACATTAAAAACTTCCTTCTTCCTTGTTTCAAATGCTGTTTTTTCCTATAATTCCAAGGTGTATGTTTGAATTTTTATATAGATTCTATTAAATATTCCCTCATCTGCAGAAACCATCAAGGGCACTTGCTGGCAGACTGTCACCATCGATGGGCGGTGTGAGATCAACATCAATGGAGCCACCTTAAAGTCCCAGTGCTGCTCCTCCCTCGGTGCTGCATGGGGGAGTCCGTGCACCCCATGCCAAGTTGGTAAGAGAAACCCATGCTGCAGTACCTATATCATTCTACTAGTCTCTCCACAATAAAGGGACACATAATACTTCATTTATCTAGACTCACATGAGAATTTTGAAATATTTAATCCTGATGACCCCAAACATATTGCTGACTGGGAAATAAGAAGTGTCAAATTTTATGTGATTTTATTAATTAATTATCTTCTATCCTCACATTGTAAGGTGGTTAGTTTGTTTGTGTTGCTTCCCTGGAGCACCAGTTCCTACCGGCTCTCTTGGGAACTTGGTGGTAAGGGGTTCCAAGCTTTTTATAGGTACAGATTCTCTTTCAAAAAGCTAATTGATGTAAAGAAACCAGTATTCCTAACTAAACTTCGCAAGGATTGCTGGTGAATGTCTAAATCTATTGAGAATTTGAGGTTTGAGAGCCTTGCTCATGGTTTTGGAACTGATTGAATGTTTTGATATATAAATGTATAAATTTATGTGAATGCTGGAGGGCATGAGATCTCCAAATTCTAGACTGTGTTTTCCCTATTCATGTTACAGTAATTCTATAGTGTGATTCCTATGTTCAGGTTAACAGCAAGAGAGAAATCTACCTTCAGTTTCCCTCTTAGATATCACTTTAATATGATCTATAGGGTATCCCAGTATCTTTTGGAATATCTTAGTGGAATTGATCTTTATTTGAGGAGACATTTTTTTATTATTCTTCCTCACCTATGCAATCTCAGAAACACTTTTTGTTATCTCATACTTATTTATAGCAACATAATCTATTTCAAGTTCTAGGTCATGTTTTTCATGCTATGTTATAACTGCAAAGTTTGGAGATTGTCATCTCAAATTTGCTTTCTGTTTTGTTTTTTGCTTTTTCTTACAGATCCCATATGTGGTAAAGGGTACTCAAGGATTAAAGGAACACAGTGTGAAGGTATTTCTGATTACTTATAAACCATACATTTTTGTGTGCATGATGATTGTTTGTGTTAACTTGGACTGGATAAAGCTGTCACGTAACTTCACTAGGGAGAAATATGCAACAGAGGAAAAAAAAATGAGAACTACAAAACAGAACAGCTGTTAATTTCACACATATATATATGGTATTGCCAGTGTCAGACCGCTAAGTCCAAAGGTGGATGGCTCAAAATGTTTTAGGTTGATCATAGTTGAGAGAGACTGCACTTTCAAAATGCTGTCAGGAAGAGACAAACAGGAAGTTTTTGATGAAGCTGTAAAATTTACATTTCTTCATTGTCCGGGCATTTTGTTTGTTTGTTTGTTTCGCAGTCGTGGATGATTTAGAAGGACACATTCTGTTTTCTCTTTGTTGGAAGTCTACATGGAGTTTTTTCAGTTTGCTATGATTCTTTCTCATGGAGTTTCAGATAGACATAGGTCATGGTGACTAACACAACCTGACATGACACAGCAGCTGAAAAATTTTAAAAACAGCAATTAGTCCCATATGTGGGATGAAATGAAGTTTTTTCCCTGTTAAAACAAAGAGGCACACTACAACCCCCACCCAAGGTCTTGCTTTCCAAATGATGACTGAATTCTTTGGCCTTTCTCTGATCCAGACCCGCTGTTAATAACTTATCTGACCTCAGCAGCATATTTTGTTGTACAAGTGGCCAAAACAAAAAACCCAGAAAGGTAGATTTCACCCTCTGCCTGTTGATCTCTCTTACAAGGAAAGATTCAGAATACTTTTTCAATGTTTCTGGTGTGGAAAGTTACTTCTTCTAAATAGAGACACAGTGCGTATGAGTTTCTTAAATAATGCCCCCTACCCTACTTTTTTTTGGCATTAGTAGGTTAAGTGCCTTTCTTTTGATTAACTTGGTGATGAATATTTTTCCAAATTAAGTGCAGAGACCATATTGCTCTACATTAAGCAAACTGGAAAGGACTGGTACATTTGAGAGAGATTGGGTTAATGATGAATGAATGAACATGAGTATCTTTTAATTCTCCTCAACCCAACCTGGGACCAAAGCATTGGCAGAACAGCCCGAGACCATTGCTGAGTTAGAATCGATTGCACATTTTCTAGTGATTTCTCAGCACTTCTTAAAAGAGAGCCTTCACTGGCCACACATACTCCTTGCTGGGATATTTTTCTATGCTGACCTTCAGCTATTTCTTCTTTTTTAGTTTGAAAGACCAGGATTTTGCTTCTCTACTTATTTCTAGACATCTGGTCTCACCAGAGCTGTTTCCAAGAACTCATACCAGCTACCTGTCTCTGCAACTTAAAAGTTATTCCCTGAAACCAATGGAGAATCTTTGGTAATAGGTGGACTCATTCTGGTTCCTATTCAGACACCCTAGAAATTCTACAGGAACTATTTGTAGGCAAACTAGTTTTATGAACTTATCAGGTTCAAAATGGAGATTAATTATGATTCCATGAGTGGAATAAGGTGAAATGATACTATAAAGATATATTAACTTTGTTCTCTTTTTCTTTTTAGATATTGATGAATGTGAAGTATTCCCAGGAGTGTGCAAAAATGGCCTGTGTGTTAACACTAGGGGGTCATTCAAGTGTGAGTGTCCCAATGGAATGACTTTGGATGCCACAGGAAGGATCTGTCTAGGTAAATACTGAGCTCATTATTTTTCTAATAATAATTTATTAAAGATTATTAAAAATGCAATTAACAAGATACAGCTGAGCACTTAGCTTCAGGTACAAACACACACTTCAAAATTCAGCATGTCCAATAGGGTCCATGGCTGCCCCTTTGACAAACAGTCTTTCAAATTAGTAAGGAGCAGCTGTAGTTTCTGTTGATATGCAACTCTTCTTTAAATCACCAGTATCACAGTTATGATTCCAGAGCTCTTAAATCGGCCCCATATGCCATGAACTATAACATACAAGGTGAGTGGTGGAGAGAAGAACAACATTTGCACATATTTGGAAACTGTAGCCCGTGTCTTCTAAGCATATCCTGACATTGTCCAGAAGTGACAGGTCCTTGCAGAAACACCGGTGGACATCATCAAGAGTAAAGATGCCACTCCCTTGAGAAGTGAACCTGAGAGACCCCAGGGCAGGTGTCACTGCTAATCATAGTGGGATACTCTGCCAACTGCTAGAGTGTAGGTGGGATCCTCAAGCCAAATTATCTCACCCCAGCTCTAAGTCCTTAGAACTCTTAAGTCCTAATCCCTATGGGCTCATGATAGCAGCAAGTTTGAGATCCCACAGTCATGCATATGAGGTCTGGCAGTCTTATTCTGGTGTTACTACTGTGGCTTCTGCCTGCCTAGAATATATCCCCTGGGTCACTGGTTTCTGAGGCCATGACTGTGGAAATGATGCTTACCTGTCCTGAGCATCTGAAACCACATTACTCTGAAGTGCATGCTCAGTGAAGACTTCCGTAGGTAGTTGAAAGAGTGGTATACAGTGAAGGATTTTGCTCACTTACAAATTAGAATTAACAAATCTTTAAGTATTGAACTTTATGGTTTATAGCTTAAACAAATAATATGGAGTAGAAATGGGAATTCAGAACCAAAAGTAGTTTTGTAACTAAGGATGTCAGTTAATGCTATTCTGAGTCTTAGTTTATTTGTTTAGGAGGAATCAGCATTTAATGAGAATTTTTTAGGTTCTTCAGTTGAAAGATGCTTCAGTGTTTAATTTAGAGTTCATTTAAAAAAATCCATCTTAGTAGAGGCAGCCTGAATATAAAGCTGCCCAGAAGACTTCAAAAACTTTCTAACATTAGAGGAAGCCAGGGCGGTTAGATAAATTGTTAATGACCCCGTTGTGAAGAAGAAAGAGAAGGAAAACACATCTCACGTTTTAATTCATTACATTTCATTATTTTTAGATGCATAATCTCATCTGAGCTTCACAGAACCTTCTGTGAGATGAGTACAAGATCCTGTAACTGATGTGGAAATTCAGGTTTAGAAGTAGTGATTTATTGAAGACCATCCACTGAGTTACAGAACAGGACCAAAATCCAGGTCTTCTGACCTCTGCTCTGCTCTGCTTTCTCCTTTTTCATCATCCCATGAATTTGGGTTTGAGGTTGGAAGTGTCACACATGTATACTGAAGAATGTGCCCATAAGCACAAGTGGAGGTGAAAGAAATATTTGAGAAGAGTGAATGGGTTTTCTTTGCATTTTTCTCTTTAATCTCAAGATACTCCAACAATAAAAAGTACAGTTGGCTTTTAGCTGTAGAGGACATGCCAAGACATCATGGCCTGCGTGCGTCGGTCATAGGTATTTTTGTACAGGAGCAAACATCCCCTGAAAGAGCATTGTGGGATCTCTCAGAATACCATTCCTTATGTAGAGTTACAGAAAACGCCTAACGTTGAAAGGGAACTTCTCAGAAATAAGAGGTACAAACATGGGCTGACAAAGAGAAGAGAGTTTTTATTAGGCAAGGAGCCTGGGGTATTTCTTTTTAATTCCAGTCAATAAGTATATAGCAAATGATTGTGTGTGCAGTACTTTGCCTAAGGGAGTGTTGACAGTTGGGGGCAGTGACAGCAGTGTGGCTGTGTCTCACCTCCCTCTGTTCCCGCTGACAGACATCCGCCTGGAAACCTGCTACCTGAGGTATGAGGACGAGGAGTGCACCCTGCCTATTGCTGGCCGCCACCGCATGGACGCCTGCTGCTGCTCTGTCGGGGCAGCCTGGGGTACTGAGGAATGCGAGGAGTGTCCCATGAGAAATACCCCTGAGTATGAGGAGCTGTGTCCCAGAGGACCCGGATTTGCCACAAAAGAAATTACAAATGGAAAACCTTTCTTCAAAGGTACAATGTTAAGTTTTCCATAGCCCATTACTTTCCTTTTTAGACCAACAGGATGCATTTTCATGATCTCAGTGTTATATTTGATCATCCCAGCATAGACTTTTTGCTTTCTGAATTATGTAATTATCTTTGTTTAGAAAAATATGCACTTTTTTTTTTTTTAAAACTGTTTGGTTCAGGAAGTCCTGAGAGTTACAATTGTTCTGTATGGAGAGATTTCTAGATGGCCCTCTTAAATGTGGATTACGTAAATTCAAAGGAACTTGAATAATTTTGCTTCCAAAGGCTATGATAATTCATTGCTGAAGAAGGACTTGATGTTCTGGAGATTTAATCTCCCAGTTCTGTCTCACATGTAGAAATGACCTTGCATATTTCTTGAGTGTTGTGTCTTGTTTTGGAAAGGCCCCTGTTGTGGGAAACTCAGGTCACATTTTACATGTATGCAGAGTTTTCTAGTATACAAGAAGCTCTTAAAATTATATTAATAAGATCTTGGGCTGGACACAGTGGCTCACACCTATAATCCCAGCACTTTGGGAGGCCAACGTGGGCAGATTACTTCAGTTCAGGAGTTCGAGACCAGCCTGGGCCACATGGTGACATGGTGAAACCCTGTGTCTACCAAAAAAAAAAAAAAAAAAAGGCTAGGCATGGTGGCACACACCTGAGTAGCTGAAGCACAAGAATTGCTTGAACCTAGAAAGCAGAGGTTGCAGTGAGCCAAGATCATGCCCCACTTCACTTTAGCCTGGATGACAGAGCAAATCCTGTCTCAAAAAAGACAGAAAGAAATCTCAAGGTATATAACATTGAGAAAATACTTTTTAGTTGTACAAATTATTTGCAATAATTTAAATTATAAAATATATCTTTCAAATTTTCATATTTTTGGTATATCCAAAAAAGCACCAAACAGTATTAAGTAATATCTCATTCTGCCTCACAGTCAATTGATAGCTGTAGGATAATATATTCTAATAACCTTCTTTGTGCTTTAAATATAGATACTGGTGGTTTAGAATATGTTATCTATTCATTCAGCAAGTAGTGGTTAAGTATTCACTGTGTATCAGGTCGTGTGCTGGGCCCTAGAAGTCTGAGCAGACACATTCTTTGCTTCTTTAACAATGCTTTAAGAAATGTAGAAATTTAAAAGGCTAGAAATGTTTACAAAGTCATATATCATGGATCATCACACATTCTTTGAAATGTGAATTGCCAAGACCGTAAATCAAGAACTTCTAACCTTCAGGATTTAAAATGGTGGGCACTGAGACCTCCTGACTGGTTGCTCATAAATTTTTTCCCCCCACATCTTCTTATTCTTGAAGATATCAATGAGTGCAAGATGATACCCAGCCTCTGCACCCACGGCAAGTGCAGAAACACCATCGGCAGCTTTAAGTGCAGATGTGACAGCGGCTTTGCTCTTGATTCTGAAGAAAGGAACTGCACAGGTCAGTGAATGAGCCTCAAGGGCCAGGAGAGGGGATGTCCTTTAGACCTCTTTTTAAATTAAATTAAATTTTTATTTATTATATTTAAGTTCTGGGCTACATGTGCAGAATGTACAGGTTTATTACGTAGGTATATACATGCCCTGGTGGTTTGCTGCACCCATCCCCCCATCATCTACCCACCCCTTGCTATGCTTTCCCTAGCATCCCCCACCCCTGACAGGCCCCAAACCTCTTTAACACGTTGCCGCAAGAATTAAGGCTGTCCTGAGGCTCACTGGCTGCCACCTGCTGTTTTTGTGCAGACATTGACGAATGCCGCATATCTCCTGACCTCTGTGGCAGAGGCCAGTGTGTGAACACCCCCGGGGACTTTGAATGCAAATGTGACGAAGGCTATGAAAGTGGGTTCATGATGATGAAAAACTGCATGGGTAAGTGTGAGATCATTTGATCAACACAGAAAGGAGGATTCCGAGAAGCTTTGATGGCTCATAGCCTATGACCTGCCGCCCCAGTGCACTGGGCTCCAGACCAGTGAGTTAGGAATCAGTCTGCAGCAGAGGGAGACGGAGGTAGAATGAGGGAGTTCATGCTGTGGGTTTGTGGGTGACAGTGGACACCAGAGGTGGGTCCTTGAGAAGTGAGTTGAACACCTGGAATGGATCGCCAGGGGGAAGACAGAACAATTGAAACAGAATGTGGAGTAGAGGTCCCTATACAGGATTTCTGTCCAACACTTCTAGAAAAGGCGGCTGATAAGCTGGTTGTCTTCCGTCTGGTTTCCTAGAAACAAAGTTTGAAATGGAGAGTCTGGCAAAAGTGACATTTCTTTCTGTGAGCAAATTCTCTCAGAGCGTACCTGTCAGGAAGTGAGGAAAGCAGGGTAGTGCAGGAGAAGAAAATAAATCAAGAGTATGGCTGTATTTTGGCTTTAGTCTAATCCTGCAGGGTGCTCTCGTATATGAATGGCACCAAAAGTTGTCCCACCTTGAGACAAAGAATGTGTATTGCCTTGTCTCAGGTCAACATTTTATACTCCCATGTCAGTTCAATCAATTATTGACCATGAGTGGTCCCTAGCATGGGCGAGGGGTATGATCTCTCACCTCCCAGCCGTTTCTGAGTGAGATAGAAAAGGGAGACTGTGAGCCCTTATTAGCCAGGACACCCAGAAACGGGTGGGGAAGGTGCTCTCGTCTGGTAGAGGAGGTGAGGCCACCACTGCCACCACCACCACCAACATAGTCATTTCCATTTTGCAGATATCGATGAGTGTCAGAGAGATCCTCTCCTATGCCGAGGTGGTGTTTGCCACAACACAGAGGGAAGTTACCGCTGTGAATGTCCGCCTGGCCATCAGCTGTCCCCCAACATCTCCGCGTGTATCGGTAAGGAGGAAGACATTCGCACCAGTCACTTGTGATTATTTGTTGAACGACATCGCTGCCAGAGTCAGAAGCTTATGTTTGGGTGTTTGTTCTTCTTTTCCCGACAGACATCAATGAGTGTGAGCTGAGTGCACACCTGTGTCCCAATGGCCGCTGTGTGAACCTCATAGGGAAGTATCAGTGTACCTGCAACCCTGGCTACCATTCAACTCCCGACAGGCTATTTTGTGTTGGTAAGTTCTGTCTTTTATTTTGTTTCATCTCTTCCTAAAACACTCGATGTACTCCAAGTTTTGTTTTCGTCACTGCTTTTACTTATCTTTCCTGGTTCCCTGCAGTATTCTTTTTATAGTGGCTCACAATCTTTGGATCTCATCTCCATTATCTCTAAAGAACCAGTTAAATGAAGAATGTGGGATGTTTTAGCTCTAATAAGCATAATTTGACCCATGCCGTTTGGATAGGGAACAGTAGTAGGTGCTTGTTTAGGCACATGCATACCGATGCTCATTAACAAATGGTAGCTAGCCACCTGAAATAAGCTAAACACAGTGAGCACTGTGGAAAAGACAAAAATGCTGAGGTGAAATCTCTGCTCTTATGTGGTTTAGATAAGCTAGAAGATTTCAAAGACTTAACTGTTGGAAAGAAGACCATGGAATGTTCATATCTTACACTGCAGTAGAGGCTATGCCTGGCACTCCTTAAAAATGGGTTTTTGTGGGACAAGAATTTTGCTTTGTGGTCAGCCCTCTGTAGGTTTAGTCGTGCTGTGAAGAGTGGCACAGACAGCCCTGTGGCTTTATTGTGCCCCAAGTCAAAGTGAAACTTTGTAGAAACTGCCAGTTTTTGCCTGGTTTGGGGTGTACACCATGTGGAACTGCCAAGTCTCACATGGTTTCTACCCAAAACCATAAATCAGCCCAAATTTTTCTGAAACCTGGCCCAGGACAACTGAGAACTTCAACTCAGGTTCTTGAAAAGGATTGGAACCTCAGCCAATCAAACTGAATTTCAAGTTTATTAGTGAATCTGTGGCCAAGAGAATTTCATCCACGTGCCCATTATCATAACTGAGATGTGTTCTCCTAGCACCCAATACTTCTCCTGCATTGCAAATGGCACATCATGCATGGTGTAATTAATTGTTCATCTGTCTTTTGGCCTCAGTGTAATCATTTTGAAGGCATGGATTGTGTCTGTCCCATTCACTATTAGATCCTAATCTCTAGCACATAGTAGGTAGGTAGTTTGTTGAAGGAGTCGAACAGTGACTTCAGTTGCCCTCGAATGCTTTTTCCCCTTTATTTGACCTATGCCTGGAAACTTTAAAAATGTGCCATATTCATAAACATAGAGGGAGGTTTGCTCATTTTTGTGATGCTATAACAGAATACCTGAAACTGAGTAATTTATAATGAGCAGAAATTATTAATTCACAATTCTGGAGGATGGGAAATCCAATTTCAAGGTGCCAATATTTTGCATGGTCCTTCTTCCTACATTATCCCATCGCAGAAAGCACGAGGCTGAAAGAGAGCAAGAGGGGGCTGAACTTGCTCTTTGATAACAGCACCAATCCCGTGAGGGTAGAGCCCTCATAGGCTGATTATTTCTTTTAAAGGTCCTGCCTCTTAAATAGTGTTACAATGGCAATTAAATTTCAACATGAGTATTGGAGGGGACAGACATCCAAACCATATGAGAAGGTAATATGATTTTCATTTCTCTTAGACATTGATGAATGCAGCATAATGAACGGTGGTTGTGAAACCTTCTGCACAAACTCCGAAGGCAGCTATGAATGTAGCTGTCAGCCGGGATTTGCGCTAATGCCTGACCAGAGATCGTGCACCGGTGAGTAGGTTCTAGACTCATGTTCATTCTTTTAATAGGTTCCCAAGTAAAGTGGTTTAGGACCCAGGTTTTGGAGTTGAGCAGTATTGAGTTTAAACACTTGTTTGTCATATATTTTAACTGTATCCTTGATCAACATACTTAGTATTAGAATCCTCATCTATAAAATGGGAGTTCAAATTGCCTGTGTAAAATAGTATTTACAGAACTTACCACAGTACCTGGCACAGCATAAATGGAATATAAAATATGTTTTCCTTCACTGACCAGACTTTTGAAGAGTTTGATGTTTTGGCCTAATTCAGAGCTACTCCAGGTGTATTCCTTGAACCCTCAGCAACAGCATAACCTGAGAACTTATTAAAAAATGTATCTCAGGCCCATTCCAGCTACAGAATCAGAAACTACTGGGGTCAATCCCAGTAATTTGTGTTTTCATAAGCTCTCCAAATGATTTGGATGCATGCTAAAGTTTGAGAACCGGTGGTCTAATTTATACTTCCTTTTTTTTTTTTTTTTTTGGTCACCCTGGGCTGTGAGAGATGAGAGCTAGGTAGAGGTGAGAAACAAAGTGGGTAATAACACAGGCTTTGATTTGGGCTTGGCTTAAGAAGAGAATTTGGATTTAGGAGCCAGAATTATTTTATGTGACTTAGGAAAAATGTCCCTAAAAAAACTCTACCATAAATTTGGCTATAAAAATTGTTGAAAATAAATATTATTACTAAGAGCATCTAAGTAGCTATAGTTATTTCAAGTAATTCTTTAAAATATTGCTAAAACAGGTGATAGACTTCAGGCATTTATGATTTGACAATAAGGAAAATAAGATTTATAGTAATTTTTGAATGATAAATGAGATAAAGATTTTAATTAAATGATAAGACTTTTAAGCAGGTGTGGACTTTGCCTTTGAGCAGTGTATTATAAATCTTGAAAATGATTTTTTTTCCTTTTTTTACCAAGGATAACCTGATGGGCTAATTTATGTAAAGCTTTATTTGGATTTGAGAGTTAATAGTCTTTGCTAGTAGGCTGAGTTTATTTGACTTGGGTCAGTTAATATTTTTTCACTGAATAACGGAACCAATATGAACAACCTGTGGTTGTTGGTTTTATTCTTTGCAGACATCGATGAGTGTGAAGATAATCCCAATATCTGTGATGGTGGTCAGTGTACAAATATCCCTGGAGAGTACAGGTGCTTGTGTTACGATGGATTCATGGCATCTGAAGACATGAAAACTTGTGTAGGTAAGCAAAGAAGATGGAATTTTTCATCTTGTCTGGTTCATAAGCACTGTTAAATTACATAAAGTTAGTTTGGGTCATTAAGATAAAGATTCCATAGGACAAGTAAGGATAGGTTAGGGGCACAGTACACAAAGAGAGCTTTCTTGTGGCTATTAAGTGGTGCTCTTGTCACGTATGTTATGTGGACTGAGCTGACCATTCATCAACTCCAGATGGACATTTCTTTTATGTCTATCCATTACTTTTGCCCACTTAACTCTCTTTGTGCTATGACTAGAATGTACGGTTTTTAAATGCCTGGCTAAAGGCAGACAAAATCTACCTCTGACAAGAATGCAGTAAACTTTAGAATTGATCCATTTGTTTGGTATAGTTTCTATTGTTATGCCTTCAAATTTGATCAACTTTTCTTCTACGATATCTAATCTGCCTTCCCTCACATACAGAGTATTTTTCATCTCAGATGTTATAGTTTTCATCTCTAAAAGTTTGACCTGGGTATTTTTTTTATATCTTATGTGTCTCTGCATAAGTTCAATCATTCCTCTAGCTCAGGCATCCCCAAACTACGGCCCAGGGGCCGCATGTGGCCCCCTGAGGCCATTTATCCGGCCCCCTGCCGCTCTTCAGGAAGGGGCACCTCTTTCATTGATGGTCAGTGAGAGGAGCACAGTATGTGGCAGCCCTCCAACGGTCTGAGGGACAGTGAACTGGCCCCCTGTGTAAAAAGTTTGGGGACACCTGCCTAGCTGTTTGAACACAAGGAATGCAGTTATAATGACATTTAGTGTCTTTGTCTCTGTGTCATCTCTGTTAGTACTGGGTTATTTGAATAAATTCTTTCATTTTGGGTAATATTTTCTTGCTTCATTGATTGACTGGTAATTTTTGATTCAATGCCAGATATTGTAAATTTTCTCTTACTGAAAGCTGGATATTTTTGTATTCCTACAAATATTTTTGAACTCTGTTCTGAAATATGGTTAAATTACTTGGAAACACTTATCCCTTTCAAAGTCTTGCTTTTAAGCTTTTAAGCTACAGTTAGTCTAGGGGTTATTTTGCTCTGTTAGAGAGGTAAGACCCTTCTGGATATTCTACCTGATTCCCTGTGAATTATGAGGTTTTCCAGTCTGACTGGTGGGAATGGGCACAATGCCAGACCACCGGTGAACTTTCAGGATTGTTTCCCTCTCATTTCCTTGGGCAATGCTTTTCCCAGCCTTGAGTAGTTTTTTTCCTTACACGACTGTGCTGGTCACTATTCCTCTGAATACTTGAGGACGACTCTTGGCATATATCTGGCATTGTTTTCTTCTGCGTAGCTCTCCCCTGTCCTTTTTCTGCTCTGTGACCCCCTAACTACTTCAGCCTTCCAGGATGCTCAGATTCATCTCCTCAACTCAAGGACACTGCCGGGTTCCATCTGGTACCCCCTCCTTATGCCATAGGGTTATTCAGCAATCTGGGGCAATTGTAGAATTCACCTAGTTTGTTTTCTTTCTTTAAGGGATCACTGTCTTTTGTTGCCTAATGTTCAATATCTAGAAACCATTTTTTTTACTTTTGTCCATTTTTTTGTTTTTTTCATGTGAGAATGTAATTTTAATCTTTGTTATTCTATCTTGGCCAGAAGCAAGAGTCTAGTATTGATTATATTTAAATTTGCATCACATTTATCTTCTGAAAGCCTTTACTGAAAATTTTTGAAGTCTTAGAAATTAAAATAAATGTCATAAAAAATAATTTTTAATTTGGAAAAGAAGTCTTTATTTACTCTAAGATAAACAGTTAATCTATCCTTTCTTTCAAAATATGGAAACTAAATTGTTAGCATCATTCAGACTGAATTAAAATTTTCATCTTGCAACAGAGTATGCTGTGAAAAAGTTTTCTAGACTGTCATATAAATGACTCTAGACTCAGCCTGGAGTCCACCTGTTTATTTGATTACCTGGCCTGCTGCTTATTGGCCAGATGAAAGCCAGTCTGAATGATACGCTTGCAATATGAAGAGCAAGTATAAATTTAAAGTTTAACATTGTTTTTCTGAGTAAAAGCATTTTATCTTTTCTAATTTGTTTGTCATAGTTATTTTATCTCAGAGGGAAAGTATTCAATGATATCAAATAGTTACCTGTATTCATAATACCTATGTTTTACAGATGTCAATGAGTGTGACCTGAATCCAAATATCTGCCTAAGTGGAACCTGTGAAAACACAAAAGGCTCCTTTATCTGCCACTGTGATTTGGGCTACTCTGGCAAGAAAGGAAAAACTGGCTGTACAGGTGTGTTTATTCAAGTGGAACAATAAAATATTAAGTAGTTAAGCTATTATTTTCATAACTATAGATTGATACATGTTTTAAAACTACATTTTAACTATATTATAAAGCATTTTGCATAACATTTTTCATTAATTTAGCTTCCACTTCTTTGAAATTTATCATCATTTATATTGGATCCAAGTTGAAGGTTTTTTCTTGACCTATGGGGAAAAAAAGGTGTATTGAATAAATTAACACTGTAAAAAACATATTTATAAGGGGTTAAAAATTACATTTTCATATCAAATTAGTGAACATGCTAATTACCAAATACTTACAGCCCTTTACTAAAGCAAGCCTTTTCCAGTAACCATCTTTGCCAACACTTCATTTAAGGTTTTATAACGGGAATTGCTCTTCAAAGGAACACATTCTACAATTCATATTTTTCATCAATTCCCACTAGTCTTCCAGTGCCTTAAATAGGAACACTTCTGATGTATTAAGTTGTGTTAGTCCAAATAAGTCTTTATTCTTGGGACTTAGCAAATCTTATGAAGTGATAATGGAACCTTTTGCAATCTTGTCTATTACCAATAGCACATGAGAAAATGTTTTCACAATATTTGTAGGAGACGATCCCATTAAATGCCAAATGAAGAAGTTACTCTGTGATAATGACATTGTGTTTAGTTTATGAGTATTTCATTGGTATATTCAAATATGAGGCAATGACATTAAATCCACGGAATGTTATAATAAAGTTTTACTCTAGTTACTTATATTAATTTAACAGATTATGGCACATAATTTAAAACATAATGGAAACCATGGTGAGCTTGAATTAGGTAACCAAATAATTTCTTTATAAATAATAGTCTGTAATTCCAAAACCTGGTTTGGTAAGCTCTTATGATTTAAAACAAACATTAAAATATTTGCAGATTGGCAATGTGGCAAATGTGCAGATCTTCCACTTAATTATATCAACATATTTCTAGAAAACACCAAAATATATTTATGATTATTTCTAACTGGCCAATAATGCTATTTCAAATTTATTGAAATGTAGGATAATGGCAATAATATTATTGTTGGTTTAAAAATAACAGATGCTAGCCAAAGTATGAGAAGAAGCTTGAAGCTGGAATGTTTTCATTTTCACTGTGTTACTCCTTACATGAAGCCTGGCTAGGGGTCCATTCTGATAAATGGCACAGTGTTTAAACTCTCAGCTCCCCATATGACCTCTCGGGTACAAATGGTGCTTAGCTTTGTATGTCTATGGTTCAAGCTGTATTTTTAGCTTCCAGTATAGATACAGGACTTGGTAAAAGATGATGGTCTGGCAGTAGTGAAAAGAAAGGTAAGATAGTTTTACCTAATAGAGGGTAATACCATTGTTTGTCTAAGATAAGTACATTGAAATTCAACCCAGAGGCAGGGATGCTTACGAAAGGAGAAGTTAATCTCATGGGACAGCCTTCATTCCCTATAACAAAGAGGTCTCTAGAATTCAGTGCTCCAAATTCTAGCTAACTGGGGCATGTGCAGGCTGATTATTTTAGGCCTTACCATGAAGAAAGCTTAAATTTTCATGTTATGTTAATACAGTTTTAGGTAAATGAGATATAATGTTATATAATGAGATATATTTATAATATATATTATATAAATAATATATATAATGATGATATATATGATATAATATCATATATATGATATAATATATATGATAAAATAGATATGATATAATATATATATGATATATGATATGATATATATAATATATATAATGAGATATAATGAGATATAACGCTGTTGGTGCAGTGCTGGTCAATAAATAAAAGCTATTGTCAAATTAAACATAGACACAATGTCTAGAGACCATTTTAATGAAAGCCATGGCTTCTAATTTATATATCTATTGTCCATTTTTTTTTTTTGGTTGTTTCATTTGAGAATGTAACAGTCTAGCAAAAATTTTATACTATTGTTTACTGATTCATTTTTCAAATCAGCTTAAAGAAGGAAATTCTTACTCTTAATATTGAAAGGCTTCTTTATCGTAGTTGAATTTGCACAGATAGTAAGACTATGGTGACAGAGAGCTGTGCATTACAGTTGCGTGAGCTCAGTTTACATTAGGAACAGAAGCCTTTTAGTCAGTCACATGAATGCAGATTTGAAATCAAAGGAGCACTCGATCCTTTCTTCAAATACTTTTCATAGATTTGAAGTCAAGGAAACATTCGAGCTCTTCCACCAGTTTTAAAAATTGGAGCCTAAAATGATTTTCTAATTTGATAAAATCCAGCTAGCACTGTAGGAAGACTTGAGATTTGTGACCCTTTGATACCAGAGTAACATGGCATGTGATACTCTCATCTGAAGGAGTAGTACCCTGAATTGCATTCTTAGTTATTCCACTCGTTCATGATCTTCAACAGATCACCAGGGTGCTCTGCAGTTGCTCGAATGTTCTCCTTGAGTAAGTAGCAACCCTGACCTATGGAAGGGCATCACATTTAATTGGAAATGGCTTAACCAAACGGAAAGTGTGGTATACTTGAAAATGTGTTTTTAAAAATCTGGGATAAAAAATTTTTAAATCCCCTGTCACTGAGGCTCTTTTAGCTTTAAAATTTGTGTCATTCACAACTTAGAACACCATCAGATTACCTTGGTGATGGCTTTGTTTATAATGTTCCAGGCAGCTAATGTAAGTAGAGATAGGTATCTTGCCTAACTGGATAAGCAAGCAGACAAAAGGAATATGTCTACTTATTTATTTATTTGTTTGTTTAGATAGATGATTGTTTAAGGAAAAGAATTATGAAAATATGTATGCTGTTTCTTAAGTAGAAATTTGGTTTCATGAGAACTAAGAAAAAGTCCTCTGGGCTTCATTACAGTTTTGTCTAAATATTTCAGCTCCCTGTCATTACTGATTGTTTCCATTTTAACAAATAAACATGTTTTTCCCCAATCACTTTAGCAATGTTCAGAATCCACCCACTGACTTACATTCCCAACCCACACAGATGGTAAGGGTTTCTTTTTACTCCTTAAGCTTTGTTCAGATTGTGGGTTTTGCCAAGGGGAATGTTCCATTTAATGGAGAGAGAACACATTTGCTTGAAACCTAAAACACAGCTCTTCTATCCTTGGCTTAAGTGAGCTGGGTTACAATTTTTCAATGACCCAGTGTAAGGCTTCTGTTGCTTGTTCTACATAATTAAGGCCTTGCTAGGTGTCATCTTAGATGGGTGGTCTGGCTTTCACAAGCTAATTTTAAGACCCTACCTCCCATCACATGCTTACTTAGTTAATGAATAAAGTGAGCATACCATTAAGTGAAATTAAATCAGACATGCTTTCAGTTAAAATGGCAGGATTTCTGGGTAATTCCAGATTGCAAACTAGCTGGTTCCTTTCGCAAGAGAAATGTTTCTGATGGGTCTTGGTCCATAGGAGAGAATCATATATTTCAACCACCAACAGTCAGTGAGAATTTGTGTTCATTTCCTTCCAGTTTCTTATCACTGCTAATTTTCCTCGACTGGCTGTCAGCCTGTGAAAACTCCATGGGTGTTCAGTTAATAATGTTGGCTCAAATTTGGATCCAAATTAAGAAATCCAAGTAGCCTTCACATTTGGCCTCTCCATTCACAGTAATACCCTCTTCCTCAATGCCTAATAAAGGAGTTTCTGCAGTGCATGGCTCTGCCAGGTCAGGATCCAGGAGACGGATGCCCAGATGGCGGGGAAGGCAGGTGTTTGTGTGGGTGATCCAGCCTTTCCCTGAGTGACTGTAACAGGAGGCCACAGCAGCCCCAAGCAAAAGCCTGTACTTGGATGACAGACTTGAGTGGGACATACCCAGATCCTGTGAGAAGGGTCTGTTCACACCACACACTTGCCCTTCAAGAGAGCTCTGCCAGAGGACCTTTGAGTCTTTGTGACAAAGGTTTGGTGGGGTTAAGAAGGTTGCAGCATCAGCCTTAAATTTGAATTTTTTTGCTTTTCTTGGCTTCTGCTATTCTTAATCTTAAAAATGAATTTTCTGTTTGCAGAGAACTTGTTCAGGAAAGAACATTTTTACAGAAAGAGATGTTCTTGGCAAATATGTACTGTGTTTCCTTTATATTATTGAAGAGTGTTTCAATGTGGCATTTTTGTTTGCTTGTTTTCCTTATGGCTCAGTTTCCCCTTCTGTTTGCTTTTATGATGAATTAAGTCTACCATGGAAACAATTAATGACTAACAGTTGGTACATGCATGCACACACAACCACATGCAAAAACCTTGTATTTGGAGATGCTTTATGACCACTAAGTCTTTCTAATTTATTTGTTACATACTGAGAGTGTAAAGCATTGAGATAATAACTTATACAAATACTCACAAAATGGAGAATTGAATATTGGCTCTTGAGTTACCCCAAAGTCCATAATACACAGCCTCTTGTAAAGATGGTTTCTTTTCACCTTGAAAACATTATAAAACTGAAAACATTTTGTTAAATTATAAATTTCTATTAGCATATTATTGATGACTTTTAAAGGAGACTCTCCTTTAAAAAGAAATGATAATTTTATTAATTGTTAGATTAAATATGGAAGGTAAAAGCCATATGAAAATGATAATACTCTTATAAAATATGAGTAGCTTTGGTTATTAGAAAATTGGAAAAAAAGATTACAGAATTACTAGATTAATGGGTTGTGGTCATCTCTGAAAATTATACTGAGTAAAGATATTAGTGAATATTTCTATAAGTCAGTTAATATTCATCAATATTTTGGGAGCTCCATAAAGCAAGACTTAGAATAAAATCCCGATATGACTAAAGAAATGAGCTCAGCTAGGCAGCTGTGGGCCAAGGAAAGGAGTGCCATTCAGCAGATGGGGAAACTGAGTTCCAGGATATCCTGGCTCTGCCCCTCACTGTATGTGGGGCCCAACTTCTGTGTCCTCTTCTGAGAAACGGAAGATTGGGAGAATGGAATTTCTATTTCTTTCCACTTAGAAAATTCCTCAATTCTATAATATCTGGAGGCTTTGATACTTAAGCAATTGAAGCTCTTTGTATCCACATAAGATGATCATGACAAATATGGGAGAGAAATTTATGCAGGACTCCACAAAAGTGGTGATTTGTTTCATTATCCCTGAGGGGAGCAATTCATTATCTGAGGCAGAAGGAAGTTTGGACAGCCCTGCTTGGGAGCACTAGTGCTAGTTCTGTTAGGTCAGGTATGGGAAGACGTACATTCTTGAATTCCTTTGCCTACTTAGCACTGTTATTCCTGAATTGGCCTGCCTTCTCATTTCCTTGGAATGTGCCATACTCTCCTTTAGCTGGTTAAAGCTCCCAGTCACAGTCTAAAACTGTGTGCCTCCCTTGACCTGCTGTAATAACTTGATTAGGTCTGTGTGGCTGCTAAGGTTACACTGAAATCCACCCATACAATGTGTCATCATTGAAAGGATATTCTTCCAGACATGCTGCTTCATTTTTATCATCATTAGTGATATCATAAAGTTCTTTTGTAGGAGCAATCTGTTATTTCATTTTGTGTTTGCTCTAGAAGTTATAAAGAAGTCAAAGAGCTCAGGACCATTCAGAGCTTCAGATGGAACACTTGGCAAATGGCATGTTTGCAAACACTTTCAAATCATTTAATTGGGCTTCTTAAGTAAACAAAAAGGCAAATAGGAGTTAGTTGCCCAGTTTCTTTTTCATGCCACTATTCAAGTGTTCACTGGAAATTCTTGCAGTGTTTTGTATGTCAAAATGTTTCTTCTTGACCTAAGATTGGTGTTAGATATTAGCTTCCATATGGAGTACCATATTTATGAGTTCTTGTTCTTAGTTAATGACAAAGTTGATTATGAGGGTAACCCATTATAGAATGGACTTATTTCAGGAAATTTTCACTTAATACTTTATATTCTTTTCTGTAACATGTTTATATTAGAGAGTCTATCTTGGCTAAAGTTGACAATGGAATTTTGGAGAATAGAGCGTTTTGGAGAATTTGGAGTCTTTTAGTAATGTGACCCTAATCTGGTACTCGTTACATTCTGACAAAGTCTCCATTGGACAACTTGAGTTTTATGTGAAATATACATAAGAAGCCTGGGCTCTCCAATGTGGTAGGACTCTAAGAAGCTAGGGAAAGGATGGCTTACATACTGCCTTAAGGAACATTTTCTGCAAATGCTTAAATTAGCAATACCTAAAGTAAAGCTTTTATAGAAATAAAGCATAATTAAATAACAGTGACTTAAGTTTAAGAATAAAAACATTTTATATATAAAATATAGGGCAAAAAATTTCTAATATGGCAACAAACTTGTATTTTTTGTTTGTACAAGATATGAAAATAATACACATCATTACTCCATAGTTGACTTATTAAAAATACTAGCAAAAGAAAATAAATGACCATGAGTATTATATTAAAACCATGGAAAATTAAGAAACTCATTTTTTGTTGTCTTCAGCTATAAAAAGTCACTTTGCAGTAACTGGAAACTTATGTTAAAATACGGAAAATAATTAGAGTTAATAATAGCTAGTACAATCATACTGTTATATCTTTATAAATTGACATTTAAAGCTGTTCCATGTATGTAGAGTTTACATATGGCTGCAAAACCAATCTATACTATACCATGGGAAGTTTGAAGGCAAGCCAACTTTTGAATATTACTAAGTTATTTTAAAAACCAAAAGACATTTGTGCTAAGCCTTTTTCTGAATCACTCACTGCTTATTTTTGCAGACATCAATGAATGTGAAATTGGAGCACACAACTGTGGCAGACATGCTGTGTGTACCAACACAGCAGGAAGCTTCAAATGTAGCTGCAGTCCTGGGTGGATTGGAGATGGCATTAAGTGCTCTGGTGAGTAGGAAAGTAACAGAGATTGCTTATCAAGGACTGCGTAGATTACATGTGTGAAAATATTCATTCTATAAAGTTATTTCGAGAATTATTGATTTTAAATGCCACACTTTCTGTTAATAATGATATAACCTTTTTCCATAAGATCTGGATGAATGTTCCAATGGAACTCATATGTGCAGCCAGCATGCAGACTGCAAGAATACCATGGGATCTTACCGCTGTCTGTGCAAGGAAGGATACACGGGCGATGGCTTCACTTGTATAGGTATGTTCACGTTGGAAACAACTATGTCAACGCCAGCCAGAGAAGCAAGGCTTTCCATATTTCTCAGGCTAGCAATTTGTTTTGAAGACTGGGTCAGTTGATAGAAAAGATTCATCATTTGGCACTAGAGCTCTGTGGAAAGTGAAAAATTGGAACCAATTCAATTAGGGAGACCTCAAATGCTTCTAGATAGATAAATAGATAGATAGACAGACAGACAGACAGACAGATATGTTTAGATGCCATTACCACATAGTTTACAGGGATCTGTGGTTTAATACAAAATGATACCAAAAAAGTCATAGTGTTCTCCACCTCAAGTCAGCTAGGCCTTATAATAGTTAAAATTGGCCTATGTATCATTATGTAACTAGATATAAAGATGTCATTAGTTTAAACAAATCATACTGCCTTTTATATGCCTTAGCCTTTATATTTTTGTGCCTATTTCTCACCAACGACTTCCTTTCTGTAACAACACATGGGTTAGCTTGCTGTAGAAAGCTATGTAAGGAGAAGGGATTAGATGTTCTAGATTAGGAGAACAGTATATATTTTTCTCCAACAGGCCATCGTCATCATTCCATATTGGTATAAGTAAAAATTTCAAACCTGCTAAGGAATTCATTCACTTCTAATTTTGCAATAATATATTAATAAAATTTTCTTCTTGTCTCTAATTAATGATCATAGAAGTAACAGAAACTCTTACCCACATTTAAACATACAAGATTAGACTTGTCATTGCCTAACTTATACACATACTTACATGTGCATAGACAGAACTTTTTATATCATAGCTTTGGAATTAAATAGTAAGATCCATTACTCATTGGCCATTAGGTCGTATAGCTTCCCCTTAACTTAAAACATAAATTTATTTTCAGAAGTTTGTTCATAAGAAGTCATTTAAGCACAGAAGAAGCTAAGGCCCATTAGGTGATTTACCTGGAATTTTTTTTTAATTCCCTGAAAGTTTTATCTCAGGTGAAATCATTGTTGCCCAACTTATTGATGCTTTATCATCAAAAATCTCCCATTGTTTTGAGAACATATTCAAATTCCGTGCATTAGGCATGTATGATTTATGTGTCTGATATTTAAATGCCTGTGATTATTAAGAAAACCAGGGAGAGATTCAGCAGATGGAATTTTTCTTGTCCCCTATGGTTGCCATTCTTTGGCACTTTTGGTGCCCATCTAAGCTAAACCTGGAACTTGAGAAATAAGTACAAACATGACGTGTCCTTTCCTGTCATGTATGCCCTCCATGTGGATGACCCTTCTTCAACAGGCCTTAGTTTGCATGATCCCTTTGGCTTACTCATTTTACATCATTGAGGATAAATTATTCGGGATTCTGAATCAGCCCCATGTAAATTGCATATTCAATATTAGCCTTCCTACGAGAAAAATGAATGAGCTTAAATGTGTCAAATTGAAGTTATGCCAAAACATTGCTGCACTGGAAAGTAGTTAGACCTGAGGAATTAGAAAGCCCCTAACTGAGGAAGAGTAATGTGTGTTTCTTTTTGCCTGTAGACCTTGATGAGTGCTCCGAGAATCTGAATCTCTGTGGCAATGGCCAGTGCCTCAATGCCCCAGGAGGATACCGCTGTGAATGCGACATGGGCTTCGTGCCCAGTGCTGACGGGAAAGCCTGTGAAGGTAACTGATGGGGAAGCCGATGGGACCCTTGCTGGGCGTGATGAGATTAGGTTATTTAAACATTCCTGATGCCTTTTTTTTTTTTTTTAACTGAGGTGTGTTTTAGCTTCATGTCTAAGCTGGTCAGTTTAGTTTGTAGAGGGGTTAGGTTTCCAGCTGACCATTTCTCTTGGTGCACAGAAAGCCTCAGCTGACTGGCCACAAGCTGCACCTCTAGGCTTGGCTGTATGGTCTGCAAGGGTATGCCCATTGGTCAGGGAGGGTAGCCAAGTGTGCTTAACCCAGTGCAACCCATTTACCCCTATTGAGGGGGAAAGGGCTCAAAGGGCAGGTTCCCTGACGATGTCCTGTTGTGGGATTATCATTAAATATGGAAACACAGGTTGTACTCTCCACTATATTTGGTTTCTAGAAATAAAGGCTTTAAAATAACGGCAGAGCAAATAGTCTTGTCCATACATAGAATGGTGTGTCTCACATTTGCTCTAAATATCTGACATATATAACATGTTGAAGAAGAATTCTGCAAATTCTTCAATAGAATTTGAAGAATTTGCAGAACTGTCCCATGTTATATATCTTAGATCCCATGAGTATACCCTTGGGATAATGCCATATGGCATAGTATCTCTCAGCTGTAGGCTCTGTCATTCTGATAATTGTTGGTCAGACAGGAAGAGTCCTAGGAACCTTTAGCTAAGGCTGGATCCCATTAGGAAACACAAGATTCTTCTGTTTACCAATATTTGTCAAATTTAAGCACATTCTCCTTCATTGAAAAGAAGATTTCAGTAGAAATAAACAAATGATAACGATTGTCAGTAGAAGTTTAAACAAGACCCTGATTAATGTATTAGTGAGTAGTTCCTTGTTAACAAGACATGAACTCAAAATCAGTCATTAGCTATGACATGTGTACTAATTCCCTCATGTATTTTTATGTAAATACTTTTCTTTGTTATGGAACCATTGGGTGTTCTTTATACAGTTTGTATTAAATATGCAGAGTTTGATATAAAACTCTTTGGAGGCAAGAAACCAGATTATGCTCTTGATCATGTGCCTAATGCGTTGTTTACTTCTGTTACTCCAAATATCCAAGCAAAACAGGTACTGTGCCATCTCTGGCAGCATAAATAGTCACAGTGAAAGTTTTGCTTCTCTTATTGCTATAAGGGAAGGTTTTGCTTGTTTGTTTGTTCTTAATATAAATTATGGCTGGCAGAGTGGTCATGGCTATTGAAAGCCAGACTCAAGCCTGAAAATGTGCTCACGTGTCATCTGCACAACAAGAATATTGACATGAGGCAGAGACGAGGCCTGGAAGAAGCAAGTGTGGTATTCCAATCTTCATCAACAAAAGCAAACACACACCATAGGACTAGGGAGGCTGGGGATTATGCAACCAATTATGACAGTTACCAAAAAGACATTGTGGCTTGTAAAATGTTAATTCACAACAAAAACCGTGACTGTATATTGAAAACAATCAAAGAATTTAGTGTAAGGTGGCTTGCTTGGCTCTTACTTTACAGAAGTGATGTGAACCTACATGGAACACTACAAATGACATATGTATCTATAAAAGGCTCAGCCCACTGCTTCGCATTTGATAGGGACTGAGGAAAGGTAACCTCCCACCTACGAGACTTCCTCGTGCATGACAAATCGCCTCAAAGTCTATAGGAGAAGTGCCTAGACTGGTGTTAGGTAGTCTGCATTTTCTTAATATTTATAGTAGTTGCCTAATTATATTTGGGAGTTTTGGTTGTTTTTTTTTTTAAATATAAATTAACTTATTTCCTTTTTCCTCCCTCCCCTAAGATATCGATGAGTGCTCCCTTCCGAACATCTGTGTCTTTGGAACTTGCCACAACCTCCCTGGCCTCTTCCGCTGTGAGTGTGAGATAGGCTATGAACTGGACAGGAGCGGCGGGAACTGCACAGGTAAGACCTCTGCTCGCATCAAAATCAGCTCCCTGGTGTTTCGGGGAACCCAACTATTAGAAACCCCCGGGACTATACAAGAGCAGTCACAGAGGACAAGAAAAGCAAGGGGGAAATGTTAAGAATCACAGAAACAGTTTCTCAGACCTGGAACTGATGGGAGGTGAGGATACAGAGGAAAGAGTCGAAGACAATTGAAGGAGCAAAGTTTGTAGCCTTGAAATTGAGTTTGTGGCTACACAGGAATGTTCTAGGGGTGCTCCAGCTGTGTACCTTTCCAGCCATTTCCTTTTTCTACTTGGGCACATTTTTGGAGAGTTTCCTTTTGAAGATCATGCCCTGGGATCATGGTTTTCCTCCTTGTTTTTGTTGTTGCAATACCCACCCCACTCCTTCTCACCTCTGCCCTGCCCGTTGGTCACCAGAGTACCTGGTACACAGAGCTCAGCCATTTTCTTGTTGAGCCAGGGACCCTCAGGGAACATTAGAAAAAGTTTAGAAAAGCTACAGGCACCCAGCAGACTGCCACGTGGTTCTCTCTGGCACTAAGACTTTGAAAGCCATTTACATTTCCCCTTCCTAATTCACCCCTCTGTTCAAGGATATTGAAGAAACAACTTCTGTTCTGTATGAATTCAAATTTCAGGAAAAATCTGGTCCTTTCAACCACCTAAACAAACCATGACTCAGGGGCTCTCCAGATCATGACCACCACCAGCACCCTGCAAACGCTCTGGATGGAGTATTCCTCTCCAGCCACACATTCTTCCCTTGCTTTTTCTTAAAACTTCTATGAACCAGGCCCGGTCTCTTGCATGCCTCAGGAAGTCACCCCTCCATAGCCTCTCCTGAGTGGCTCAGATGACTATCAGCATCATTTTGTCTAACCTTCTTTCTGTTAGTTTGGTCCTGTCCATCCAAATGCACATGTAATTTGAACAAAAATGTCATCTGCAGTGCCACCCGCAGGAGGGTTGCCGGATTTAAGGGGAGGATCAAGGCAAAGGAGTCATCCCTCTTCTCCAGCCGTTCGTCTGTTCTTGCGTATTTCATGAGCGTTCAAAACAGACAAAAGGGATTGTATGGAGTGGAATTTGCCAAAACCCATGTCCTAAATATCTGGAATTCTGTACATAGTTTTGGAATAGAAACTGAAAGGGAAATACTCCACTCAGCATCGATGATGGGAGAGAGACTCCTTGCCGACTTCAGGGAACACGCTAAGCCTCACGCGTGTGTGTCGGGGGAAGCAGCAAGAGCTGCTGCTCCTGAGGCTTTCCTGGGACATCTTGCTCCAATTTGATGAAATAACAAGCCACATATGCTCAATATATTTTCTTAAAACCTGTGTCTGAATTTCTGGTTGACCGAGGTCACAATCATGTTCTGCCTTCATGTACCTTGACTGGAATACTTTTCCTAGTTACAACGTTGTGTTTTATCCTGATGACAAATTTGAATGGTAAATGTGTTGTGGGGGAAGAAGACCAAAAACTATGACATATTTCCTTCCTGAGGGGTTTTATTTCTGAAGTGGATGACAGCATTTCTAGATGTTGTTATAACTAGCAGCTTTAAAATCCTTGTTGGGAACTCTAGATTGGGCCCTGTTCTTTTATGGTGACGTCTGCCTGCACTGGCTCAGGTGATAACTCCTGCTTGCTGTTTGCTTTTAGATGTTAATGAATGCCTGGATCCAACCACGTGCATCAGTGGGAACTGTATCAACACTCCAGGCAGCTATACCTGTGACTGCCCACCTGATTTTGAGCTGAATCCAACTCGAGTTGGCTGTGTGGGTAAGACCTTAAAAACTTTTCAGGGAAGCATACTGTTTATTATTTTGAAAATAGCCCTAAACCTTCCATTCTCAAAGTTTGCAAAATGAGTGATATACAGAAATTTAAACATTTCCCAACTCTGCTTTATATTCAGGTGTCTTTTCCATAGGAAAATTCTCAGTACTGTATGATACTCATGGGCACTTTTTAATTTCTTAGTAAAAGTAAATGATGGTTTTTTAATAGTTCCTGAAGTGGGTTTGAATTTTCAACCCTGGTAGAATCTTCCTGACTCGCTTTTGTGTTTGTATATGGTAAATAGATACCCGCTCTGGAAATTGCTATTTGGATATTCGACCTCGAGGAGACAATGGAGATACAGCCTGCAGCAATGAAATTGGAGTTGGTGTTTCCAAAGCTTCCTGTTGCTGTTCTCTGGGTAAAGCCTGGGGTACTCCTTGTGAGATGTGCCCCGCTGTGAACACATGTAAGTGGACAACCTCCTATTTAGTATTATTTCAACTCCAGCCAGTTCTCCTTTCTAGATCAGAAGATAAACCTTTTTTACTCTTAGATCAGACTGAAGATCAGTCCTCTCAGCCCTGTGGAGGGCACCTTATTCCCAATTCAAGAGTCAGAAAGTATTTCTGGTTGGCTCGCACTGAAAGATCAGGTGGGGCAGGTAACATCTCACTTCTGCGTGAGTGAGAAGCAGATAGCATTACTTTAAAGATTTTCCGGACTAGGTTACTTAAACCATGTTGCTTCCCTTCCAGGGACACACTGATTATCTCTCCTCTTCTCAGCTATTGACTAGTTTTGAAAGCTCTAGGTCAGACTCGGTGTCCCTGGGTTTGAAGAGAAGCAATTAGTTAAGCAACTACGAAATGGAAGATGATTTCATTCTTACGGTGTGGCTTGAAAGAGAGCTTTAGCATGTGATTTTAAGGACATAGATACTATGTCTCCTAAAGATATAAAAGGCTTGTTATTTTTCCAAGTGGGTCCTGTATTATAATTCAGAATCAGATATAGCTTCTTTGGCAAAAGTCAGTGGCTACTGCCTATAGCCTATATTGGGATTGATAGGGATTCTTCTTTTGCTGAAGGATTATTTATTCAATTCTTCTAAAAATATTGGTTGAGTACCTAAAGTGTGTACTCTGGATGTGCAAAGATGAATTAGACTAGATTCTGCCCTTCAGAAGAATACAGCATAGTTGGCAAATTATGACCTAAACGTAAGTGCTATAATTCAAAATAGGTCTCAGAAAGAAAAGAAAGAGCAGACACAGTGCTGTGTTGGTACAAACAGCACACCTGGTGCAAATTAGGACTCCACTACTTGTCACCCATGTAACCCTGGGCAAGTTCCTTAGCATTCATAGAATACCTCATAGGATTAAATGAAACCACTTGTGCAGAGTACCCAGCAGAGGAGTGTGTGCTCAGCCGGCTCCTCCTCCTCTCTTCTCTTCAGAAAGGGAGGTCAGTTCTGCTTGGGAGAGGGTTGGGACTTGGCACGTTTTCTAATTGAGGCTTCAAAAAGGTTGTGACGTGAAAGAAGAAAAAAGTGTGGATGATTGGAGAAACGGGAGAACAAGTAAAAGAGGAGGACAGTTCATTTCAGTGGTGTCGAAGGGGGCAAACTAAGACGCTTTGTAGATTAATGATGAGTAGCAAAGCAATAGATATGCACCCCATGCCAGATCTGAACCAGAGTGAGAACTACAGCATGTACATACAGGCATGTGTGCCTATAATTTCAGGAAGCCAGGACAGGGATTAGCAGATCTGGAAACACCATGATGATCGTGAAAGAACTGATCGTATAGATCAGTTCACTGGGAAGATGCAGCAGGTTACAGACATGCTTATTGACACGTTCCTCTGCGTATCCCTGTGCTGGCACATGGCACTGAAGTAAATGTTTCTAGGTAAAATACTTGGATGAAAGAATTAATGGGGGAACCCAAGGACACTGTAGAAAGTTCTTTTTGGAAACCAGGAGAATCAATACTGCCATCCATAGAAACAGAGGTGCAAGAAAGGTCTTTAGTCATGAAGGAGAGAATTGGGATAAGAATCAACAGAGAACAGCTTTTTCTAAGAAAGTGTTTTGGAAATAGGCCAATTAAGATTATTAAGGGAAGCTGTAATTCCCAGAAAGTAAGGCTGAACAGAACATAAAAATGAAGATGAAGTTTTTCAGAAAATCAAAAGGGAAAGAAAATCTTTAAAAAAAAAAGAACAGTGATGAAGATAGGGATAAAATAGTCTGCATGGGTGTAAGAACAGGGGAATGGTGAGAGTTCAAGCACTAAGGACAGTGGCCTTGCACTGGGGACACATCATAAAAACCACTGGAGAATGGCAAGTGTCCACAAAGGTGTTAACTTACTGCAGACAGGCAGAGTAATAACTAAAGATGCCTGAACATGAATAGTTTCAGGTGGATATGTCAGTATTTCTCTAGAGGTTACTACTTCTAAAAATTTTAGATTCAGAGCAACTCAACTTGAATTTTTGTTTCAATAGCTGAGTACAAAATTCTTTGTCCTGGAGGGGAAGGTTTTCGACCAAATCCTATCACCGTTATATTGGAAGGTAATTGTGTTTGTTTTGTCTTAAAACGCACGCAATTTGAATTTCTTTGGGTTTGGTTACAATGCTGAAGGAATGCTTTTGTTTTGCTTTTGATAGATATTGATGAGTGCCAGGAGCTACCAGGGCTGTGCCAAGGGGGGAAATGTATCAACACCTTCGGGAGTTTCCAGTGCCGCTGTCCAACCGGCTACTACCTGAATGAAGATACGCGAGTGTGTGATGGTAAATGGCCCTTGTAGGATGATAAAGTTTTTCAGATATCAAGAACTAACCTGCAAAACCAGAATATGGTTACCAGGAAAACAGAATTTAGCTGTATAGCACAGTGGTCTAAACACAAGCATAGCCAGGTAAATATGTCACACGTGGCAGTTTGGAATAATGTTACTCAAAATATGTCATTTCTGGTAAGTCCTAAATCTCTCTCTTTTCCTGAGAAAAATAGACTCTTGTTCTGCTGGACCATAGCCTCATTTATGCTTACAAAAGAGTTTTCTATGCTCTTCAGAAAAGCCATTTTTCATGAGAATGGCACAGGTCCCATTTCAGTGCTGCTTCTCTATTGGGGGAGTTCTGGGCCCTCTTCTTGTCATCCATGCTCATGCATTCAAATGAGCTTCTCCTAGAAGGCGGCCCTTTGGCTTCATGCTGTGAGTGGTCGCCCTTGTTCACCCTGTGCTTCTGGAAAGGTGGAGAATATTAACCACTTCTAGGTTTGAGAGCACTCAGCCATGAGCCAGGGTGGGAGAGGTGGTTTTCATCTACACGCAGGAATCACATCACTGTTTAGGAAAGAGACCTCCTTGTGCTCTGCATAGGAAATGGCTCTTAGGGCTCTTTAAGTGGCTTATTAGGTCACCCAGACGATGGCAAGGTCATTGAGTATTACATTGAACATCACATTATATATGGCACAGCTCTAAGACCCATGGAGTTAAAGAAGATTAGAATCAACTCCTTTGTTTGGAAATGAGGAGAGGATGTGAAATATGCTCCATGCTGCCTTACCAGTGCAGATTCATGAAGCCAGCTGTTCATGGCTTCCAGATATTGTATACCCTATCGTAGATTTGGTGAACATATGAAGTGTACTTGTTTTCCTAAGGGATGTTTGAGATTTTAATTTCTCCAAGATTCTGTCTCTGCCTACCTTTAAGGATGTTATAGAGTCATTTATTAGGAGACTCATTATTATCTTTGATATGCCTTCATGTCAGAAGGCAAGAGTTCCTTTTATTTTTTGTTTTTTGCTAAGTCCGTTCCCCTTCTTCCCCGGCTGGTGGCAGTGCACGACTTGGCTCCCGCATCCTTGCCTCATTTTCTTCTCCCTCCTCTTCTTTATCTCTCTTCTGCACACCCCCAATCCCTCCTTACCCGTCTTTTCTTCCCCCTCTCCCTGTACCCTACATCCTTCCCCACACTCTTTCTTTGTACCCTTCCTTGTCCTTCCTTCCCACCCCCATTTTACTTACCTCACCTCACCACCCCCTCCCGCACGCACGCTCCCCACTCTGCTCATTGTGAACGTCGTCTTTACGTCTATCATGCTTGTCCCACCCCAAAACCACACTATCGTCTACGTCCCTCACTCTCGTGCCCTTCTTCTCGTCACTCCTTATTTAACACGTGGTCCCACACTGTGTTTCATTTTTTTTCCCCCCTCACATACATCCCAGTTCTCTTATCTTACTCACCCCTCCCACCTCCCATCCTCTGTCCTCCCTTTTGCTACTACTATTTCGCCCTTGTGATTGTCCACACACCTCTTTTGTTCATCACCACTGTCCTGTGGACGTGTGCCCATCGCTCCCCACGTACTCGCCTCTCCTCCCACCCCTACACCATGCTACATTTACACTCCTTTCTTACGCTTTCACCCCATTCTCATAGCTGTTCGCCTACAGCCATATACCCACCACTCTCTGCTATGTACTGACACGTTGCCAAACACATTTCACTATGCACACCAAATGTCCCACACCCCTTGTTCGTCTCACTTGTGTTCTCACACTTCCACACACATAAACTCGACTCACTGGTCCACTACTCCCCCCACGTCCATGTGTATACACGTGATCGGTCCTCTACTGGTCATGTCTACAGCTCGTTACGACCACTTCTTGCACGGCGTGACCGTGCCACCTACTGCCGATACCACTGATCTGATACTCTTCCCGCACTGAAAACTTACTGCCAAATGGCAGGAAAGAATTGTTACTAGGAGACTAGGCAGAGAGTGATTTAAAGTTTATTAGTGCTACGGCTACATAGTGACTTAGTTCTGTGGCATGAGTTATCAGGGAATACATTTCTCAAAGTCCTTTTTCTTGTGGTAGCATGTTTGCCCTTATCAAAGTCAAGCTACAATACCCCTCAGATGAACCTTGCTCATTGAGTATCCACTTAGAAATTTGTTGTGATTTCCCACATGGCCTCACCAGTCCTCCAATTCTTTTTTTGCCTCCTGCCTAGATATGAGAAGAAGTTTGTGCTACAGAAACTACTATGCTGACAACCAGACCTGTGATGGAGAACTGTTATTCAACATGACCAAGAAGATGTGCTGTTGTTCCTACAACATCGGCCGGGCCTGGAATAAGCCCTGTGAGCAGTGTCCCATCCCAAGTACAGGTGAGTTTTAGTTTCACCATTGCCAAAAATACAGGTTGAAAAATTACCTATAAATTGTTGGGGAAATCAGTCTTAGCGAAGGAAGCAACGTTTGCATTGTTTATCTTTACAGGGAAGAAAATGGCTCACAAAGGCAAATATTTAAATTCACAGTTGATGCTGGTCATTCTAGCCAAACATTGAGTCACAGAATGTTTTCTAATTTATACCCTAATACGTAACCAGACTTGTAAACTCAGCATATCACAAAATTATAAACTATAAACAATGTTCTCATTGTTGCTGAAGTCTTACGTAACTAAAAGACTGGAAACGTTAGACAAACCGATGTGACAATAAGAGAAACGTAATTCCTTTTGTTTTTCTTATTTAAAGCTAAATTTGTTCCAAACAGAATTAAAGGCAGCCTACAAAGATGTAAATGTAAAGAAATAAGCATAAGGCAAATGGCAAACAAGAATAAGAAAGGTAGAGGCGGGGGCAGGACTGATACACACAATCCCAGCTGGGAATTCCTACACACTTGTCTCAAATAAGCGGTAAGTTTAGCCCCAAACTTTCTAGCGGCTCCCATGAAAAGGGAGATGTGATCAAGTACAAAATTCTCAATGACTATAAAGAAAACTCAAAAGCAAAGTGCAACTTTTTTTTCATATTGAGATCCAAGATAAATTTTTTCTTATATTCTCATAAAGAAACTAAATGTTATTTGTCTCTCTTAAAAAAAAAAAAAAAGGCTAATTTACAGCCTTTGTGTAAATGAAGTGAAGGCATTAGTGTATTGTTCTTATATGGTATATACATGATGACATCATTTGCCAAGATTATGATTTGGGTTATTTGAAATTATTATGCAAGGTTTATTAATTAACCCAAATTGTTATTTGGGTTAATTGAAATTATTATGAAATTTTATTGATTAGGGTGTGCTATAAAGGGAATCCTACCCTATTTTCCACAGTGATATGTAAAATATTAAATCTGTTGTTTGGTACTACCTGACATTGCATGCAACAGAAAATTCTTTTTTAGTAAAATATATTATTATTCCATCCAATGTTTATACCAGAAATAATATAATAACCACCACTTAGAATTCCTAATTTACCTCCACCCTGTAAAATGTTTCTAGGCCAGGGCTTGGCAAAACACAATCCATGGGCCAAATCCATCCCACCACCTACTTTTGAATGGCCTGCAAGCTAAAAATGATTTCTACATTTTAAATGGCTGGAAAAAATCTGGAGAATCGTATCTTATAAAATGAAAGTTACATGAGCTTCAGAGTTTGTTGCCCATAAATAAAACTCGATTAGAACACAGCCACACTAATTTATTTTCATATTGTCTACTGCTGCTTTCATGGCAGCGTTAAATCGTTTTGACTGTACAGCCTCTAAATCCTGAGATATTTACTCTCTGTCCTGTTATTAAAAAGTTTTCTGACCCTTGATATTGAACAATGGTCTTTAAAACTTTAGATGATACTTACTACTTGCCTGTTGGTACAATATCTAGAGCTTATATGTACTTGGTGTGAATTTACGTGTAAAAGTCTATGTGTATATGTATGTGTGTATTTGTTTTCAATTATATTGAAAAATGCGCTTATTATTTTCCTGAATTGTTCTAATATAAAATATACACAAAATTATTTTTTTTTAAGATTAGATTTTCCAAAGATAGATAGAAGTCCTAGCATTCTCTTTTTTATCCTAATGGATTATTGCATATTCCTCTGAAGACCACTTTGGAAACCCTCAATATAGACTAACATTTACTTTCAGAAATGATTGCCTGAGTTTTCAATATCTGTATTCTCTTATGTAAAATGCAAGATTTCTTCTTGACGTTGGATATTCACCAAATCTAGTCATGGCTTTTCATTAGCTGTGAAATCTGTACATATTTTAGGAGTCCCTATAATTTCTTTGGATGGCCAACGTCAGCTGGCATTATGGTGTTAGAAGTGAACACTCTTAGATTAAGAAAACAAAAGGAGAATAACATGCTATATTTTGATTAAAATGCTTCCAGAAATCTTTTACTGATTCTCACTGCATGTGACCAATAAGGCGGTGGCCATCTTAGCTTAGATTGATACCATACCTTACCAGCTACAGTTATGATCTACAATCTCACAGTTAGAAGGGACTGCTGATAGATTTTAGTTCATCCTTTATTATCTGTTAAATTTGATTTATTCAAGTGAGAGGAAGACAGAGAGAGACAAAAGGAGAGAAGGGGAGGGAGAGAACTGGACAGAGCTGTACCAAATGAAATCCAGCTCAAAAAACTGCAAAAAAAAAAAAATGGTGAAGGTTGATTGACCCAAATTAGTAGATTTGACATCAGGGACATGGCTGGATTTGCTATGGTCTCCCATAACCTACTGAGAAAATGGCTTTTGTACGTGTTCCTCAAACCCCAGCTCTCTTAATGCAGGCTAGAGAGAGGCACTTTTTCCAGTCCCTGAGTTCAGAGCTGAACATCATCTATGTTGAAATCCAAACTCCCACAGGCACACTCAAGTGAATGAGTGGCATGTGACCTGGAGATCTCTACTTCTCCTTCATTATCACGTCAACATGAGATTATTTTTTTCTTACTATTTGTCTTACAGGCAAGATTATATCTGTAGGAATTTTTAGATTTACTTTTTATTTTAAATTCTTCAAATTACAGACAAATAACCTTTCAAGAATGCTTACAAAATAATTTTTTTCAGTTCAGTTGTTGCTCTTCTCTGATCCTCCCATCCCACCTTTGTTTCATCTCTGCAGATGAATTTGCTACACTGTGTGGAAGTCAAAGGCCAGGCTTTGTCATCGACATTTATACTGGTTTACCTGTTGGTGAGTCATGACGGCACTGTCAGAACTGTCTGGGTTTTTGTTGCCTTTGTGTTAGCAAGAGGAGTACACCATTAGTTTCCCAGTCCCTGTTTTTTTAAGAAGAAAAAAAAATGTGAAACAATGCCTTTAACTTTATTGAAACACTGATTCTTAGTTTGAAACAAACTGTGCAAACACCCTGTGCAGCTCCACCTAATTGGCAGCAGCATTTGTTGTTCATGATTAAGGGGACTGGAAAGCTTTTCACAAAATCACCATCAAGCATAGTTAAACCAACCTTCAGCATCAACAAGAGGAGCGATTCTGGGAGTCGGGCCCGTTGACATTTGATTTAACTGTAATTCCCAATCCTTCCTTCTGACTAAGGCTTTTCACACCAATCCGTACATGTAGATTGTTTACCTAAAGCCTTTTCGTGGATCAATTTTATCTTACATGGAATCTTCTCAGGTCATCTGCTTTGAGAATGTCAGATGTGAAATGAAAATCTTTTCAGTCTGAGGCCCCGCCTGGTAACTGAAGCAGAGAACACAACATCGGTAGAGATGCTTGTGCAACATTCAGAAGTACTGCACAGCACTCGGCCAATGCAGGCAATGCCCTTGTGGTTTGAAACCAAATAACACAAAAGTAGATGGAAAGCTGTTGCATTTTCTGAGTTTTTCCCTGGTGTGATTTATATGCATCCTTAGATGCCCTCTTAAGTCTTCACAGTTGTGTCTAGTAGCAAACATCACCACTTGCTTTCTTCCACCTTATTCATAATAAGTAAACTAAAATCCGCATCAGCCTTTCCAGTGACCTTGTTTAAGAAAACAAGAGTCTGGTCCAGCAATCAGCCTGGCTCCCTTAGTGCCAAATCCATATGGCTCCACGGTCTCGTCAACATCCAAAGAAACTTCATGGTTTGGCAAGAAAAACTGCTAAATGACATTGGCATGGAACACCTGGCCCTAGCTGCTTTGTTTTTCCCCTTCCCAAAACAGATCTTTTAATCTCCCTAGGATCTGTGATCGGAAGATAAGTGGTCTGTAATGGTAATGGTTCTCCATGGACCGACCAGGCATGTACCCCAGCAAGACTACCCTCCAAGGTTGGCAGTAAGCAAAGACTAAAAACGACATTAGCGTCGTCCACTAGGAGAGCTGGATAGGCTTCAAACACCATCTAGTCCAAACGCCTTGCTTCATGTTTGAGGACACAGAGGCCCAGAGAGGAGAAGGGACTCATCCAAGGCCACCCAGCTAACTAATAACAGAGCTGGGACCAGAAGACAGTCCTGACTCACGGCTTAGTTTGCTTCTAACTCTTAAAAACTGGAAATCGGATATTTAGCTCTATGGTTATTGTTACCAAATTCCACATGACAAAATATTTAGATGATGAAGAACTTTGTTTTGTTTAAGCTTTATACTCTCCTTTTGGAAGATCTTATGATTCTTGGCATGTGGAGTCCATTTGTATAGGGTTAAAACTATAGCATGTTTATTAATCTTGTCTTAAAATATAAACTTCTCCAAGCCGAAGTTCAAATAAAATCCCGACAAGAAAAAAATATATAATTTTTTATATATGCTTTTGCTATTTTACACCTAACAATGGCTAGAAATTTGACTCAGCCTGTTATTGTTAAGCTTGATCATAATATATCACTTATATTTAAAACAAATGAATTTGAATATATTTCATGTTTAACCCACACTGAATGAATGGCATCTGAATTTGTTTTGTTTATGATACACGGTTGTGATGTAACTTTACGTGGCCTTTTCATGACATGAATGACGAAGGTGTGAAAGAGCTAAAGACATAATGGCCTGTATTCAAAATGGCAATGTGCCCTTTGAGATTCTAAGCCATTTCTTGTCATTAAATAGGTCAATTTTGCCTTCACACAAAATCAAGTCCTTTTTTAAAAAGGATCTAAAATAAACCTATGACCACAAATTTCTCCTTTATAACAGATTGGTTTTAGAGTGTGGTTCCTCTAAAATTGCAGCAGCTCTTGTAGGCTCCACTTCGGTCCATGATCGTCTTCTCACAAAGTATGTACCTTTCAGAGGCTCCTGACTATAATAAGTAAACAAAGTATCTCAACAACAGTTATAGGAACTAGTGAATTGGGAGACTTTCTGTTGTAGACCATATCTCCCAGCTTTACATATCTCCCAGCTGAGGTGTTTCACCTGCCAAGGGGCTGAAGGAAGGGCTCTCCAGGATAACAGAGGTGTTGATGACAGTTCTGTGAAGATTGTATTAGGGCAATGTAGGAAATCACCCTAATACAGTCTTCCCTGGTATGATAAGGGAGGCAGGATTGTCTGTTAACTGAGTCCTGGTGTCAGATCCTGACTCTGCCTCTCATTGGCTGCTTGGTCTTTGGCCGGTTATATCCTCAGGTTATATCACTTGCATCATCTCTTGGGATAGTCAGAGTACCAAGACCATCTCATAGGGTGGCTGTGATAATTCAGCAGATAAATATAGGCTAAATGCTTGAGAAACATACCAGTCATGCAGCAAATGAGATTCTGTTAATATTAATACTGTTACCATTATTATTACTATTACTACTCTTACCCTAGAGGGCACTTCAGTGGTCAGGAGTTCAGAGGAGGTAAGACAGAGATGGGATCACTCCAGGCTGGCAAGGTGCCCACAGCCTCTCTCCACAGCTGGCCAGCCCTGCCTTAGCAGCCTGGGTCCTGGCCATGTTCTCACTCTTGGTCCTGTTTTGCTGCTCACCAATACACTGCCAGACACTTGCTTTCAACTGAACACATTTGAATTGAGCATTTACTACCTGTCATGTAGAGTGCTCAGCAACTGTAACACAGTGATACAGCAGCCAGGCCCAGCTCCCAGCCTTAGGAAGCTCACAGTCTAATATGACAGTTCCTCCTTGCTGCTGACCTTGTCTTCATTGTCAGCCTTGCCCCAGCTGTCATCCCCACACCTGACTTACCTCCTTTCTAAAGCCACATGAAGTAGGAAGGGGGCATTTAACTTGAATTTGAAGGATGAGAGTTCCATATACCATGCACTCCTCTGTGGTTCTTTACCAGCTCACCTTTTCATTTTCCCTAAATAAAGGTCCACTTGGGTAGAGAGGCTGTTTACTCTTGGCTGTCCCTTCTATTCTGTTCATCGAATGTATCCACATACAAAGGTGCCTCCTACAAAATTGACATTCTGAAACAAAACTCAAAAGATAGATGTTCAATCCAGTTAGACTCATATGCCTTGAAAGTGGTTTAGTTATCTAAATTTGCTATTCATTAATGTCCCCTATTGCCATCACCACCACCCCAACACACACACACACACACACACTCACACACACTCACACTCACACTCACTCACACACATACAAGCACTTTCCATCTTGTCTTACTGTGCATGGGGATCATGTGCTGTCTTGTCACTCACGAATGACCACTCTGTCTCTAGATATTGATGAGTGCCGGGAGATCCCTGGGGTCTGTGAAAATGGTGTGTGTATCAACATGGTTGGCAGCTTCCGATGTGAATGTCCAGTGGGATTCTTCTACAATGACAAGTTGTTGGTTTGTGAAGGTAAGTGGCATTGTGGCTTTACCATATCCGGAAAAGAGCTAACTGATGAGCTACTTAATAATACACACTTGGCAAATTTCACAACACTGAAATTTCAGAAATGTGTTAAGCTCTAGAAATAGTGAAGGACATGGTGTGGAACAACATTAAGTTTCATGCAAGAAAAAAAATTCCCTAACTTCCAGTGAAAAAACCAGGAGGCACATACATTCCCAGCCCCCCTCCCCTAACACACAATGTATTACTATTAGATTTCCCAGCTGATATGAACAAGCTTTGAGTTCCTGGGTGTGTCAAATAGATCGCTTTGTTTCACATTGCTTGAAAATCAGCGTGAGTGGACAGTCATCCTAGTTGACTCTCAGAATCACTTCTCTTCCAGATGGAGACTTTGCAACTCCCAAGTGAAAACAAGGTTAATGCAAATATTCCAAATGCATGGGAGAATTCCAAATAGCAAGAACAGCAAATTTGATTTTATATGAAGAATGTTGGCATGCACATGTACTTTTTTCATTTTCAAATTACCTCCTGTTGCCATGTATATGTACTGTGATTCGGAGCATTCCTTATAGCACTTCATATTTTTTCCTACATCTGGGAAAGATAGTTCTTTTACATTTTAGCAAAAGGGACATTACTGGTTATTAAATATACCGTGTGCCCCAGGATAGTTGGAATAATTTTCTATTTAATACTTAAACTTAGTTTCTCTAGCAGAGTTTTATTCATGTTAGATAGGGTTATTACCCCTTAGAGCATGTATTATGGCACATATGTCAATATTTTAATGTTTAAAAAAAACTTTTTTGTCTACACTGAAGACAACTTGTATACCAAGAATAAAGTTACAGTCCTAACCACATACTTGTTAAGTTCCTCTCACCAGGCTTTCAGTTACTGTGGCCAAGTGGGCACATGTCCCTTACTCTGCCTGCTGTGTGGGTTAGTGAGAATGGGGTGATAGCCATTCATAGCCTTCCTAAGGAGATAGCCAGTTCAGACCTTGGCCCCAGTCCCTGGGCTTTGGGAAGCCATCAAGGATCACGTACCTGGAGAGGAAGCATGAATGTGGGAGAGGGAATCCACGACAGATGATCTCACAGTGCTCGAGTTGGCTGCCTCCTTCACAGCTGCACTTACCCCCTCTCAAACATGCTCAGCATGCCTGCCACCTGCTGTGGCATCTTCCTCCCCTCCTTTCCCCTCAGAATTAGCTTTGATGATTACTGTACCCAGGTACCTTTTAACTACTTAGATTTGCTGAAGCAGCAGCCCTTGGCCAGAACCCATAGGCAAGACCACCCATGACGACCAAGTCAACTTAGACCTTGCTAGATCCATGAGATTAAAAACATAACAAGTGTACTAATGCAAGGCATTTGGCTGGTGAGTGAGGCAGTGCTGGGTCCCTTGTAACCCAAGGCAGGCCCACTTCTACTCTTGTGTCTGTTGCCCAGAAAGGCACAATCCACCCACCTTAGACAGGAACCGCCACTGACTGACTAAGAGTCCCGACGGTTTTCCATCACAGAACCACGTCCAAGAGACATCGGCTGATATATTTGCCACCCCCTTGTAGAACTTCTTTGGCCGAGCCAACTTTTGTGTAAAAGCCCAGAACTGGTACTAAGGACCAACCCTCACCTGTGTAACAGGCCATCCCCTGTACTGGACTAGTCTGAATTAGATTGTTCCACTGGAGCAGGGAAGAGGGAAACATGTATTTTGCCCCATGGCGTAGTCTGGACTTGCAGTAACTGTTGTAATGCCATGATTTTGAACTATATTAGGTATCTGGGTTGTTTTTTTTTTTTTTTTTAAAGTAAACAACCCCTAAGCAAAGTCAAAGCTCTGGAGCACACAATATCCATTATCTAAAATCTTTTCTGTTTTAATGAGAGTTGGTTTGTTTTCAGTATGATAGCTCCCATGTTAGGTTTTCTTGATTTGACTGCCTTGTGGCAGTCATTTGAACAGGCGTCTCCACAGCCCTGTACCTGAAGGCACTCTATAGACCAGGAGCAGCTGCATCAGCTTCGAGCTTATTAGAAATTCAGAATCTTGGACATGCCAAGTCAGAATCTGCCTTTTAGCAAGATCCCAAGTGATTCATGTGGACTTTAAAATTGGAGATGTTCTGCTCTTGCAGCCTTTCAGACAATAGCACCCTTAATGAATCATAAAATCCAGAGCTTTGAGGAAATTCAAGGCTTCCTAGGAGATTAATCTATACCCATGTCAAGTGCTGGCCCTAGCAGCCAAGTTCCATGACTTTTTATTAGACATGAACATCATTAGAGTTCATATGTGGTCATAAATCAAGCACTTGCATTTATAAATATTTCTGAAGTGGGAAAGTTTAGATAATGGGCTTTCAGTCTTCCTTTCTCTCTTTTTTAAAAAAATAGACTTTATTTTCTAGTATAGTTTTATATTCACGGCAATATTGAGAAGGCACAGGAATTTATCATATATTCCCTACCCCTCCACAGGCACAGCGTCCCCCACTATCAATAACCCCCACCAGAGTGGTGCATTTGTTACAATTGAATCTCCGTTGATATCATTGTCACCCAGAGTCCACTCCGATGATTTACATTAGAGGTCACTGCTGGTGTTGTATATCCTGTGGGTTTAGAAAAATTTATGACATGTGTCTGCCATTCCATAACTACTCATAGAATAATTTCACTGCCCAAAAAATTATCTGTGCTTCTCCTGTTTATCCCCTACTCTCTGCTAACCCCTGGCAACCATTGATTTTTTTTTTTACCGTCTCCATAGTTTTGCCTTTTCCAGAAGGTTATATAGTTGGAATCATACATTATGAAGCCTTTCCAGATTGGTTTCTGATTCACTTAGTAATATGCATTTAATTTCTTTCTTTTTCTTTTTTTGACACAGAGTTTTGCTCTTGTTGCCCAGGCTGGAGTGCAATGGTGCAATCTTGGCTCACTGCAACCTCTACCTTCCAGGCTCAAGCTATTCTCCTGCCTCAGCTTCCCAAGTCACTGGGATTACAGGCTCCTGCCACCATGCCCAGCTAATTTTGTATTTTTACTAGAGACGGGATTTCACCACATTGGTCAGGTTGGTCTCGAACTGCTGACCTCAGGTGATCCACCTGCCTTGGCCTCCCAAAGTGCTAGGATTACAGGTGTGAGCCCAGCCACATTTAATTTTCTTCCATGCCTTTTAATGGCTTGATAGCTCATTTCTTTTTAGTGCTAAGTAACATCCCATTGTCTGAATATACCACAGTTTATTTATTCATTCACCTATTGAAGGACGTCTGGGTTGCTTCCAAATTCTGGCAATGAATAAAGCTGCTGTACACATCTATGTTGTCTTTTCGATAGAAAAGATCAAAATAAAATATAAATTCGTTTTCATGTTAGAGGCTTTGTTGACTGGACATCAGATTCTGTTCTCCTTCGAATTCAGTTCTCTTCTGCTCGTAGATATTGATGAGTGTCAGAACGGCCCAGTGTGCCAGCGCAATGCCGAATGCATCAACACTGCGGGCAGCTACCGCTGCGACTGTAAGCCCGGCTACCGCTTCACTTCCACGGGACAGTGCAATGGTATGTAGCGCCCCGCAGGCTACACGTGCCCACCCATGAGTTTGTCTTCATGAAGCTTCAGGTATCTGGGTTTCTTTTCAGATAGTTAAGCTGAAGAAAATGTGAGTTAAGATTTAGATTACTGAACTCTAATAACTAAATTGGAAAAAGGGATATTGTCAAAATGGCTAAACACTTAGCTTTTTAATCCTCTGTCTAGAGGAGCTATTTTCAAACAGGAAGTAAATCATTTGCATAAATAGATTTCATATTTGCCTGTCTGCTGCCCTGCCTGCAGACACTCACCACTACACGTTACACACACACACACACACACACACACACACACACAATCATGCATACATACACTCCCCTAAGCAACATTTAGGACCAAATTTTTTTTTCTCCCACAGAATCCCTCTCAGAAAGGTGAGGTTTTCACCATTTTGGCTACATACCCCAAATCTAAACAGTGAAGCTCTCCTGAGCTGAGTCAGATTAATCTGCATAAACAGAACAAAACCATCGCTTTTCTTCCCAATCATCTTACAGGGAAAGAATCACTCACTGAAGGCTGCAAACGTCAACAACTTTTATTAGCTGTTTATTACCATGTCCCCTAGAGGTTAGATTTTTTGTTGTTCACTTTTGTCAGGGATGTGATAGAAATAAGAAGCGTGGTGGATTATCAAACTCAGTGCATGTTGAAGTGATTCAGCATCTGGTGGTATCTTGTAGCCAGTGATATAAAAATTTGAAAGACTGGTGTTTCATCCCAGAAGCAAAATAATTCCTCAGAATGATTTTCCTGTAAGTTTTTAAGTAATTCTGAACCATTGTGTATTTAGAAAAAAATCAGCGTATATTTAGCAAAGCAAATCATTGTATCTTAGGAAGAATGTGTTATTTTGCTCATGGTTCATTTCACAGGGGGTTTCCTGGATATTTTATGTATTTGTGAATGAAACAACACAGGGGAATGTGGTCAGATTTTTTTCTTGGATTTCCTTACCTACCAGTGATTAAGTGGTAGGAAGTGCACTGTTCTCTTTAGGGCATTTTGCATTGTTTTATGAGACCTTGGTGGGAAGAGGGTGTAATAGCCAAACAAAAAATCACATTGAGAATCAAGACTTGTTTTGTTGAGTTCAAAGGAACATGTGTAAGTATTTAGCATTTTGTCAACAGAGCTGTTGCTATCCATGTATTAATACAGGACAGGAAAAGTGGGGACGTCTCTGATATGAACCACAATACCCTAGTGAAACCTGGCATAATTACCACTTCCCTGCATTTTGCTCGTAATTTATATTTCTTTAGAAATGGATGAAGTAATTCCAGTCAAAATAAAGAATTGCTGATAATATAGAATGAGTCATTTCATACCATTTCACACTCAGGTAAGAAGTGGGACAGAGCTATTACTAGATCAAGATAAGACATTCAGCCATAACCTGCTGGGGCTGAAGCCCTTTACTGTTTTCTTGTAGAAGACTAACATACATTAAATGCACCCAGCTGTTAAGTGTTGTGTATATTTGCAGCCAAAAGCTTGATTTCCTTTATTCACTGAAAACCTCAGAAGGAAGGGAATGAACTTGAGTTTTGCAGCCATTCAGCCAGATAGGTTGAAGACTTCATTCTAGAAATGTCTTTATTTATGTCCTACTTTTAAAATATCTTTAGATGCTATTCTACACTTGGCATTTTTTCCAGGCATGCTGCAAAGTACTCCTTTTTGCCTCTGTTTAAAATGAAAATAACTAAAACTTTCTCTTCATCACGAGATCTTTATTTTAATTAATAAGCACATTATTTCAAACCTCAAATCACAGCTGGCCATAGCACCCACATCATTGCTGAGAGACCTGAGAGAACAATTAGATATCTGAGCTCAGGATGCTAGTCTGATAGCAGGAACTGGATAGTTAGAGCAAATGCAACCCCCTTCTGAAATGCCTTGCCCACCTAAAGACTGGTAACAGTTTCTTCCCAGCTACTTCCTCATGGTGACTTCTGTCTGCTGACTGGGTTTCTTTCCACAGTAGCCTGTTCAAACCTCCTATCCCAACCTCAAATATGATTTTCTAAGGGTTCAAATTCTGGTGCTTATAGGAACCTACATATCTGCTCTAGTTTTACCATTATAACTCCAAAATGCTCTCCATATTTCATTTTTCATATGAAAAATGAAGATGGCCTTATTTAAACCATCATGAAATAGGGCAGTAGATGAAAAGAAATTCCTAATTAGGGATCCCTTCCTAATACGATCCTTAAGACTCCCCATTACCTTGTGGAACCCAGACATAAGACTGACCTTGTCCCCTTCATATTTCCAGATCCAGTACTACCTGAAAGTGCCAAAGTTTTGGGCCAGCTGTGGTAGGACCTCAGATACATTCCTCAAGATCAAAAATCAGTTTCCTCTTCCTATACTGGGAAACAGTTTGCTCACTTTAAATTTATTTTCTCAAATGGGAATAATCATAATTCGTTAAATAGCATTTCTGCATAGGCTAGCAGTAGTTCCTAAGCTGCTGTATTCCAATTTCCCTTCATATTGATATACTCAACTTCACTTGGAACTTTTAAATGGTTTGGTGATTGATCTACTAAATACGAGTAGTCATAAAAATGGCAACCTGAACACATGAAATGGAGGAGATATTCATTATTCTGGGATAGACAGGGTTGCTCTGTGCTGCAAAAAGTGTCCATTCATGATTACTATGTTCTGAGTAGACAAGGCAGGCAAACAGCAAGTCTGGAGTATTCAACTAAGAGCAGAATGCCGTCTACCCTACAGCATCTGCAGCAAAGATGGCACTCCATTTGCTTTCTTCTGTGCAAAATCAGAATGGCACAGTGCTCTTCAAAGCACATTTACTCTAAACATAGAACTTAAAAAAATTAGAGACATAAGTAGGCATATAATTATGTCACTTGTGAATTCATGCATTAAATTCTGCCCCTCCGATAATCAGATTTCAGGAAAGCAACAAAGATTCAGTTGATTATAAACATAATTTAGAGCTTAAAGACTGGCAGAAGCAAGATGCGAAGGCTTCCTTTTGAATGGATGAGAATAAAAAGAGAGTGTTCAGGTTGTTACGTGCTAAGAGGAGCCCTGTATGTACGTGAATACTTGGTGAAGATGGAATAAAAAGTTACAGGAACAAGGCAAAACAAAGAGATGCAACTTGAACAGGGTGCTATGTGGGTTGTCCATCAAGAAAAACTTAATCTTAGCCATGGGATTTTACTTTGATATAAATTTCCAAAGGAAACCATGAACTATCCATGACTTGAGGCACCAAATCTTAACTAGACAAAATACTTCCATTAATTCCACAGTCTGTGGTGCTGTGTAGGCAGATAATCAAACAGAAAATCCTCCCAGCTTGAATTGTTTTCCCCATTTTACCTCTAAGTTATAAATATTCATCTTTTAGAATATGTTTTGATTACTTCCCCTTGTTTTTTTATTGTGTCATATATTGTTAACATACTCTGAATATGCCTGGTAAATGAGAGTAAGTTTTAATCCATTTTGATGCCAAAAAAAAAAAAAAATGTCTGTCACATTAACTTGGTTTAGAGCTAGGATTACTCCTGAGAACAATAGCTAGAAGTAAGTTATTCAATTATGGTGTGTCTTCTGAGTTCTCACTTCAGATGCTTTTTATTTACAGATCGTAATGAATGTCAAGAAATCCCCAACATATGCAGTCACGGGCAGTGCATTGACACGGTTGGAAGTTTTTATTGCCTTTGCCACACTGGTTTTAAAACAAATGCTGACCAAACCATGTGCTTGGGTAAGTATGCAATTATTATTATGTTTTTTCATATGTTACTGAAAACTTCATTTGATCTAAATATGGATAAAATTTAATACTAAGCCTTTTAGTAGTAGTTTTGCTATCTACAAAATAAAAACATGGGCAGGTATGCAGCAGTGATATCCTATTTAATCTTTGGCAATCTGAACATGATAAACTTCTTCCTTGTTCATTTGCCTGTCAATTAAGAAAACCTTGACTAAGGGATAAATTGAAAAAGACATTAATACAAAAAATTATTTTTTATTAATGTTAATAGACTGATTCGTATGTAATGTTGTTGTAGACTTCCTTTTGAGTTCAGCTTTTGAGTGTGAGATGAGCATTTTTTCCAGAGGGGTTTGGCTGTAGTGTGTACCAGATCCTCAAAGGCAAATTTATATATTTTACAAAGGCAAAGAAAAGTTACTCATTTTTCTAGAGGAAAAGAGCTCAGGATTTTTAATCTCTTCTGATTTCTCTAGTGTCAGGATGTTGATTTAGAAAACTTCTGTGTATAATTATTCCTCTTCTCCTTTTCCTTCCTTTCTTTTTCTACTTTAAAGCAATACCATTAAGTCTTTTGGGGACATTAAGAACATGAATTAGATTCATGGCTGAAAGAACAATTAATATAGTAATGTTTAAAGTCCTTGACTTTGGCTGTAAATGGGTTCATCCATTTGGGAATGTTCTCATAAAGTTGTATCTTCTCCAGAGTGATGACATGTTTTAAATGACAGGAGCATTGACAGCCCTGCTCATTACTGGGCAGGTAACCTGTGCAAAAACCGTGATGACCCTGCCCAACTTTCTTTCTACTTCTCTCATCTGAATTTTCTGGAACCTCCTCACATAGAACCTCCCCTACCAAAGACCTTCACCAGTTTGGCTAAGAATGAATCAAGGCAGCAATTCTTGATTGCTAGCAATGACTCAACTGGGTGTAGTCTTCAGCCACACACACACAGACACATTAGAGTCCCTTTGGGTTGGCAATAGCTTCCTGATTCAGGGATCACGGATAATTTATCTTCATGTCCAGAATGTGAAAAGAAAGGAAATTCCAGCTCTCTTCATTACATTCTGCTATTCTCTGTTGTTACCTTCCTGTCTCTCTCTCTCTCCCTTCATCCTTGTCCCTCCTCATGGTGCCTCATTCTTTCAAACCAGCAGTTACAACTTTCTTTCATTAAATATTTTGCTTACATCCTCCTTAATATAATGTGCACCTACTCTTTATAAGAAATATGCCAGCTTCTGTGATAAGATACAAGGAGATATATAGCCTTATAAAACTGTCAGAGAAAAGTACAGACCAATCAAAAGATGAACAAGAATGCAAGCATGTATGAGAAGAACAAAGTAAGTGCCATCCCGTTGGGGTAGTTTAGAAGAGAGAGAGAAGTCATCATTGGTGGAAGTGGTCCTGTGTTTTTAGCGGCGTAGGGAAAAGGAAAAGTTGTCTGAAATGACAGGTGAGCTGGAAAGCTGAGTTATTTTGTTGCTGATTGTGGGGTAAGGCCAGGTGAGTCACTGCTTTTTGGTAAATTGGAGTGAGAATCTTAAAGGTTGAAGTTTGCCAAAGGTGAAAACACCTCGAGACCCAGATGCACACAGAGTTTTTTCCATTTTCAAGTGAAAATATTTGAGAAAAGCGGCAAGGGTGGAGAATTCTAGAAGTAAATAGAATAAAATAATTCTTGTTCAGGTCTCATGTCCTTAGCTTGCCTCCTTTCACTGGCCAGCCAAGGAAATCGTTTATTCCCAAGGTTTAGAGTTTGCCTCTGCGTGGTTTCTTGCAGGGATGACTGCTGCTGGAGCGGATACCAACATCAAGAAGTTCTCAGCCTAGAGATGAGGCTTTCGGAACCCTAAAATGCTCTTTAGCCACTGCAACCATGTAACCACTTTTTGTATTTATAATTATGTTTTTTTTATGGCTTTTCTTCCTACTAGACATAAATGAATGTGAAAGAGATGCCTGTGGGAACGGAACTTGCCGGAACACAATTGGTTCCTTCAACTGCCGCTGCAATCATGGTTTCATCCTGTCTCACAACAATGACTGCATAGGTGCGTGCGCAAAATTGTGCATCAGCAAAGGAAGTCAGTTTTATATATGTTCTTTGTAATTAGCATCGTCTCTAGTGCTCTAGCTGTCTTTCAAAAATATATGCTATCTTATGCATAACAATTGGTAACAGGACTTGTCTCTCCTTATCCTTGAGGGATACTTTCTGAGACCCCCTGCGGATGCCTGAAACCACAGATAGTACTGAACCCTTTATATATCATGTTTTTTTTCTATACATACATACCTAGACTAAAGTTTAATTTATAAATTAGGCATGGTAAGAGATTAACATCAATAACTAATAAGAAAATAGAACAATTATAAGAATATATTATAAAAGTTATGTGAATGCATTTTCTTGCTCTCAATCTCTCTCTCTCTCTCTCAACATATTTTATTGTGCTATACTCAGCTGTTTTGGGATCACTGTTGACCTTGGGTAACGGAATCCCCAGAAAGCAAAACCATAGATAAGGGGGAACCACTGTAACTATATCCATTACTTTTACTAAAATGCTCATTAGCAGCTATAATAATTTTTACACTTTGCTGCAAATCAAATTAATATTTAAATTTTTATACTTTGCTGTAAAAAATTAATTTACAGCAAAGTATAAAAATTATAGCTGCTAATGAGTGTTACAGTATACTTTGCTGTAAATTAAATATATTTAAAAATAAATGGAATGAGATTCTTAAAAATTTTTAGCTGGACTTGGTTGGGCGCGGTGGCTCAAGCCTGTAATCCCAGCACTTTGGGAGGCCGAGGCGGGTGGATCACAAGGTCGAGAGATCGAGACCAACCTGGTCAACATGGTGAAACCCCGTCTCTACTAAAAATACAAAAAATTAGCTGGGCATGGTGGCGCGTGCCTATAATCCCAGCTACTCAGGAGGCTGAGGCAGGAGAATTGCCTGAACCCAGGAGGCGGAGGTTGCGGTGAGCCGAGATCGCGCCATTGCACTCCAGCCTGGGTAACAAGAGCAAAACTCCGTTTCAAAAAAAAAAAAAAAATTTTTAAATATACAAAAGTGATTCTTTGTATAGAATTATATGATTCAGGAATATGAACCTTCTGGTCTAGATGTTTTGCTGCAGCCTCTCTTAAATAAATCATGGAATCTACAAAATCTCCCTTCTAAAACATATTTAAAACCCAAATTTTTAAATTTTATTGTACTATAGGCTAATTTAAATATTTCTAATTGCAAGAATACAAAATAATGCCCCCAGCTGTATTGTGTACTAGGATTTTATTTTTTAAATCTAAAAAATTTTTAAATCTAAAACAAAAATAAAATCTTAAGGAAAATCAAGGTAAAACAGATATGAAATGTAAATGTAAATTGTCATGTAAATTTAAATATAATAATGTAATCTTATTGTTAAATGTGCATAGGTGCTTAAAGCCAGTTCTGTTGCTGCCAACTAGATCTTCATTGGAATTTCTTGTTTGGCTAAGCCAAGAAAGGCCACTAGAATTCAGAAAAAAGTATCTTTTCCTTTAAAAGTTTTGATTATTGCTGGGATTATGACATCTTTGGAATATATTAAGGGATTGTTGGGGTTTTTTCTGCAGATGTTGATGAATGTGCAAGTGGAAACGGGAATCTTTGCAGAAATGGCCAATGCATTAATACAGTTGGCTCTTTCCAGTGTCAGTGCAATGATGGCTATGAGGTGGCTCCAGATGGGAGGACCTGTGTGGGTAAGTACAGGGCTTGGAAAGACCTGGAAAGAATGCTTCCAGAGACCAATCAGTGAATCATGCAGTCTGTATTCTAATGCTGCTTTCTGGAAACCTGGAGGAAAAGTCAAAATAGAATTATATTAATCCTCCCTATAAAGGCTTTGTTTTTATTTAAACATATATACATGTAAGTGTGTGTGTGTGTGTGTGTGTGTGTCTGTGTGTGTATAATCACTTTTTCCTTTATTTTTAAAATTAATCTATTGTACTCACAGAGAATACTGTTAAACAGTAAAATTGTTAAATTGCTCTGTAAGCAATTATGATTTCCCTTCTTATGTTTTTTTCTTTAAAATACTTTTGTAAGCTCTCATATATTTTGGGTATCCTTAAAATCTTTATATACTCACTCTGACATGCTACAATTTTCTGGAAATATTTAATTTGTGGCAGGTAAAATAAAATATGGTGTTATTCTGTATACTTTTGAAAGCTGGTAAAGCTTGTTTTTATTGTCACTTATTTTTCTTCATGGTGGAATTTTATGAACTTTAATTTGCTTTCTGTATTTCTTTGATTTATTCTAGTTTGTTTTTCAATTTTAATTGTTTGATGGAAGTCATGCCAGTGGGAACCTCTTCTTTTTCCCTTTTCTTTGCAGATATCAATGAATGTCTTCTAGAACCAGGAAAATGTGCACCAGGTACCTGTCAAAACTTGGATGGGTCCTACAGATGCATTTGTCCACCTGGATACAGTCTGCAAAATGACAAGTGCGAAGGTAGGAAAGCTATCAATGTTAGCAAATGAGGAGTATCGGGAACCTCACCAGACTTACCAAAATGAGAGTTTTTGTGATGATGTCTTCATTTTGGAATACTTTATCAGAAACAAATCCAAGGGCGTAGGGCATGACATTGTCTCATCCTTCTGGCAAGACAGGAAGCACTAATTCTTATGCTAATCTCTAATGAAGTTGTTTTGCTCTGTGCATATGACCGATCATACGATCCTGAGTCTTTTTCACTGTGCTTTTACACAGTTGGTAAGAATGCTGTGTCCCACTTCTGTTAGATTTTTTTTTTTTTTAAATGGCAATCCTTTGCGACTAAAAAAGCTCCTGATTCCAGTTAAAATCTTTAAATGACCACATTCAAGGTTGGATGAATGTAGTTATATCATTTGTCTATTTTGTTTTTACCTATAGAGCAGTGGAAATGTGTTATTTGAAATAAATTCTCAGCAAGTTTTATAGTATTTCTTTTTTTAAAAAATAGAGATAGGATCTTACTCTGTCACCAGGTTGGAGTAGAGTGGCACAAGCATAGCTCACTGTAACCTTGAACTTCTGTTCAGGTGACCCTCCTGTCTCAGCCTCTGGAGTAGCTGGGACTACAGGCATGTGCCACCATACCTGGCTGATTTTTTTACTTCTTTGTAGACATGGGGCCTCTCTATGTTGCCAGGCTGGTCTCAAACTCCTGGCTTCAAATGATCCTCACTCCTTAGTCTCCAAAGGGCATTCCTTTAAGTTCAACAAATATGTCATAGCATTAAGTGAAGAATATTAATTGCTAGAATTTCATAAATAAGTAAGGTTGAAAGGATTTTCAAGAAGTCACCTAGTTCACGCCCCTGACTTTAAAAAGGTCTGCATCTAATCCACAATGGGAATGTTCTCTATTTTTAATATCATCAGTTAGAAATTTTATTATATATCCAATTTAAATAACCAAGTGGTGATATTTTAAATGGAAACACCTTACTGAAATTGTCTAGATGCAAATTTTTAAGCATGTTATTTTACTTTTATTAAAAATTTACTCTATTATCAGTGCATAAGTTCCCTAAAATGGACAGAATTAAGATAAAAAGAAAGAAAAATGACTGCACAGTCAGTCAATGAATGTGCCTATTCTACAATATTTGGCCCTATCCCAATAAGTTGGCACATAGAGGCTAATATCTACCATAACAGAAATGGTCATAGTAATAATAATTAAAAACAACCCCCCAAAATTGAGCATTTCTACAAATGTTAACTTTTCTATTAAGAAAAGGTTGAGTATGGGGGTGGAAGGAGTGTCAGAATGGAGTAATTCAATCATCAGTAGTAGCTCAGATTCATTAATAAACCACAGGGAACATGACACAGGTGTAAACGCAACCCAATAACCTGGCATGATAAAGCAGCTGATTTTGCATTGCACAGAAAGAAAATCACTTGGCATTGCACATTTGTAGAATATATATTGTGTGGTATTTACAAAAGTAAATCAAGATTAGAGTTAATTTCTCAACTTTTCCTTAGTTGGGCCTCTTGGGAACGAATTGTATAATGCAAACACATTTTGGTGTGGGTAGAAACCTTTGCACAAATGTGAAAATAAAGAGCCCCAGGATACAAGGATATTTGATGTTTCGTTGAAAAAAAAAAAAAATCCCATAAAAGTAGCATGGCTTGGCCAGGTGCGGTGGGTGGCTCACACTTGTAATCCCAGCACTTTGGGAGACCAGAGTGGGCAGATCACAAGGTCAGGAGTTCGAGACCAGCTTGACCAACTTGGTGAGACCCTATCTCTAGTAAAAATACAAAAATTAGCCAGGCGTAGTGGTGCATGCCTGTAATCCCAACTACTCAGGAGGCTGAGGCGGGAGAATCACTTCAACCTGGGAAGCAAAGGTTGTAGTGAGCTGAGATCACACCATTGCACTTGATCCTGGGCAACAGAGGGAGACTCTGTCCCAATAATAATAATAATAATAATAATAATAATTATTATTATTATTATTATTAAAAGTAGCATGGCTCAAAATTAAGACTTAACACTTTGTTCACTACAAATTCCTGCTGAAAGTCAGGAGGAAAGATGAGTGAGTTTGAGTTTGGAGTAAAGTGGACATACTTTTTCCATAGGTAGAGTAATCATATTGACCAAACCAAGCCAATTCTGAAAGTAGAAAAGGGCACTATTAACAATAAAGTCAGGCCAACTGCCATAAGCTGGGGCTGTCTCACGCAAACTAGGACATATGGTTACTCAAGCCATTCAAACTTGATGTTGGCTACTCTTAACTATCCCTGTACAGGAGCTAAGATGTATAATATACTAAAGAAAACATGCCACAATCCTAAGTGTACCAGTTTCCTATTATCTATATGATGCAAGAAAAAGCCTGTACAAGAAAGCTGTTTTTCTGTCTTTAGAGAGATTGACCCACAGATCAGTTAGGAGCCTCATCGTCTCTGATATCTGTAGTTTGCACTTCACAGGATTATATTTACTGTCATGAGTCTTGCTGTTCTTGTAAAATTCAGTTTCAGGGCTCTTGCATGGGGTATTGGGAAGAGTTCTGTGGATGGTTGGAGGGGAATCAATTTGGTTCCAAGGCCTAGATCTCACATTGAGTAACTCATTATCAATGTGCTTAAAGTCTCAGAACAATGGTGCAGTATGACTCAACAGTTTCGTGCTTCTTTCCTGGCCTAGGGTGGTATTAAATAACTCTGACTTTTCTAGTTAGCTAGGCAACTCAGTCTGGATGAGAGAGGTTTGTCACTGCACCCCTTAGAAGGCAGTTGCACATTCTATTTTTATGTCAATAATTGTCAAAACTAATTTTTTAAAAGTCATGACAACCTAGAAGTGCAGTCCACAGCATTACGGTACAGAAAAATACCTTCATTATTGTAAGAGTCTGGAAACTCGGTTGCCCATTGTACATCCACGTTGTGTATTTGGTACCTGATGGTGTCTCCATCATGTTTTGACTTTGTTTGACTCATGTGATTCTTTTAGATATTGATGAGTGTGTTGAAGAGCCAGAAATTTGTGCCCTGGGCACATGCAGTAACACTGAAGGCAGCTTCAAATGTCTGTGTCCAGAAGGGTTTTCCTTGTCCTCCACTGGAAGAAGGTGCCAAGGTAAGTGTCTTTGAAGACTTCGGGGTTTCATTGCTCCATGTTAATTTGTTGTGGTCTCATTTTTCAAACATGGCAAAGCTCTGTTTCTTTGTGAACGAGAAGATGCAGAGTTTTTAGGTCTAATGATAACCATATGTCAGAAGGTTCATTTTCACGTTTAAGGTTAAAAACTCATCCATCAAGTTACGGTTGCTTATACAACTGTACTGACACTTAAACCTCTCTCTCCCACTGAGAACACAAATGCTGATAGGCCCATCAGTGACAAAGCACCTTGAGCCACTGAAACAGCAAAGCCTGGGGGAAGCTGAGCTACATATCTCCTACCTCTGAAGAGATAAGCTGAAAAATATGGGTTCAAACTTAGACTTGAGACTGAAAAACTGCAAATTAACCCATCTGCTTCTAGGATGTGGTACCCATCCCTTATATCACAAATTCTCCAAGAAAACAAAAATAAATTTAAACTGACCTAGGATTCTTGCTGGGCCATGGTCCATTTTTAGGAATAATACTTGTCAACTGTTTCAGTAAAGATTTTCAAGGGTTTGTCAGCTGACTTTCCCAATTCAAACAGAAATGAAAAGGATCCTGAGCTTCAGCATAACACAGCGTGTGCTTACGTCAGCAAACTGTTTAGACTTTTCTAAACAGTGCAATTATGTATGGTTGTCTACATACACAAGCGATTTTCATGAATTCTAGTGGAGGGAGATGAAACAAACACACTGTATTTCTCTTTTTTTCACCTGTATCTTCTGTTGTTTGGTTGTTACTGTTGTTTTGGTGTTGAGTTGGGGTTTTCTGGTTGTGGTTTTTTTTTTTTTCATGGTTTTTTGTTTTTGCTTTCACGTTACCAAATATGGAAGAGGCACTAGGTATCATTTAAGATTCCAAATATTGGGTTTAGGGTCCCAGCCCTGCCATATGTAGCCTAGGGCAAGGTATTTAATCTTTTGGAAGCTCAATTTCCTCATTTTAAGCAATATCTGCCCAACCAGTCTTACTGAATATGTGAGAAAGCTTTGCTAGTTTCTGAGTCCTTTGTAGACTCTTGTTGTTATTCTAATGGTCTGAGTAACTTTTTACTTTTCGACTAATTATTTTGGAAGTAAGAAGGAGAGCAGGTTGGGAATTCTCCAGTTGATTTCAGGTTGTTGGTAGTTGTCAGTGGTCTGCGTGGATTTCAGGGTGCTGCTTCATTCGAACAAATATTCTGTGTGGTTCAGACCAGCCGGATAAATTCTAACTCTTACTCCCTTGTTTTTGTGTGCCTTTGGCTCGGCCTGAAATTGGAAAGAAAGCAGTGAGAAACCAGGTGTGAATCTGCCGATGTGGCAGGCCAGAGGAAACTCCTAGGCTATTAATTCAATTTGCACTGGCCCATCACAGAGCAAGCTAGCACTGCAGGAAGAATCAGCCCAGCTGTGAGCAGCCCAGCCACATGCTCAGCTCCAGGAGGCAGAGCCAGAACTGAGGAATGCAAGCAGGGAAAGTGACTTTTGTAGCTCTGATGAAATTTCGAGGTCATTAAGGGCTATTTGCGGATGGACTGGTAAACAGGCATCCCAGCGAGCCCTCGTTAAAATATGTGGGCGAGTACAGCTCTCTTTCCCAACGTGAGGCTCCTTTGATTAATAAACCAATCTAGAGAGTCACCACAAGCTAAAGTAAACCTCTTACAGAGCACAGATTTTGCTAGAGCCAGGTCATTGAGAGCTGCGTTTTTCTTTTAAGATGACAAATTAGGAGTCAGACTTCTATCACCCATGAACTGAGAAAATTCCACAAAACTATGGATAATGTTTTTTTTTTTTTTTTTTTTTTTTTTTTTTGAGACGGAGTTTTGCTCTTGTTACCCAGGCTGGAGTGCAATGGCGCGATCTCGGCTCACTGCAACCTCCGCCTCCTGGGTTCAGGCAATTCTCCTGCCTCAGCCTCCTGAGTAGCTGGGATTACAGGCACACGCCACCATGCCCAGCTGATTTTTTGTATTTTTAGTAGAGACGGGGTTTCACCATGTCGACCAGGATGGTCTCGAACTCTCGACCTCGTGATCCACCCGCCTCGGCCTCCCAAAGTGCTGGGATTACAGGCTTGAGCCACCGCGCCCGGCGGATAATGTTTTTTAAAAAATGAATGTCATGGGAGTCTGGTGGACAGATCCTGCCACTAAAGTTCACAGGTGTAATTGAGCCACTCCCACTTGAAAAGTTCAGTGAAGGGAATTTGCCGCTTAGGCTGACTCAAAACTTCATGCGTTTGAGTCTCTGTCTAATGCCAAGATTTCTTCTTTCAGGGTGGAGTGGAGTGGTGTAGGGGAGATAGAACTGGGGTCTGGGATGAGGTCAGCGATTAAAGGAAAAGAGAATGAGAATTTTAACACACCAATATTAGAATATACATATTTAAAGAAACACTACAAACGGGAAGACAAAGCAGAGAGTTAAGTTTTCATATATGTGTTGAGACGTTTTTGTGAGTAGTCACTGAATTATATCTTAAGGTAGTCGGAGGCATAAATAATAAAAAGACTGATAAATACAAAACATTATATGTGACAAAGAACTTGAAGAATAAAAGAGATCCAAAGGTGTTCTCCAAGGAATGAGAATTTGTTCCATCTTGAAGTTTCTCAGCAAAGCAAATATTTGGGTGGCAGAGATGCTGCAGGACAAGAACTGACTTTTATTGCTTTTGATCTTCAGAAGGATAATCATTGAAAGGTGCTTGCCAAGTCTTAGCCACAACAGATGGGGATGTGGAATAGAAATAGGAGAGATTATTTGGATGAGTTGGTAGCCATGAAAGACTGAGCAACTTCACTGGGGAGGCTACCTGAACTTGATTAACTAATATGATTGATTAATGATTGATTGATTGATTGATTTAAAACTTTAGTTCATGCAAACCTTTTCTTTATCATCTCTGGCACTCTGTTATTCCTACATTGTCGTCTTTGTCATGAAATAAAATTGTTTTGACAGAAGTGCTTAGGTGGTTATGATAGTATGCTTTCTAGGGTTGAAAAACAGTGATGGAAGTGAGTGAAAAAGACAGAGGTGGTCAGATATAAAGAAAGAAGAATAGTACAATATGGGTTTGAAAGCATTTCTTTTGAATCTGAAGATTGTGGCCTCTGTGTAATGAGAGGAGTTTTGCGAGGCTTTGAGAAGTCAAGTTTGAGGAAAAACATATTCCATACCTCTGGATGAGCTCACTCTCATTTAGAGTCACCCAGTTTGTTCTGTAAGAAATGGAAAAGCCCGCTTCCAAAATTGTGTCAAGCAGTGTTGGAGAATTTTGTAGGCAGTAGATCCTATCTTTTTTGGGGAGGGAGTCATCAAGCAATAATCAATATTGAAATAGATTCTTTCAAAGACAGACTTCTCCCACCCATCCACAGCCCTGCCCTCCTCTTTCTCTGTGTTGAGCTAAAAAAGCTTCTTTTAAAAATTTAACATTGACACAGCTCTGTGTATGTATGTGTGTTTGTGTGTGTAAAATCTGCAAAAAGTCCCACTTGGATTTTGTAGCCAGCATCTCTAAAAGTATCTGCTTCACTGACCAACCCTTGTGTTGTATATTTGCCCATCTACAAAGTTGCCACTTCTGTATTTGCTCTGTGCCTGTGATCTGGGATTTTATTTTGGTTCCAGAGTTTAGGGGACACAGAATAAACAACAAAGTGTGATATCACAGTACATATTATAACTAAGAGTGTTCTCTTACTCTAGTGTGCTCACTAAGCATGATCTTGCAAACAGAGCTCTCAATGAAGGAATCTTTCAAATGATTCCATCTGTGGATTTTCCAATCCTGAAGTCACTGACAGGTGTCAGTTTTGAAAACTGCCAGTTTGGGATTTTATTGGATTCAAAGCAGGTAACTTTGAAATAGTGACTAAAATGAGTAACACATTTAAGGTTATGGGGTTGTTCATCAGATCTCACTATACAAAAGATGCCCATTAATTTAACAATCTCAGCTCAGTTGCTATTATAATCACATAAGGAGAACACATATAATATAGTGGGTTGTTCTTTATTCATTATCGTACAATAAAGACTCAGTAGGAAAGCAATTGAAGGTTGTCATAAATTTATGCTGCAGATTTGCGAATGAGCTACTGTTACGCAAAGTTTGAAGGAGGAAAGTGTTCATCACCCAAATCCAGAAATCACTCCAAGCAGGAATGCTGCTGTGCATTGAAGGGAGAAGGCTGGGGAGACCCCTGCGAACTGTGCCCCACTGAACCTGATGGTATGTCTGTCATCTGCATTTCTCTTTGGGCCATCCAAAGTGCAGACTGGCCACGCTATAAGTAAGATAGTAGGCCTTAAAGACAGTAAGACCGTTTAATTTAATTGTAAGTCTAATTAGAATGTTCATTAAAATTATTTTATCTCAGGAGCTCGGTAGTAATTTTCTTTTTAATTAAGTCATGAATCATCGATGCCCAAGGAGTAGGCACAACATCTTAGGGAGTCTTGTTAACTTCCTCTGTTTTCTGGGCTTGTATTGTCCGTCGTTTATCAGTATGCACAGCATGTGGCAATTTGGCTGCCTCAAAATGCTTACGGAGAAGCTGGTAATGAATTGCTATTGTTGTATCTATTAATGAGTGTCTCCACCACAGAGGCCTTCCGCCAGATCTGTCCTTACGGAAGTGGGATCATCGTGGGACCTGATGATTCAGCAGTTGGTCAGTTGCCTGTGCTGGATTCTCAGCATTTCTCAGTATTCTCAATCAGCTTCTTCTTCAGTTATTCTTATTTCTCTCCATCTATCTTGGAAAATGAAGTGTTACTGTTTTATCACTTGATTATATATTAATATTATTGCATTATAATAGTAGATATTCTATTGATTAAACACTGAAATGATCATAGTTTATCTTTGTGTTTCCAAAATACCTTGTTATTCACTATTTTTTTTTTCTTGCTTAAGATATGGATGAATGCAAAGAACCCGATGTCTGTAAACATGGACAGTGCATCAATACAGATGGCTCCTATCGCTGCGAATGTCCCTTTGGTTATATTCTAGCAGGGAATGAATGTGTGGGTGAGTAATAAGTTCTCTTCCATTGGAATTTTACAAATTAGAAATTAAGCTATACAGCATTCACTGTGTAGCCATGAATATAGGTACCAAGATGGCACTGAAGTAAGTTTTATCCATCCACTGATGTATCATTCATTTAAAATACTAGTGAGCCACCATCAGGAGCCAGGCACTGTGCAGGCTCTGGAGCTGCAGCACTGAACCAAGAAGACAAGTTCCTTCCTTGCATGGGCCTTACAGTTTAATGGGGAAGGCAGACACTTGACATGTCATAAGAAATAGAAAAGACAACATCATAATGAAAGTCTTGGTGAAAATTTTAAAAAAATTGTTAATGGTCATAGTCTCATTCCATTACTAAATAAGAATTTTATCTGGATTCTTTACATTTAGTAACATGAAAGTTATATCCCCAGTATACAGTCTTCTTGTAACTGTTTTTAAAATGTCAAATAATGGCTCCAATAGCTGGCCTTTGACCCTTAATCAACACTAACTTAAGTTAAATCCAAGTATGATATTTAGTTATGTAAGAACAGCAAAGCAATTCAGTATAACCTAATTAATACTAGCACAAATGCTGAGAATGTGTCTGTGTGAGTTAGGAAGTACTCTTTCCATACAAGAAATCAGGTCATGAAGATTTCAGCTCCAGTTCTGGCTGTGGGAGTTTAAGCAAGATTTTTAGCTTTTTTAGGCCTTAGAGAGTAATATGCAGGTAAAATAACATTTCTAATTACCTTTGTAGCTCTAAAGATCAGTGATACTGGGATTTTTTATTACCTTGAAAGAGAAATAATATTCTTGATAGTGCATTGTGATTTAATATGACAGTAAAGCAAAAGCAAATTTTCAATGTTTTCTTCTTGGACTCTTCAGTTCATGCTAATATGTGCATACGAAATAAGCCTCTTCACCTAGGAGCGCCCACCTTAGGCTCTTGCCTCCCCTTTTGACTTAAGAACCTCAGCAGAAGATACAACCCTTGACAAGAGCCACTACTCTTCTGTGCCTTAGATAGCTCAAATGTCAATGTTATTTCTCAAAATTATTTCTTTGCCAAGGGGTGATATTCTCCCCAAAGGATGTGTCAGAATAAGAACAGTGAGTATTGTAAGTGGATGGGTTAGAAGGCGTGTGTGTCTGTGTCTGTCTGTCTTTGGTAAGACTTGTTCTCTCTGCTTGTGTTTTAGAGTGATCATAACCTAAATATACATTTTCTAGACATTCCTCTGCCTAATTTAAACCATCTGGGTTCAAGAGAATCAACAAAATCTACTTGAATCTTGATTTTATTCAATGTATTAATTTTACTTAACCTCTGGTCTTTTGTTTAAGTTTAGTCTCTTATTTTATATCTGGCAAAAATCCATCATGTTTAAGGCTTCTTGGGGAGTGATGTAATGTAAGGCCAAACTGGAGATGTATTTCTAGTTTTAAACAAGCTGAAACTTTTGATGGGTTGTAGGAGGCTTTTTTTTTTTTAACCCTTAGAGCATCTGCTCCAAGTAGAAGATTTAGCTTATAATGTGGGAGACTGGGGAAACCCGGGGAGAAGAGCACTGTAAGGGCTAGATGTCCAGGCACCTCCATCCTCACTGTCATTGTCACTGAGCAAGCCAAATTTCAAGGCTGTAAACCTGAGATAATAAGACATGCACACCCCTTTGTTGCAAGAACAGAATGAAAATTAAACATTATATACATTAAGCTGGGCATAGTGGCTCATACCTGTAATCCCAGCACTTTGGGAGGCTGAGGTGGGTGGATTGCTTGAAGTCAGGAGTTTGAGACCAGCCTGGCCAACATGGCAAAACCCCATGTCTATTAAAAATAACAAAAATTACCTGGACGTGGTGGTGTGCACTTCTAATTCCATCTACTCAGGAGGCTGAGGCATGAGAATTGCTTGAACCTGAGAGGCAGGGGTTACAGTGAGCCAAGATCATGCCTCTCCACTCCATCCTGGATGATGGTGGTGAGACTCTGTCTCAAAAAAAAAAAATTACAGTTCAAAATACTCTGATAGGATGAAAGGTATTATCTCAGTTCATGGTGTTTTGGACGTACTTGGTTGCTTACAGATACTGATGAATGTTCCGTGGGCAATCCTTGTGGAAATGGAACCTGCAAGAATGTGATTGGAGGTTTCGAATGCACCTGTGAGGAGGGATTTGAGCCGGGCCCAATGATGACATGTGAAGGTACGTCTCTTAAACGAGAACAGTTGATTACATGTACTGATCATGGGAACAGTTAGTTGATTACAAGTCTTAATATTAAATACTACTGAGGGTGTATGTAATAAAGATCATCTAGGCCTGATGGGCCATTTGATCATTCTTCTTTTGTGGCCTCTTCTCTGCAGGGAAAGGGAGATATACAAGAAAGATGTGGCTGTGTGTTCATGGCGCATGCATCCACACTGTATCTCAGAGAGTTCTTGTTGGTGTCTCCCTGCTAGTTATATTTAGATGCCCCTGTGTTGTTTACTACCTTCTTTCTTATTCTCACTTTCCTCTTCTGTTTGTCTCTCATGCTCCCTTTTTCTTTTTTTCTCTTCTGTTTCTAGAAGCACTGCACACTGAGATAAGCACCAACATCCTGTGGCCATCTGGAGGCAGTCACAGCAAAAGCGGGTGCCTATACTATATAAGCATCTGAAAAGTGTCCATCCGTAAGCCTGGTAGAATGTATAGGAAGAAGAAAAGGGGAGGAAGTGTCTAGAGCAGTGGCTCTCAAACGGTGGTTCCCAAGAGCAGCTGTATCGGCATCACCTGGGAACTTACTAGAAATGGACATTTTCAGGTCTCATCCAAGACCTCCTAAATCAGAAACTCGGAGAGTAGGGTGGGGCTCAGCAGCCTTCTAGGTGATCTGATATACTCTCAAGTAGGGATTCACTGGCCTAAGGAAAGAATGAAGGAGAAGTAAAGGCAGAGAATAAAGTTGGTGCAAAGAGTTCTTCCGCAGATATGACCCATCCATGCCCATTGTCAGAGCTGTGGTAAATCTGTAAATGTTGTGACTAAGTCATGATCTGGGCTCTCACTCATGTTCTCAGTCAGCACTGGGCTTCGGGAGCAACATGATAGTTGAGATGGTCTATTTTAACCCTGCTTTTCCAAAACACATTCTGATGGTTCCAAACTCCGCATTCCACAGAAATAACTTTTTTTTTTTTTCCATTAACGGTAAACTCATTCTCATCTATTTAAGGTTTCAACATGGACATCTGTGTAAACCAAGTGTCTCCGTCAGTATAAAATGATCTGTAACACTATTTGCTTGGGCAGAAGAACTGCTGTTATTTCACAGGAGCCTCTTTGTTTCGGGGGAGAGAGGTGGTGTAAAAATATTGGAGGAGTTGGTTTCTGTTCTGCCCACAGTTGTTTTGGCGGAATGGGAGAAAACGGATTCCCGTGACATATCACTGTAGGGAGTGGCAAATGGTCAACCTGAGCTTTCCAAGCCAGAATTTCAGAAAAGTCCCTCATATGTAGAGTGGCCTGTAGTTTCCCATCCACTTAAATAATCATTAATAATTATACCAGGATAAGAAACATAAACTAGGACTGTGCTTGGAGAACCAGGGTGGATGGTCACTCTACTTATACAACTATGAAATAATCAACCCTTTTGTAATTGCCTGGAAATAGACCTCTTTATGCATCCACATTTATGACAATGAAGCATTGCAACTGTTGATGACAGTTTGAGTTTTAGTTCAATTGATAGGTTTCCTTTTGTTCCTGTCCATGATCCCTTATTTTCTTTCTTCTGTTGCAGATATAAATGAATGTGCCCAGAATCCTCTGCTCTGTGCCTTCCGATGTGTGAACACTTACGGATCATATGAATGCAAATGTCCTGTGGGATATGTTCTCAGAGAAGACCGTAGGATGTGCAAAGGTGAGTCATCGTGTTCAAGGTCATCTAAGCCAGGAAACTCAAACTGTGAGGGGAGATGTCCCTCAGAGCTTCCGTTAGTAGGGGAGGGCTGGGAATTGGGGAATATAAATAGTCCATGGGACAATATGGGGGTCGTCACTGCCATGTTTTCCCCTAAATCGTAGCTGGAAGCATCATCAAGCCAAGCTGACTGCACTGCAGATCCTTTATTAGGTCTCACTGTGCATTGCATACTCACAACATGCTGGTGTTTCTGCAGGATGTGGGAATATAAAGAAAAAGACATTGCCCCACATTCAAAAAACCCAATATGAAGAAACAGATAGATACAAATAAGGTATCATAATACAGTGTGATAAATGCTATGGTGGTTTTACACACACACACACACACACACACACACACACACACACTGCTCTGAGAACACCAAAGGATAGTCTAAGAATGAGGTAACACATGAAATCTACTTTAGCTAAACCATCTCCATTAAAAATATCTCCTGAACACCTGCAATTTCCTAAGCACTGATCTAGGCTCTATTTAACAAACTTCAGTAATCATAGAGTTTGCCCTTGAAGAGCTCTGATTTGCTCCTCTCAAGGTCTTAAATGAACAAACACCTGTTCTCTCAAGATGATGTAAATACAATTTTGCTTAATGGTGAGGAGATTTCTTAATGAAAGGTCCTAATCATATGCAGAATAAAATTTCAAATTTCTCACCTCAGACTATGTAAAAGGGAAAGAAAGAAATGCAATGGGACAGAAAGTAAAGACTGAGGAAAGTCCAACCAAATCCAGAAAAGGAAATGGAGGGAAGAACCAGTAGAGAATAAGATATCTGCAGATGTTTGGCTTTTTATTAAAAGTATAAAAACCAAAGCTTTTATTACGTAATAGTCATTCTACTATGGTATCCTATTAACATTATCATATAAAAATCATATTGGCCAGGCGTGGTAGCGCACACCTATAATCCCAGCAGTTTGGGAGGCCAAGGTTGGTGGATTACCTGAGGTCAAGTGTTCGAGACCAGCCTGGCCAACATGGTGAAACCCTGTCTCTACTAAAAATACAAAAATTAGTTGGGCATGATGGCGCATTCTTGTAATCCCAGTTACTCAGGAGGCTGAGGCAGGAGAATAGTTTGAATGCAGGAGGCGGAGGTTGTAGTGAGTCACGATGGTGCCAATACACTCCTGCCTGGATGATGGAGTAAGACTTCATCTCAAAAAATAATACTATATTGTGTTATTATAATTATTGCATACTGTAAGCTTTGATTTGTTACTCTATTATATGATTGTAGTAGTTATAATTATTGCATTATATATTGTGATTATGATGCTGCTATAATTGTTATATTAAGATATATCCATTATATTATAATTACATGAGGCTCTTTAGTTAAATTAGTCAAAAAGAATTAGAAATTATGCTTCAACAAAGGAGTATAAAAAGTAAAGAAAGGGACGGGCAGACATGGTGGGTCATATCTGTAATCCCAGCACTTTGGGAGGACGAGGTGAGTGGAACACTTGAGGCCAGGAGTTTGAGACGAGCCTGGAAAATATGGTGAAACCCTGTCTCTACTGAAAATACAGAAAAAAAAAAATTAGCCAGGCTTGGTGGTATATGCCTGTAATCTCAGATACTGGGGACACTGAGGTATGAGCATCACTTGAATCCGGGAGGCAGAGGTTGAAGTGAGCCAGGATTGGCCACTGCACTTCTGCCTGGGCAACAGAGAGAGACTCCATCTCAAAAATAAATCAAAATTAAAAGAAGAGAAAAGGCATGATTAAATCCGTGCTTCTTGAAGAGGTTGTCAATTGATTAGGGAGCAATTTCTTCAAGTTCAAAAGCAGTTAGAAGATTCCATTCTTTAGAGATCATACTCAACACAGCAGAAGGAAATACAGCCAATACTGAAATATATGAAAACTGGTTACTTACTAATATTTTGTGTTTAAAAGTCAGGCAGATAGATGCATTTTTTTTTGACAAATTTGTAATTGTACATTTTTTACAGACGAGGATGAGTGTGAGGAGGGAAAACATGACTGCACTGAAAAACAAATGGAATGCAAGAACCTCATTGGCACATACATGTGCATCTGTGGACCTGGGTATCAGCGGAGACCTGATGGGGAAGGCTGTGTAGGTAAGAGGATCCCTGTGGAAGGAGCTTTGAGTGTGCCAGAAGTGATGGTGGGCAGAAGGAACCTGGGCTCTGAGTTCTTGTGACACTGTGATACTTGTGACACCTCATGTCAAGACTCTCCACAGCAGTGTCCTTGCCTCTTGATCATTTGTGAATTCCAGGAGCCCAGTCATTCTCCCTCTCAACTGGCCTTTCTCTCTGCTTTCTTGACCCGTTTGCTGCCAGGATTTGAACTGCATGCCTTCTCTCTCTTCGCCTTCTTTACTTTCCATAATTGTTGTTAATTGGGGGGTCAATTCTCTCCATCACATTGGAATGCCTCCCTGTTGATTTAACTTTGCTACCAGGACCCTGACATTGAGTATACATTGAGTATAAATGTCAGGGTCCTGGTAGCAAATAATCCTGGTTCATACCTCTAAACCATGATTATCTCAAAACCACTGGGATCTACCTCCAGAAAATCTGGTCAGTAGCATCCAGGCACTGGTATTTTTTTTAAAGCTCTCAGCTGAGTCTAATGTGCATCCAATATTGAGAACTTCAGCTGTAGACCAGGAGTTGGCAACTACTAGAGCCTACAGGCCAGTTCCAGCCTGCCAGCCCACTGAATTTTTTTTATAAATAAAGTTTTATTAAACATAGATATAACCATTAGTTTGCATATTGTCCATGGCTGCTTTCATGCCACAGTGGCAGAACCAAGTAGTTCCAACAGAGATCATATGATCATATGTCTGCTTAGACAGTAATTACAGGAGAAAATTAAGATATTCTCACATGCATTCTCTTTCCTTTTAAAAATAAGTGGTGTTATAAAGATGCATTTTATGTTGTCAGTGAAGAAGATTAAGAAACCCATTGCGGCCGGGCACGGTGGCTCAAGCCTGTAATCCCAGCACTTTGGGAGGCTGAGGCGGGTGGATCACGAGGTCAAGAGATTGAGACCGTCCTGGTCAACATAGTGAAACACCGTCTCTACTAAAAAAAATACAAAAAATTAGCTGGTCATGGTGGCACATGCCTGTAATCCCAGCTACTCAGGAGGCTGAGGCAGGAGAATTGCCTAAACCCAGGAGGCGGAGGTTGCCGTGAGCCGAGATCGTGCCATTGCACTCCAGCCTGGGTAACAAGAGCGAAACTCCGTCTAAAAAAAAAAAAGAATCCCATTGCCCTTTCACTCTGTACAATGCAGATTGAAGAAATAATTAAAGACTCTAAAAGCGCAGAGAAAGAAAATACGTAGATTATCACGCACTGGATCCTCCTGGCTCAGTGATTCTCAACCTCAGCTTTGGAAAGCTTTGGAAACACTTGGGAAGCTCCAGTCCAACCTCAGATATTCTGATTGAATTGGTCTGTGGCTGGCTTGGACATTGGGGTTTTGAACCTGTTTTACATTGTTCTGATGTCACCTTCCAACTTTCTGCCTCTCCTAGTAAGAGCTCCAGCTCAGGGACCCTGAACTATTCTCCAAAGATGGGAAGCACTTAGCAAATTATTTACGATCTCTCTAAATAACCATCAGATAATTCTAACAATCTGTACATATTTTAATGTTTTTTTAAACCTGCAAAACTGAATCGTGGTTTATGATTTAATATTATTGAAATACTACAATCAACACAACTTATATTGACTCTGGATTAATGTAGACAAACCCCCAGATCAGCATTAACCATTACATACATGATTCTAATGTGTATTAAAATATTTCTTTCATATGCTGATATTCACATTTTTCCCTCCTTCACTGGAAATAACCCTTTGGGGGACCTAATATGAAAAGATTTAATTTTTACTAAGTGAAAAATGTAATTGTGCATAAAATGCTACCATCTATGTTTAAGCATATAAAATGCTATCAGTTATGCTTTTAAAAGAGCAGAAGTGCACACACACACATGCATTACGTATGTGCTTGCTTTTATATGCATAATCCATCTCTGGAATGATACATTAGAAATTGGCCTCAGCGGCCGGGCGCGGTGGCTCAAGCCTGTAATCCCAGCACTTTGGGTGGCCGAGACGGGTGGATCACGAGGTCAGGAGATCGAGACCATTCTGGTCAACATGGTGAAACCCCGTCTCTACTAAAAATACTAAAAATTAGCTGGGCATGGTGGCGTGTGCCTGTAATCCCAGCTACTCGGGAGGCTGAGGCAGGAGAATTGCCTGAACCCAGGAGGCGGAGGTTGCGTTGAGCCGAGATCGCGCCATTGCACTCCAGCCTGGGCAACAAGAGCGAAACTCCGTCTCAAAAAAAAAAAAAAAAAAAGAAAAAGAAATTGGCCTCAGCACGGGTTGCTTTTCAGAAGGGAAGTTTGGTGTCTGGGAAGTAGGGAACAAAGCGGGTAAGGTTTTGCTGAATCCCCTTTCGTCCCTTTTTCATTTTGAACCACGTGAAGAGATAAGCTATTTACAAACTATATAGGAAAGAAGGAAGAGAATCTATTCTTCTCTGAAAGATTCAGATAACTCTTTGTTTTCAGTCCTTCAGTGAAAGCAAACAGTTATGAATGAATGAAGTCCCCTTTATACCTTTTAAATTTTGAGCCATGTGAACAGATCAGTGATTCAAAAACTAAGAAGGAAGGATGACAGAGAGGGAAGGAGGGAACAAAGGGATGGAGGAGGAAGGAACTCCATCCTCTGTAAAATAGTCAATGACTCTGCTTGGTTTTGGTCCTCCCACAAAATCAAACAGATGAGAATGAATGTCAGACGAAGCCAGGGATCTGTGAGAACGGGCGCTGTCTTAACACCCGTGGAAGCTACACCTGTGAGTGTAATGATGGGTTCACCGCCAGCCCCAACCAGGACGAGTGCCTTGGTGAGTACAGTCAGCAGCGCGCTTTCCTAACCTCTGCCTCCACACTAGGATGCTGGAAACCCAGACCTCTTATTTGAAATACAAGAAAATGTCAAAATCTGAGGAAGGATGAAAAATGTTCATATTTTGGAGATGCCGTAGTGACTGTGATTGTCCATTGGGCTTAGCACCACCCTGCAGCTAAATTCTTCCTTTGCTAATTGGATCCTGAATCACTTGTTTGGAATTTCTTGGCTGGCTTTGAAGCCCTTGGTGATCGCAATCCATTTCCATATGTTTCTCTGCCCCTCTCTCTGTAAGCATGGCTATTCCCCTGTATTTCCGGGAGCAGAGAGAGTTATAAGCTTGTCTAGGCCAATGTCTTTCTGCCTACTTACTGAATGTCTTCTTTGTTTTCCTCAGACGTCATCCTTTCTCTTTCACTGCTGTCTCCAGCTTTCCCCTCTTGCTCCTTCTCACCCAGGGTAAAGTGTTACATCCTTTTTGGTTTTTATATCTGACGAAATTTTTAATACCTTGTTTTGCTCTTAAAATTTCCTAACATCCCCTTTGCCATATAATGTCCCTTCCAGACAATCGGGAAGGGTACTGCTTCACAGAGGTGCTACAAAACATGTGTCAGATCGGCTCCAGCAACAGGAACCCCGTCACCAAATCTGAATGCTGCTGTGATGGAGGGAGAGGCTGGGGTCCCCACTGTGAGATCTGCCCTTTCCAGGGGACAGTGGCTTTCAAGAAACTTTGTCCCCATGGCCGAGGATTCATGACCAATGGAGCAGGTACTTCATTATGGTACAAAAACACTTGCAGGGAATCTGTGTGTGTGTGTGTGTGTGTGTGTGAAAAACGGATGAAAATACAGAATCTGCAGTATGTGCCTAGGTTGAGTTGCACAGCTGAGCCCAACAAAAATTCTTCAGTATGGAGTTTTAGACATTTGAGGCCATGCTGCCAAAGTGCCCTCGGTCTACTTGATTAACCTGTGTGTGCCTAGGACCCAGGGAGTCTTCAACTTCTTAAACAGAAGTTATAGTAAAGTCAATTGGTTACTATAATTTTTTAGATGAACTTTGAAATAAGTGATCATTAAATGCCCAAACCAGTCTACCAAGATGTAGAACTTCTAAAAGTGGCCCAGCGTGAAGGAAGTATAAACCATGCTGATATCTTGGCAATTAAACACAATTGCATCTGGAAAAGCACAAGCTACTGAACTAGAGAAGGATGAAGAGAGTGTCAAACTGTCTGAGGCAACTCGAGAGATTTCTAGGCCTGACACTAATGTGATTCTGATGTTTATCAACAGTAACTATAACTGGTTTTTAGTTCATAAAAGGACTGAGTTTGAGAGAGCTTTTTTGAGCTCCTTGGGAGGGAATTGGAACTGTAGGGGAAGAAGGAGGTTACGAGGATTTCTGTTTACATTGGAAAGATGTGACTGAAGGCAGAATAATGGAATTGGATGTGATTTTTTAAAAAAAACATATCTAGAAAGCTAGAAAGATAAGATGGAGGGACCAAAAGCAATTTGTGATTCTTTAGAGGCTGTTAACGATCAGATGGTTGAAAAGCTCATTTCTGGAGACCAGTAAGAAGTGCTGAATTGTACTTCAGAGTAGAGTTGTAAAGGTCAGATACACCCAGCTGTTGGTATAAAATGGTGATTTGGCAGTCAAGGGTGGATAACCCATGTGGAAACTGCTTGTACTGGCACTTTGCCAAGCAGTAAGGAGGTAGATGGGTCAAGATGCGGAGAACAGTGGCTTTAATGCTCAACAGTACATATGACCCAATCTTTGTCTCTGTGGTAGAGCCATGAGTAAGGGTCTCCCTTCCTTCGCAGGCGGCAAAAGCCCAGCACTGTCATCTACCCCAGAGCCCTGATTGGTTTTCCCCCTCACCAGAAGACAGAAGTTCATCTCATTTCCCCAGTATTAGGTCATTTGAACTTTTTCAGGATTAACTCCAAACACAACAAAAATAATGTAAAAAAACAAAACAAAACTCACTTCTTATTTTGAGCATGCACTATTGTGGGGGAAAGGGAGTCTCCTCCTCCGAAGGATGTGCTTCTGGGATTCATTTATGAGGTATCAGCAGGAGGCAAGCTTGATGGCATGTGATGACACACAAAGCCAAGTATGTCGAGACGGGCTCCCTGTTTTGTGGACCCAGAAGAGAAAACAAGATACATTTAGAAGACCAATTGTTGTTTTTAAAGATTTTCTGTAGCTGAGTTATTTTATCAATTACAGTCTAAGGAAGTTATTTGTTTGCCTTTCTATATAGCTACCATTACATATCAAATTTATGCTGTCATCCCACTGGTTTAATTTCTTAGGCCCCTAAGATAGTAACCCAATGTATTAGTATTTACACTGAAGTGACCCCCTACAAATTAATGTTGTCAGTTTTATGATGTATTTATCTTATATATTTATCTTATTTATATATTTATTTATATATTTATCTCTTATATTTATCTTATATATATTTTTATATTATATATATTTTATGTTTTATATTTTATATATTATATATATTTTATATTTATATATTTATATATCCTAGATAAATATAAGATAAATATATAAATATCTTATTTATATATCTTATTTTATATATATATCTTATGTATCTTATTTATATATCTTATTTTATATATCTTATTTATATATTTATCTTATTATATTTTTTATATTACAGATATCGATGAATGCAAGGTTATCCATGATGTTTGCCGGAATGGGGAATGTGTCAATGACAGAGGATCATATCATTGCATTTGTAAAACTGGGTACACTCCAGATATCACTGGGACTTCCTGTGTAGGTAACTGTCTATTTCTAATGGCTTATCCTCAAGTAGAAACTTTAGATTATGGAATAAAATAAAATAAAACCCCCAAGCTAAAAATCTTAAAAGTCTATGGGACTATCAAAGTCTACGCAGAGTTTACTTTTTCTTTCCCTAGAACTAAAATTCTTTGTTAGACCCTGTGGAAACTGAGCATGTAGACATTATTTTTAGATGCACGATCACACTGTATTTCTTTGATCATAGATCTGAATGAGTGCAACCAGGCTCCCAAACCCTGCAATTTTATCTGCAAAAACACAGAAGGGAGTTACCAGTGTTCATGCCCGAAGGGCTACATTCTGCAAGAGGATGGAAGGAGCTGCAAAGGTAAGGTAGAATTTACCATTGCCCCTCACCTAGCACCTGACACACGGCCGCATTCCTCTGCTTCTGTGGACTCCACAGGCAAGCCGAAAGACCTGCTCTACAGGCAGGAGGTGCTTCCCCTGGTGTTAATGCCTCCATGGGACTCACCTCCTATGCTGGAGGGAGAAAGGCCATGGAGATTGTGGAGGACCAGTGGGAGCAGCCATCCTCGCTGCATGCCCCCTGGGTATCCATGGCAGCCGTCCATGAGGGTCTCAGAGAGAGCAGGGCCAGCTCTCAAAGGCTCTGGTGGGGCAGATTCTTACTTGGTGACTTCCTCTCTGCTTTCTGGTTTTTCTATTCATTCTATACAGCCATATAGTTCAGGTTTCCAGGAAAGTCCTGCCTCAGAATAATCAGTGCCATGATCCTAGAGGACACTGTGCCTAGTTAATTAGATGCTATGTCCAGATTTTCGTTCTGCAGAAAAAGTCCACTCTTGCCTTCTAGGAGCTTCCCTGAAACATGAGTATCACACAGAATTAATAACTAGCAAAGCTCTGGGCAAAAATCCCTTCTCAACCAGAAGTTACCCTTTGCAAAATTTTTTGGTGTAAATTGACTCCTGTAAACATCTTCCTCTCCATTCCTAAGAACGATATATGTCGTGAATGGCACCGGTGAGTTATACTTAATGATAATTTGGGAAATGAGAGATTTGGAGAAGAAAAGGCAGACCAAGTGGTAGAGCAAGAGATAGCATGTCATGCCATGAAACTTTGAAGGAAATTTCTAGAAACGTACAGAAGGAAGGAAGGTATTTTTTCCTCATATAGCTTAAATTCTTCCACTTACTTGGCATGTATAACTAAAGATCAAATGAATGATGTAGCTATGTGTACCACTGAAACTGAGAAAGGCTAGACGGGTAGAGTGTGGGACCAGCACACCACCCCCAGAGATGGGTGGGATCCAGATTGGAGAAGAGGAGAGGAGAGAAGTGGAGAGCAGCGAGAAGTTGGGCTCTCGACCTCTTTCCTGTGTCTGCTGAAAAGGAGAGTTAAGAGGCAGAGGGGATGATGTCACGGGCAACTGCCGGAGGCCTTCCTGTGCAGCACGTCTAATCCTCTAGTTTTGGGAGAGGAAGTTGAGAGACCTACTTACACATTTTGACCATCATAAATGAACAGTTGATCATAGCTTTGTGGAACTTATTTTACATCTGGGGTCACTCTGAGTTCTACGCAATGTGAAGCTGTCACTCAGAGCCATAAATGTATTCATATAACTGAAGAACCAAATTCAAGGGAAAAATCTCTCTCATTGTATATATTATCTGTAACAAACAAAACAAATTTGTAGCTTTTTTTAAATAACCTCTGGGGACAGAAAATGCTCAAGTTTCTAGCAATTAAAAGGTGAAAAATGAAAATGCATCAATAACAGAGCAACATATCCACTCGCAACTTGTCCCTTTTCCTATTTTTTCTTCCACTTACTTAGTTTATATTACTAAATATCAAATGAATGGTGCAGATAAGTACACCATGGACACTGAGAAGGAAGAGACCAGAAGGGTGGCCCTGGGAGGAGTGTGGGAGCAGCACATCCCCATTGAGCGATGGGTAGGATGCAGGTTAGAGGAGAGAAGGAAGAGGAGGAAGGGCATTCTCGGAGGCAAGAACAGCCAGTGTTGCTGTTCTTCATGTGTTGTTAGAGGAAATCACTGAGTCATCTTCCTCACCTGTTGCAGATGAGCTTCGGCAAATGTGCAGTGATGCTCCAGCGAAGCTCCTTGGGCCGTATACAGGAAAAGCCAGTCCACAGGCTCTGAGAAAGCTGAACAGAGAGTACATATCAGTCAAGCTGTCAGCAGTGCAAAGAATAGGACAGGCTGCATTAAGAGAAGCTGGCACTAGGACAAGTCTGGAGAGGGTCTCTCAGTGTAGGTCCACTCCAGATGTTACTCTAGCCAGGAACTGGCCCTGTGGAATGGAAGCAGTCACTGGCAAAGCCAGCACTGGCAAAGCTAGCTCCAACACAGTTGTGCAGATGGTGGGGGTATAGTGGTTGAATTTATGATAAAATAAGGTCACTAATGTTTATTCCTGAATATGCAGCAATTGTAAAATTATTAAAATTCAGCTAGAAGCTAGACAGAATGTTTTATCTCTTGGTATTTTGAATAACATTGGAGTTGAGAATGCAGCAAGAAGTTGCGGCAGTGAGGAAAGAGGCCTGGTCAAAGCAGGAGGTTTTAGGGAGATGTGCAAAATAATGTTGGATGAACACCGGAGGCAGTTGTTTGTTTTTTGAGACAAAGTTTCACTCTGTCACACAGGCTGAAGTGCAGTGGCCCGATCTCAGCTCACTGCAGCCTCTGCCTCCCAGGTAGCTAGGATGACAGGCGTGCACCACCACACCTGGCTAATTTTTTTTTTTTTTTTTTTTTTTTTGAGACGGAGTTTTGCTCTTGTTACCCAGGCTGGAGTGCAATGGCGCGATCTTGGCTCACCGCAACCTCCGCCTCCTGGGTTCAGGCAATTCTCCTGCCTCAGCGTCCTGAGTAGCTGGGATTACAGGCACGCGCCACCATGCCCAGCTAATTTGTTGTATTTTTAGTAGAGACGGGGTTTCACCATGTTGACCAGGATGGTCTCGATCTCTTGACCTCGTGATCCACCCGCCTCGGCCTCCCAAAGTGCTGGGATTACAGGCTTGAGCCACCGCGCCCGGCCTGGCTAATTTTTATACTTTTACTAGAGATGGGGTTTTGTCATGTTGCCCAGGCTGGTCTCAAACTCCTGAGCTCAAAGTGATCAGCCTGCCTTGGCCTCCCAAAGTGCTGGGAATACAGGCATGAAACACCATGCCCAGCCTGGAGGCAATTTTACTAAAATGCCTTTAGCTATCAGAGTGAATTTTTCCTTTCTGATTGCTCAATTATCCCTAACTAAAGGAATCAGATTTTGTTTGATTTCGTTTGAGTAGATTAAAAACAGCGAACAGAAAAGAAATAAGCCAGCAAATTCATTTCCAGCTTCAACATTTCTCTTTGCTTCAACTTAAATAGGTATTTTCAATGCTCTGAAAAATTTGCAGACTCATTCGTCTTTTACTTCATTATAAAATTTGTTTAAAATGTCATTTGTTGGAAATTCCGTTGTTGAGGAATTCCTGCAGTTCTCCAATTAGAATTGTGTTTTCTTGGATCCCCCAAAGATCTCTCTACACTTTTTTGAGGGGAGGAGGCTCTAAATTGACGCCTTATTTTGTCTTCCAGACCTCTATGCCCTATGTCCCTTCCTGGCGTTTGCTGTGTCTTCTTTCTGGTCAGGGTCGTCTCAGACTTCAAAATCAAAACTTGGAGCTGCTTCATAGGGGTGGCTTCTCTGATCGCATTTTGCTGGCTTGGTTCAAATACACACCTTGCATTTTCTTGTAGATCTTGACGAGTGTGCCACCAAGCAACACAACTGCCAGTTCCTCTGTGTTAACACCATCGGTGGCTTCACGTGCAAATGTCCTCCTGGATTTACCCAGCACCATACGGCTTGCATTGGTGAGTGGGAGAGGGAAAAACCCTATATGGAATGTGGCAATTCTTCTCTATTTCCTCTGCTGTTGGGATAAGAAAACAAAAGCTCAGAGAAATACGTGAGTGTGTGTATGTGAGAGCACACACACCTGTACATGCATGTGGAGAGTTGTCGGCCTTATTTGGCCTTTTCTGAGTCATCCTTCTAACTTTCTTTTAAACGATACAAAGAGAGCTTTAGGGAATTTTAACCCCTCTTTTCTTCCACCACTTCTCATAGATAACAACGAATGCACCTCTGACATCAATCTGTGTGGGTCTAAGGGCATTTGCCAGAACACTCCTGGAAGCTTCACCTGTGAATGCCAGCGGGGATTCTCACTTGATCAGACTGGCTCCAGCTGTGAAGGTGGGTAGAGACCTCAGCTGCAATCCAGCTGGTGAATCGCTGTGGAGGTGGCCTGTGTGGTTATGGGCACTTTCATTATCAGCCTCTGAGATAGCAGATCTGAGCCCAGGGAGCCACCCCTAAAATAGTGTGCACAGGACCTGTATCTCAGATTTGTCTAACACACATGCCTTTCCTAAGGATATCAACACCTTTTCTGCTAGGTTGTTAATTTAACCTAATAGGGAATAAGTCAGTCAAGAAAAATTGCCAGCTTCTTGACTTTGATTCATTAATTTTCTGGTCACTGGGTCCAGAACCATAAAGGGATTTCCCTCATGTGGAGTAAACATGAGGAATAAGCTTTTCTGATGACATTTAATTAAAAGTTTAAATGATATTTGTAGGAGTTGATTGTGGCTTTTGACACCTTTTGATTTCTAATTCTGGCACACACCCAAAAAAAAAAAAAAAAAAAAAAAAAACAGCAAACACAAATAACTTACAGAGCTGTCCTGGAGAGTCCTTTGGGCTCTGCACTCATTTCCTGATCAGTTTTATTTGTAGATGTTGCTGGGGCTCTCTGAATGTTTTTCTCCCTTGACTTAGCAGCAGTTCCAGAAGAGATATTCTTGAAGTTGTTGGTGGTAGAATAATGTGTAGGATGTGTCGGGGCTGGCTTTCTCATTAGAATCCATGTGGCTTCAGAGTGATGTAGAGTTGGCGTCATGGTGGTTCTGCTTCTTTTTCAGACGTGGACGAGTGCGAAGGTAACCACCGCTGCCAGCACGGCTGCCAGAACATCATCGGGGGCTACAGGTGCAGCTGCCCCCAGGGCTACCTCCAGCACTACCAGTGGAACCAGTGTGTTGGCAAGTAACTTCTCCTCACTCTCAAGATGCATGGCTGTCAGCTCCTGTGAAGCAAAACACTGCTTTCTTTCTGAAGCTGTAAATGTGTTACTGAAGCAACTAATACTCATTTAAATTTGCTTTAACCTGGTTGAAACCCAAGGGAAATAACAGTTTTTGCAAAACACCAAAGTAAGAAAAAATACTGTGATAGAGAGTGCTTCGAGAGCATCTGAAATGAAATGCCCTTGGCACTTCTTGATGCCAGTAGCCTCCTGCTGCACTGCTAGTCACCAGCCCACACTTAAGCTCTGTTCACATCAGGGGTTGATTGAAAAATATCAGCCAGCCAGTGGCTGTTTTGAGTGACTTTTGGCCTGATGATGCCAAAGTAGTTCTGTTCAGCTCTACACATTTTGTTTTGGGACAGAGTGCAAGCAGCAGACACGACAAGGGTTTTTTTGTTTGTTTGTTTGTTTCCTTCCAAGATTGCTAAGTTCTTCAAGGGAGAGCGGCAGACGCTCTCATTAAATTGAAATGATGTTCTACAATGTCATGGGAAAATAACTCTTAATGCACATCAGAGAATCCAAACAATATGAGTTTCGAGGGTTACCAGAGGCCATTCAGCTCAGGTATTTTGTTTAACTGATAGAGACCTAGAAGTCCAGGAAAAGAAGGTAGCGTGGCCTTGCCTAGGTCTTTTTTTGTGTGACATGCCTAGAACTAGAACCCACAGTGCTTTTTTCTCGAGATGGAATTTTGCTCCTGTTGCACAAGGTGGAGTGCAATGGCACCATCTCAGCTCACTCTCACAACTCTTAACACTCTGATGTAGGGCTGCCTTTCAAGTGTCACGTTCACTTGTTTTTTTTCATTCCAAGCATCTGGAGTGCCAGTGCAAGCTTGGTGCTTTGGTAGCCTTTTCTAATTGACACACTATTAAGTACAGAGCCCTCCGTAGCAGATTACTGCTTCCTGGGTGCAGGCTCGGCATTGCAATGGTTCACTTTCATGCAGATGAGGTCATTTTGGTATGTTTTCATTTATCAAAATCATCTCTCTCATCTAGTTTGATTCCGCACAAGACACAGTTAGGCAGTGGCACATAGGGTTGACTGAAGTGGCCTCTGTGCTATAGAAGTTTAGACTGCACAAGTCTCTGGCTAGCTATCTGGTTTTAGTAAAAATGTCAGTTCATTATCAGCTCAGGGAGGTCTTGGATTTAATCACCAGTTTCTGACATGGTTCACAGAACTTCATGGATTCAGTACCCAGTTTATGAGCCTGTCTGTTCTCATTATGTAGGTCCCTTTAATAAGACTGGAGCTATGTGAAAAAACTTAGGAGAGGAAAAGTATGTCACTCCTGTACCTTATCCTCCTCCTCCTACCTTCAGTCTGAGGATAGTAGAGGTGACCAAGCCATAAACTAGTTTCCTGGAGATTCTGCTTGGGTCTCATGAAGGTAATCTCCTGGCTGGACACTGTAAAAAAATAAGTTCATTTAGAAGTCAGAAGAAGTTTGGGGTTCTTAATGCCTCCAAATGCCAAATTGCCCTCATAAATCTTGAGAATTAGAGTCATCTAGAATGAGCATTGCCTTGGGCTAAAATAGCTTCCCCAGAACCACTAGAAACAGATCTCTTAGACCAGTCCTCCCTGGATCCTCACTCGAAGATGGCTACAAGTTTACTCTTTGCGGTAAGGGGGCCACTGATTTCATTGTTGTCTAGAAGTAAATTTCAAAAATTCAGCTTGCAGATAGATGGCGTTTTGACCCATTTTGCCATAGAAAAAATTAGTTGAAGAAAGCCCATCCTACATTTGTGAATTTTCCTATCGATACTCCCTTAAGGCCACAGCTAATCATGAACAGTGCAAGCTGGATGCTGAAGCCTTTAATTTTAGAGGACAGCGTGGTGGGTTTCCATCTGCTTTTAAGGAGTGGTTTTTAGACTTTAATGCTGTTTTGATAAAATTTGAATTGCCTCTTTTTATGAAACGAACAAAACCCTCACCTAAGTACCGCCTGAAGAATCAAACATATATTTGGGAGTGTAAAAAAACTCCTGGTAGAGTCATTTGCTCCAAGGTGCAGAGGATGAAAAAGGTCAGAAAAAGTGAAAAACTTGTTAACCAAATCATGGCGTTTGTATATTGATAAAAAGGGCGAGTGCAAAATCATGCTATTTTCAAACTATAAACCCTGAATATTTGCAAATTTCTTATTTTCATCTGTGCTCCACTCCATTCCACCTCTCCAACCTAGATAAGCAAGTTTAATTTAAACTTTATTAAATTCTCGGGGAGGGGGGAAAATGTAAAATAAAAAGAATGTGAAAGGGGCGGGGGAGAACTCTTGATATTTGTAGTAACACAGATAGATGCTCAAAGTTAAAAAAAAACCTTAGAGATCTAGTCTTCCTTCTTTCCTAATACATAAATCCTTCTCTAAGGTCCTTGCTTATCCCAGTTTGGCTTAAATACCACCTTGAAGGGCACTCACTTTCTCCCAAGATAGCCCAGTCTATCTATAGACAGCTTTTAATACTTAGACATATCTTTTTTTGGTTAAAAAAAAAAATCACTTCTCCTCCCTCTAATTTCTCACCATTGGTCCTCCTTCTGCCCTTTGGAGGAAAAAACACAGAATAAATCTAAGTTATATAATGACAAGTCTTCCCCCTCATATACCCATGCCTTATAGGTTTTATTAGTCAAGGTCCCATAAGAAACAGATGGCTGAGGCCAACCAGAAGTGGGACACAGGGGAGCAGAGCTTGCTCACGTTTCATACATCACCCACCTGGGGCCAAGAGCGCGTGGAGAAGGTAGAGGATGGCCATGGAGGGGCAAGAAGACACCAGCCCAGAGGTGTTCTCTCCACTGAGGTTAAAACGCTTGCTTCATCATTCTTTGTTGGACATGGAGCTTGGTGCCCACGGTTTCTCTTGCTCTCTATTGCACATCTCATCCTCACTTTAAGGAGAAACAACACAGACAATGTGTTGAGCACAGAAAGAGAAAGGGAAGAATGAGAAAGAGAAAATTGTTATTTCTAAGAGTCCTGAAGCCTAAGTGACCTTGGGTGGAGATTTGAAGGTCTTTGAATACAAAAGGTCTTCATACAGCCAAAGGTAAGGTTATAGACCTATAGCTGATGGGAAGGAGGGAAGGAGAAGGGAGGAAGGGAGAGAGGGAGGGAGGAAGGGAAAAGAAAAAAGAGGGAGGAAGGGAAAAACAGGGAAGGACTGAAGGAAGAACAGGAGGAGAGACGGAAAGAAGGTAGAAGGGAAGGAGATATGGAAGGCAGGAAGACAATATGAGTATCTACTAAATACATGCAAGTGAGCATCCTTCCCACCCCACTTTTATTTACCTGTTTTCTAATTTAAAAAAATAGATTTTTTGAGAAACAGTTTTATTTATAAATGAATCTGCCTTAGCAAAGAAGGTAAACTAATTATAGGAGAAAGAAAACACCAGCTTAAATGTGGGAGCATCTCTAGAGAGGCACTGTGGTATAAAGGAAAGCACATGGACGGCCATTGCAGTCCAACTGACCTGGCTGTGAATTTCTGCCCCGCTGCTGCTGGCTGTGAGATCTTGGAAGGGCTTTCTGAGCCTCACTTTCTTCAGCTGTAAAACAGAGAACATAACACCTCTTTCTCAGAATTGTTAGGAAAGCGAAGGAAATGAATGAGTAATACCCATATCCTATCTATCATATAATAGGTATCGTAATAAACATTCATTCCCTTCCCCTTCCTCTCTCCCATAGGAAGTGGGTATCCACGAAGTGAAGGGAAGGCCAGTCTCCCTACGTTCAAATGGACATATGCCTGAAAATGGGCTATGGCAATTAAGAAATGTCTAACCGGCACGTTTCCAACTTGTCCTGCAAAGGCAGGTCTACAAAAATATATTGGAGACTTCCAAAAATTATAAATCAGAAATAATGAGAAACTTAGTTTTCTCCTTTCTAGTTGATTTTTTAAAAGTCAGAGTTCTTTTTCCTGCCTCTTAGCATCAGACTTGGCAAGTCCCTGTGGGTATCCAGTCCTGCAGCCTCGGTCTGTCTTGTGGGTTTTCCCCAATTACTGCTCGTGAAGTCTGCACCGAATCTCTTCCAGCCACACTTAGTTTTAGACGGGGCTCAGACACTCTGGGCAGGAGGCTGGTTTGAATAAGGAAGGGACTGATTCAGTGATGGGAGCAGACATACCAGAAGGCACTAATCATCCCCCAGAACAAGTACCTGGGGGCTTTTTCAGATTTTTGAAAAGGAAATCCAAGTGGGGCAGACACTTCGGGCACGATCTCAGCCCTTGCCAGATCGGCACATCCTGAAATAGGTAGATGGGGTCTCTGCTTTTGAGATATTTATCTCCTCTATGGGCACTTGTGAAGCAAGGGCACAAAGAATTCCTTCTTTCCCATCTTGAACCCTAAATCTTAGCTACAGACCAGCAGCATGCTGGTTCATTACTAGATGTTTATGTGGAACAGAAGATACCAGTGTTGACTTCTGATGAGAACTGGATTCGGCTGGTCCTCAGAATGCCTTCCTCTAATGCCCTCTGCCTGGTGCATCTGACGTCATCTTCCATGTTCACTCACAACATAGCAAGAGGACACCTCTGTGCCCGCAGCTTTCTCTGCCCTTGCGCTCCCCACCCAGCCTGCCTTACCTTTCTGAGAACCTAGCTGGCCAGCAGCAAATGGTCAGATCCAGTGTCCTCAGTAGCAATCTCTGGCTGCTGCCACACATGCTGCTGCTTGTTTTCCCTGCAGATGAAAACGAATGCCTCAGCGCCCACATTTGCGGAGGAGCCTCCTGTCACAACACTCTGGGGAGCTACAAGTGCATGTGTCCCGCCGGCTTCCAGTATGAGCAGTTCAGTGGAGGATGCCAGGACATCAATGAATGTGGCTCTTCGCAGGCCCCCTGCAGCTACGGCTGTTCCAATACTGAGGGCGGTTACCTGTGTGGCTGTCCACCTGGTTACTTCCGCATAGGCCAAGGGTAAGCACTGCTCTTTCTGGTCCTGGTTGGAGATTCATTTGTAATATAATTAAGTATACTGAACTCAAAATTACCTGTTCTAGCAGAGGAGAACCATGCTTTTTGTAATCCTAAAATTAATTGTAGTTAGTTTGGCAAAAGTTTTAGGTTATTTCATTTGAAAGAAGCATCTGGATTTCTGGAAACATCAAAGTAATGAAAGTACATTGTAGATATCTCACTATACGACTTCTCTTTCTCATTGTCTTCATCTTCACATCTTGTTGTGAAGCGATTCATCTCTCCGTAAATGCACCTCTCTGTCAACCAGTGACAGAACTGGGCTCACCCTGCACCCTACTGATCCGGGCTTCTCCTGGGGCAGGCAGGATTCCATCTTGACTTAAAATGCCTTTCTATCTAGCTCCTGTCAAAGATATCCCTTTGGGTTGGAGATCATTTAGGGTTTTAAATTATATTTTACATTTCAAACTTGAATTTACATTAAATATTACCCAAGGTACATTAGTTATGAGAATTGAAACACTATTTTTCTGGTTAAAAAAAAAAAAACTTCATTAAATTATAAGTATGTCTGTGAGAGTTGGGGCAGGTAAGACATTTTTATTTTACTAAGTGATTTAAAAGTTTAGTGTTGGGCCGGGCGCGGTGGCTCAAGCCTGTAATCCCAGCACTTTGGGAGGCCGAGGCGGGTGGATCACGAGGTCAAGAGATCGAGACCATCGTGGTCAACATGGTGAAACCCCGTCTCTACTAAAAAGTACAAAAAATTAGCTGGGCACGGTGGCGCGTGCCTGTAATCCCAGCTACTCAGGAGGCTGAGGCAGGAGAATTGCCTGAACCCGGGAGGCGGAGATTGCAGTGAGCCAAGATCGCGCCATTGTACTCCAGCCTGGGTAACAAGAGCGAAACTCCATCTCAAAAAAAAAAAAAAAAAAAAAAAATTAGTGTTAAATTTTCAAAGTTTGGATCTTTTTTCCTGCAGAATTAATCTGGACTCGGGTTTTAACTTTTTAATTAGGAACACGTAGACATTGAATATACATACACATTACTCCCCCACATGCATGTACATACACTGCACACACACATCCACACTCATATTAAATTATTAATGTAGCAGTCTTTGATTTCTTGACATACAGACACTAAGTGATTCGTTTGGATCTGGGTAGGTAGGAGAACGTTTCATGAGAAGCACACAGAATGCCAGCATTTGGACACAAATTCCCAGATGTTTCTGTCTGGCTCTCAGTACACTCATTCTTTATAGTTTAATGCCAGAACCATTTTTTCCCAGCAAAAATTGTGACACTCTAAACTGGCTTTTGGCCAGTGGGATTTTGTAGTCACACTTCTTATAAGTGGTGCTCCTGGGATCTGAAAATACTGGAAAGGAGTTCTGAGAAAGGAACCAAAGCCAGCAGATTTGGCGTTTATCTCCTAATAATGTCATCATTGTGTGAATGTATACACAGGTGCATACACACACAGGATGAGCATTTATCATTTCATCCATTGCATTGTTTCTACATATTTCATGTTGCAAGATAAATTATGAGGAAAGGAAATGCATTGAGCTCTGGAAAGACTGGGAGAAATAGTAGGAACCTGTAAATTGCTTTGAAATACAACATATTATGTTCATTGGCGACCTATTTTGAATCCCAAGGGTATATAGGAGAATGAGTTCTTAAAAGCAGATCAGCTATTACAGAAATACAGATAAATAATGTTTGTTCTACATTATGACCCATTATTAGAAATCTACCCATTTAAAACAGTTTTGGCCTCTCTGAATCACTAGAATGGACTCTGCCCCCAAATAAAGATCCTTTTAAGGACCATTCAGATGTTTCAACACATTTGGAAAGAGGAGCTTGATAAACACACATTCCAAGTGGCCTCAGAAATAGTAAGCAGAATAACAAAACAAGGTACTTGTGAAACATTCAAGCCTCCCTCCATAACTTGGCTTTGATAACTGAAAGGCAAAGAAAAACAACTGAACTAGTTCTCTCTTGGGCATGGGTTTGTTTATCCGCCTTCGTATGAGTCAGAGCCAGTGGCCCTAGTGGTTTTGAATGACTTGAAACAGTTTCCCACAGTTGGGCAAACCCTGATGCATGCATTTTATATACTGCATATCTTCATAATTGATTACATTAACCTTCATTACCATCTGGAGCTCTCTTCTTATCCTCAGTAGCATCAGCAAAAGTGAAACATGAAGGAATAGGAGCCGTTACTCGCAAGCTTGAGTGAGGAGGAGTAATTACGGAGGTGGGAGAATGCAAGAAACTCAGCAGTGATGTCTCACACCTTGCTCACTCCCATGGAGCCTGGTTCATAAAGAGAAGCCATTTTTATTTAGCCTCCCAAGTTACATGGCCTCCCTCATCTACCATTCTCTACTTTCCACTCTGTGTCTCCTCCCCCAGTGTAAGTACTGCAAAAGGCCTTCCATGTGAGGTTTGGGAATTAAGGGATACACAAATATGCAAAACAGCGTCTTGATAGGTAGTATAAAGAAAGCAGTACACTCCTGTTTGGCCTCTAAGTCCCAGGCGGAAGACTTCTCAATGTAGCTCTCAGAACTAGCTCATCCTCCAGTGGACAAGCAAGGGCTGTATCTCACAGGTACCGGGACCGGGCTTCACCAGAACTCTTATACCACCTACCTTGTCTTCCCATACTAACGAAAAGCATCTATGCTCCCCTTCTGCTGCAGGCACTGTGTTTCTGGAATGGGCATGGGCCGAGGAAACCCAGAGCCACCTGTCAGTGGTGAGATGGATGACAATTCACTCTCCCCAGAGGCTTGTTACGAGTGTAAGATCAATGGCTACCCCAAACGGGGCAGGAAACGGAGAAGCACAAATGAAACTGATGCCTCCCATATCGAGGTGGGTCAGAAGGTCGTTTCTCCTGATGTCTCCTATTGTGCAGAGCCCTCCCAGATTCCTGTGGTTTCCTCCGAGGATGCTCTAAAGTGTGAGAAATCTCCCCAGAGAGAAACTCCAGACATTCCCTGAGCTCTAGGCTGTATTTTACAAGAGGCTGTGGGGCTTTCTGGAGTTTCTTGCTGCTTTTCGGGAGTGGCCATTTGAAGGTTTTCACATACTTGCTCATTTCCTCTGTCTCGCCAAAAAAAAGTCAACTACCCACCCAAAGTCTGCTGAAAGGATAAGGTCTGAGATCCAGGACAGCAAGTGGGCAGAACAGCGAAGTGACATAGTGCTCCCTACATAGGGATGCCAAGTTCTGAAAGCTAGAGGCTCCTCTACTGAAAAGAGCCATGTGGAGTGTGAGGGAACTTGGACTGCAGACAAAAATAACGTGGAGCTGAAGCAGCCTGGTTTCCTTTGCCTACGGCTGCTGCAGCCTTTCAGTCAACTCAGAAGTGCACAGATATTCACCCAGACCTCTGGCTCCAGGCCCATAGAATCCAGCACATGTGGTCCCATAGAGGCAAGAAAGAAGCCAGGTAAAAAGCATTGAACTTAGCAGATCATCACAGGAAGTAGGCTCATAGGTGTGTCCTTCGGAGGGGATGGTTTTGCATCAGTGAACCAAATTCAAATAGTCTGCTTCTTCGTATTGGTGCTGCAACCCATCTGTTGTTGCTTAAGAAATAAGATAAGTCTTTGGAAAGAAAATAATCTATTAAAACAGTGGTTCTCAAACTTGAGTGTGCAGCTGAACCACCTACTAGGTCTTGTTAAAATGGATTGCTGGGAGAAATCCCCAGGGTTTCTGATTCAGGAGGGTAGTGTCTAGGGTGATGCTGAGAATTTGCATTTCTCACGGATATCCCAGGTGATGCTGATGCAGCTTGTTCAGGGACTACACTTTGAGACCTCCAGATACAAATGATTTCGACCTGCCTTTCTTCCTGACATCAGCTAATATTTTCAAATATTACAAATATATGCCAATTTAATACATTTGTGGTTTAAACAAAGTGCTTTATGAATGTGTGTTTTCAGTGTTGTGTATGTAGCATAAGGCAGAAAATTGTATTAGTGTGACGTTTCAGTCGCTTTTTCTTTACTGTGAGAGCTAAGTGGCATAGGTACATTGTGTTTAACACATTGCCCTGTTTCTTCCCAGGATCAGTCTGAGACAGAAGCTAATGTGAGCCTTGCAAGTTGGGATGTTGAGAAGACGGCCATCTTTGCTTTCAATATTTCCCACGTTAGTAACAAGGTTCGAATCCTAGAACTCCTTCCAGCTCTTACGACTCTGACAAATCACAACAAATACTTGATCAAATCTGGAAATGAAGATGGCTTCTTTAAAATCAACCAAAAGGAAGGGATCAGCTACCTCCACTTCACAAAGAAGAAGCCAGTGGCTGGAACCTATTCATTACAAATCAGTAGTACTCCACTTTATAAAAAGAAAGAACTTAACCAGCTAGAAGACAAATATGACAAAGACTACCTCAGTGGTGAACTGGGTGATAATCTGAAGATGAAAATCCAGATTTTGCTTCATTAATTCACCATCCAGAGACCAAATAATTAAAAGAAAAACAAATATAGATAGGTAGAACTATATTTTCCCCCAATCAGAATCATCATATCATAGGTACAATCTTTCACCAAGTAAATTTGTATAAATAAGCACTATTCTTGTTACCAAAGCAAGGTACAGGTGACTACCCTAGTTCAAAACAACCACTTTCTCAGGCTTCTCATGTGTGTAGCTAAGCTACCTTGTCATATGTGTTGATTCTTGAAAACTGGGACATGTATTTCCTTTGGGAGTTGGCCATTTATGCTGACATGCCATCCTTCCAGCAAACGTACAGGAATGTGCTTTCAATTGATGGACTACTTTTTTTTTTTTTTTTTTTTTTTGCAAATTTGTAAACTTTGCTTCTCCAAATACAAGTACTAGGTTGGCCATTTATGATATCTATTTGGTGCTAGTCAATTTTCAAACTAGATTTATAAATGCACTGTAATATTTACACAACTTAGAAACCAAATTACAAATATTCAGTTCCAATACTTCATTAATTTCAATCAACCAAAGTTAGTTCAGTAGCTTATCTCAGTTATGAGTATAATACATTACATGTAAATTAAGTGTGTGTATACTGTAATCGTGCTATTTTTTATCATTGAAACATTTATAAACTAGAATAATAATGCCCTTAATGTGAGGGTTTGTAATGGTGCTTATTAAGACCAAAGACTTGTTAAATGTATACACTAAGTGGTAAAGAAATTTCTGTGACTGGCCCACATGTGCATAAAGGTCTGGGAGGACCAGGAAACAGCCTCAGTGGCCAGAGGATCACCAATGCATCCTTCATCACAGCATGTGCAATATGCCAAGATTACCCTCGGTCATTCCTGTCAACAAGGGGTCAATGTCATAAATGTCACAATAAAACAAACTCTTTTTTTTTTTAGTTTACCCCCTGGCTTTGTGTTCTTGCATGGATTTGGGGTTGGAGGGGCCATTCTGGAGGCTGAAGATAGGCTCTGGATTTAACTTATCCTGGGTCTGTTAGTTATGGCTTATGAAGGTACTTTTAATGCATAACCACTAGAAGAAAATTTAACGTTATCCATTGAAGATAGAGTCTGGTGTCATTAACCTGACTTGCTATGAGAAATTTAGATTGTAGAGTCATTTCTGAAACGTGAGCTAATTTTGTGACTTTTAAACTCAGATTTAAATCGTTTAAATATCAATATTGTCTTAGAGCACATGAATTCCATTATAATTTATCATGACCCCCTCTCAAGTATACACAGTTTTGGTAAGCATTAAGTAGTCTGTTCCATTTTTTCCCCCTCAACATTTGTTAGTCAGTGCTTATCTAATTACAAAGGGATAATCCCAGACTGCATCCAATTGCTATAACTCTTGCTTTCTTAATGTCATAATTTTAAAAAGGCTATTTTAAGTGCAATATTCAATATTTAGCTGTTAGGCTCATTCTGTTTATATGAAATAATCTTTTAAATCCCTAAGGGCAGGAAAGCATCTCGTGGTAGTAAAAATAAGGGGAATTAAGATTGCTGCATGAAGATGGGGGGCGGAGAACTAGGTAGGACACAGGAAAATCCTCTCAAAATCTTTGAAGAGCTCAGCTGAAAAAAAAAAAAAAAAAGGTATCGATTTGGCATGTATTATTCCAGGGTCAGCTGATGTCAGCCCCGGATTAATACACACAGTCCCAATTATAGAGCTACTCACTGAAGGAATGGGTTTCCTTGCATTGTGCAGAGCTCCCCGTCACAAGATAAAAGAGTTTCAGTCTGGCCTTAATGGCAACCATTGAACAAAGATGCTTTCTTCCACCTAACAGGCCATCAACATTTTGTATCTGTAATTTTGTTTGTAGTAAGTGCTCAACAGAATGAGCTGAATGACTATTACAGAGGAGGTTTGTAACTTGGGTAAGAGGTTAAAATGTAACTCACAATTTCCTTCTAACTCTGCACCTATGGAACCATGTGATAGAGGTATATTACAATTGTTAAAGAACATACAGCCTATGGTAAACAACAGTTTGCATATGGAAAATGTCTTTGATAATTTAACCAGAACTGCATTATATTCAGTAATGGATTTTCTTTATAACAATGGGAGAAAATGGAGTTGGCTCACAGTGGATCACTTTGATATTTTTAATAGTCCAAGTCTGGATTTTATTTATTCCAGAGCCAACAATTTCTAACAGCATATTTTCCATGTTTCTGACTGTAACAAAACATTTTACTCATTGTTCCATTGTAAATATTCCTCTTGTTGAAACTCTTTTTAATCCTGAGATTTAAACTGTACCTTTCAATTGTCTGTGACCTTTCAATTTCACTTTCAATAGTTGAAGAACTTGGCTTTGTAAATCTCTCAGAAGCTTGACAATGTCTTGTCTCTACCCCCTCAGCCCATTTCATTTGCCAGTAATTATTTTGTAAGTAGGGTTGAAATGAACTCAGCTGGCCTTGTGAAATGTTTAAACTTGCACAAACAACTACATTTTTGTTCAACAAATAGTACTTTACTCAGCCAAAATCGCTTTGGACATTGCCATTATAAATACTGTTAAACTTCAAAAATCATGTCTGTAAATTAGATGAGCCAAAATAAAGGACAATTAGGTTGATGCTGTATTAGTATCCTTAAAACTCATACACCCATAAACTGTTAGGAATTTTTTTAATTACAGCCGATTTGGTCCACAGAATATACTTTATTCTGGTTTTAACTGTAGTTCTTAGAGAACTGTATTAGAAATGTAATTATTAGAAATGTAATTATTAAATGATTTAAGGACATTGTTTTTAAGGTTAGATGATTATTACAGGTAGAAATATTAGTGTCACATTTACAGCTGAAGACAATTATTTTCCCCTTGCCAATTTTAAACAACACTTTGTAAAACAGATTAAAAAAAAAAAAAAGCAAATTTACTTCATTACGCTTTTTTGAAACCCAGTATGAGCCTGACATTATATATCAGCTAGGAAAGGTTTATCTATATTATTCTGAGTTTGAGGGTTAGGGAGCTAGAAGACTCTACATTTGATTTTGCAAATTTCCATGTGTACCCATAACTGAAGCCATTTACAGGACTGGATCTCAATTAAAGACATTCCCACAAATATCTGCATAAACATGAGGGTCTTGTACATTTGACACCCAACATGCATTTGGCAAGACCTGGCAGCGATCACAAAATCTGTTGTTCCAACTAACTGCTAATAAATCTAAAATGTTTCCTTTCTTTCAAACAAAGTCATAAACCTTGATTTAGGAAATAGGCTGATTTGAATTTTTGATTCAAACCTGAATTATGGCTGGGCTCCATGGCTCACCCCTGTAATCCCAGCACTTTGGGAGGCCAAGGCAGTCAAATCACTTGATGTCAGGAGTTTGAGACCAGACTAGCGAACATGGCGAAACCCCCTTTGTACTAAAAATACAAAAATTAGTCAGGCATGATGGTGTGCACCTGTCGTCCCAGCTACTCCGAGGCCAAGGCAGGGGAATTGCTTGAACCCAGGAGGTACACATTACAGTTAGCCGAGATTGCACCACTGCACTCCAGCCTGGGTGACAGAGTGAGACTCCATCTCAAAAAAAAAAAAAAAAAGAATTCTGACCTTTATAAACTGATTTCAGTTTTTTTTTTTACTGTTGGATGGTAGAAAGTGCATCCTTTTTAATTGAACCGAGTTATAGCAGGTAAGTGGGTGCAAATTCTGGCTAGCTCAACCTTCTGCTCTCTATTCATTGTGATTTTTCATCTCTGGGGCCATTCCCGTTTCATAAATGAAGGCAACATTATCCTCTCTATGCTCCCCTGTGCCCCTGTTGGTTGGTTATGGTGTCAGCTAGAAGACTCCAAGCCTTCCAAGTACTTCTGGAATCCATAGCTTGGGTTCAAATCTAAGCAACACAGAGGTGGAGCTTTTAAGCAAAAAGCAGCTGCTCCATTCAGTGTTTCCCAACTTCCACATCCCGCCTGATGTGTTCTTTGCAGCTGTGCTGAGAGTTACAGAACTCAGAAGAGATCTGTTTCCTTTTTACCCTGAAGTACTCTCTTGGGGAAGAATTAAATCAAACCTAAATGATCATACTTTTTCTTCTCCTGGAAATGGAGACATCTGAAAACATCCTGATAATAATCGCTTATCCCATCAGTCCCACTAGACAGTGACAGAAAGAGGTCACAGGCCTTTGTAGTTGTGTCTACATGGTGAACTCTATTCTGCTTGGCCCCACCAGCTCTGCTACAGAGAAGGCCAGACCTGTCAGGAAAGATTAATGAAACTTGAATATATCAGAATTTCCAAGGCACAACAGACTAGATTGGGTTTGTGTCTGTGTATTTTTGTAACGACATGAAATCAGCACGATGTGCTGTTCAGCCTTTCTGTCTTCAGTTGTATGGAAATTATCCCTCTTTGGGCAATCCCGTGATCATGCCCAGTGGCAAGCTCCTCCCTGAGGTCTGCTGCTTCCTGCACGTTTGTGGCTTGGCTTCTGTGGGCTCTCTTGTGGGTCATTCACAGGAGGTATGATGCCTCCAGCTGGGGAGTCAATGTGCTGTGGAACCAGCTCCCCAGGAGAAAATGGCTCCTGATCTCATGCCCACACATTCACCCCCACAGGCCTCACCCCTGCCAGGAGAGGACATGGAAGCCAGGTGCACCATCCTAAAAGGCTGATGCTTTCAGCCTCGGTTTTTTTTTTCCCCCTAGCATCAGTGATTCTTGGTTTACCGAGCTTTGACCTTTCCGTGGGCTGCAAAGGAAGTTCACTGAGAGCTCATTTTGCTCCTGAAGAGCACCTGCCTGAGAGTCCTCATACTACAAGACATCTGGGGTCAGAAAGTTCTTAGTTCCATCCCTTTCCAGTTATTCAACCCAGGGAAACTCTGTGATGTCTCTGAGCTTTGTTACTGTAGATAATAGTAACACCTTCCCCATATCCTTGCAGACCATTATAACCCAGTATATATGTCTAACACTAATATAGAACTTCACAGTTTCAACAAGCACCTGTGAACGGTGCCTGCCCTGATCCTCAATCCTCATCAATCCTAGATTTTTATCATTCTCATCATGCACACACTGGGGTCTCTTACCAAAGGTCTCTCACCCTAAAGAGCTGGAACTGAGACTAAAACTCAGATCTTCTGACAACACAGTATATACCCCATTCACTGTGCATACCAGAAGAATGAATAAAATGTAATACAAGAAAGCAAAATAGGAATCTGTAAGCTACAAATTACACTTGTGATTTAACTTCTAGGCTTCTCTCTGCTCTTCTAGAAACCAGGAGAAAGCTGAGGAGAGAGTGGGCCATACCCACTGTCTCCAAGACAACTCTTATTAAAAATTATAGCAAAGACTGGATGTGGTGGTTCATGCCTGTAATTTCAGTGCTTTGGGAGGCTAAAGTAGGTGGATTGCTTGAGCTCAGGAGTTCAAGATCAGTCTGGACAACATAGGGAGACCCCTGCCTCTACAAAAAAATTAAAAAAAAAATTATCCACGTATGATGGCACATGCCTGTAGTCCCAGCTACTGGGAAGACCAAGGAAGGAATATTACTTGAGCCTAGGAGATCAAGGTTGCAGTGAGCCATGATTACACCACTGCACTTCAGCCTGGGCCGATATATTTCATACTGTAAAGTGCCCTTTCATTTTGTATGTATGTAAAAGTAAAAAAAAAAAAATATATATATATATATATATATATATATATACACACACACACATATAAAATGTATATGTATGATTGATTCCACAAATAGAAGAGGAAAATAATATAGAGAGGTAATTTTAAATATTGATACCTAAACTCTAAGCCTTTGGTTCTTAAATTAGGAAGTTATAAACATTTTTATAACATGTGGCAAGAGTGGACTACAAGCTCACCAACCCTGTTTTTTTTTTTCTCCTGCGCCCACAGAAAGGTGGCATATCCTAATTTCTTCTGCAGGTAGGTTGGGGCTGGGTGATATTCTAACCAGGGGGATGTCAGGAGAAGCGATATATATACCATTTTCAGGTCTACATGAGAAAACACTTGTGCAATCATCCACACTCACAAAGAAGAAACTTTCTTGTAGTAAAACACGGATATACAGGGACTTTCTGTTGTAGCAGCTACCATTAATTATCCTCGTACAAATAAATAAATACTATCCACTTTTTCACTACAAAGAATCCACAGCAATGGTTCTCAAGCTTGGTTGCATATCAGAACCCCTTAGGATGATTTTAAAAAAAAAAATCCCAGTCCTGACTGTACCCCAGATCAACTAATTCAGAATCTGGATTTGAAGTTCAGCCATTATCAGTTTTAAAAGCTCTCCAGTTGATTGCAATTTGCAGCCATGGTTGAGAACCAGTGCTGTAAATCTCTAGATCAGATGAGGGAAATCTACCAGATAATTCTGATATTCGTCCCTTCCACTATTGCTACTGCTGGTCTGCAGGACACTGGGCTAACTGTGCTAGAACCTAGCAACAGAAACCACGTCGGTTCCTGACTCTGAGCTGAGTTTTTACTGGAGTCTGTGGCGTGTCATCAGTAGACAACAAGCAGCAGTAAGGCGTGGATACTCCCAGATGGTTTCCCACATTAACTGGCTACCTGACTCCTCTCACACTAGCCTTGAGGCAAGACTGCAATTCCTGCCTCCACTGGGTAGTTCCCAGGGAGTCAACACATCCAGTGTGAAGTCTGTCCACAGCAAAATACTAAAGAAACTCCCTAAAATATAAAATCATAAACAGGGCCAAGTTAACTCAAGCTGCCTCATACCACTCTTTACAAAACTGGAAAATAGAAATTAACTCTTTTGAAACAAATAGTTCTCTGGAGCAAAAATAGAGACTTTTTCTTTTCAAAAAGCCATCAGTTTCTGCTAAGAGTGTGTAATGATGGAATACAGGCTGGGCTACCAACCAGCACACTGACCAACATCCAGGCTCAAGTGAACCCCCATCTTGAAATGCTCAAGATAAAGCATGGCACAGGCGATGCATTCTGTTACCTCAAATTTAAACTTTTCATGTGCCTCCCTAGGAGTTTTCCGATTCAGCAAACCACAAAAGAAAAATTGAAGACAAATCAGCTACAGAAAAGTGGGATGTTGTTGTCAATATGAGAGTCAGGAAAATCTATTTTGAATAAGAAAGTTCAATTATATTATTGTATACTTCATGTGTGAGGGACTAAGGCTGTGCAATTACACACACTAGAAAGATGTTAAATAAAAGAGTCATTCCAAGCAAGTTTACATGTTATGTTTCATTTAATGCATGCAATAAATTCTCTAGGTTAAATGTGAAGAAAGAGATCCATTTTAATTTCTTCCTGTCCTTTTTAGTAAATAAATGCTAAATAATTTTAAAAGTATTCACCTTGAAGGGCAACAAATCATTGGCCTGCCTAGAGCGGCCACATGTCACTCTAGCCTGCCTTAAAGTCTCCTGGAGCAGTGTTTTCCAGACTTGAATGTGCACACATACCAGTTCAAGTGTTGTTAAAATGCAAATATTGAGTCTGAAGGGCTGCTGCAGTGCCCATGATTCTGCGTTTCTCACAAACGCCCATGGGCTGCTCACACTGCTCCAGCAGA